ACTTCCCATGCGTTGCCATTCCTGAGGACTTAGGTGTACCCTGTAATTTTTTTTTATACAACTTAGAATGGCAAACAAGCTGACGGCTCACCTGAAGGAAAGTGGTAATCGTCGCCTATACACATGAGCAGTACCATGAACATAAGAGAGTATACTGTTTCACCCATGATACCCCCCATGCGTTGCCATTCCTGAGGACTCAGATGTTATTCCTCTGTACCCTGTAAATTCACCGCCATATCCCACCCTTCAAACCGAAACACAGCCATGCAAACACAACTGCTTCACGGTTGAAACACGAACGGGACAGAGGTGACAAAGCAAACGTTTTTTAAATTCGATATTTTACTTTTTTTTTATCCGATGCATTTATAATTTTATTCCGTTTTATACTATACCATTTAAACCGTCCACTGTCCACTGCTGGACACAGGCCTCCTCTTATTGTAGGAGTTTGCCAGTAGTTGCCATGCTTGACAGGCGGGTTGACAACCGCAGTTAGGCTTTAGAGATGTTTTAAGAGGGACGCTGCTGACTATCCCTTGCTCTCCCTTAGTCGCCTCTTACGACACCCACGGGAAAGGAAGGGGTGGCCTAATCCATGCCGGGGTTACACAGCAAAAATATAAATTACAAAATAGTAACTGTCAAATATTAATTCACAATTAATTTTGGATGCGAAGAGCTGTTCTTTAATGGGTGATAATGGAATGGTAACCCCAGCCGCGCTATCGGTATACACCGGCGGGGCGCCAGTGAAGGATGATAGGTGAGGATGAAGCAGGTCAGTTAGTCCATCGTGACGAATTCAACAAGAATTGTTCACGATGGTTTCCAGGGGGAACCACGTGGAGGTCGACCTAATAAGGCATATTGGGGGGAAAGGGATTGTTAGTAATGGAGACTGAGAATCCCATTGCTAGCAATATACCCAACCAGGTCGACCTCCCCGCGGTTCTCCCTGGAAACTATCATGATTAATTCCTGATGAATTCATCATGATGGGCTAACTGGCCTGTTTTCATTCTCATCTATCACATTTCACTGGTGCTCCGCCAGCGTATCCCGTTAGCGCAGGCGGGGTTACCATACCATTTTCACCCATCAAAAAAAAAAAATAAGGCATATTGCTAGCAATGGGGCTGTCAAACTTCATTGCTAACAATCCTCTTCCGCCCGCGAAGAGCTGTTTCCTAAAATGGTTTTAGCGATGTTTTAAGAGGCACACTGCTGCCCATTTCCCGAACATTATGTTCCCTTACATCTCCATTCCGTCACTTATTCTTACTTAATATTATAAATTTAAAAGTAACATTTATTTTAGTTATTCATTAGTACAAATGTGTGTACATGGCGGACTTAATGCTAGAAGCATTCTCTCCCAGTCAACCGTAGGGAAGTGTCAGAATACACGAATGCGGTACTAGTAATTATTGATATACATACATACTAAAATTACATATATAAACGAATAGATATATATAAATATCAAATATACTTACACATTGTTTGTTTGTTACGCCATAGAATGGTTGAACTTATGTAACTTGGTATATAGTACGTATATGGGATGGCGAAGGTGATAGGCTACTATTATCCTTCACTCATTGTCATAGTTTCTTTTACATACATCATTACATACCAGAGGGAGACTTTGTACAAAAGTCGTTCGCTTGGGCACCTCTGTCCTATTCGTGTTTTTACCGTGAAGCAGTTGTGTTTGCATGGCTGTGTTTCGGTTTGAAGGGTGGGATATAGCGTGAATTTACAGGGTACAGAGGAATAACACCTGAGTTCTCAGGAATGGCAACGCATGGGGGGTATCATGGGCTAAACAGTATACTCTGTTACGTCCATGGTACTGCTCGTGTCTATAGGCGACGGTTACCACTTTCCATCAGGTGGGCCGTCAGCTTGTTTGCCATTCTAAGTTGTATAAAAAAAATCCACTCTTATTTGCTTTACAGGCTTTAGACTTATAATTTTCGTTTAAATAAAATAAAATCCGTTATTGGCTGTACACAACATTTCAAAAAGTGATTATTGTGACATAACGATAATAGTTGGACATATAGTATCGCGGAGTTTTTTGTAGTTATTGATATTTTCTTCAATATTGTAGAACATACTTTTGTTCTATCACCAATAGTTTCCGCAGCGCACGCGACCAAAGATATTTTATAGCATTTTTTGTACACCTTGAGTTACGTTACTAAAGTTTTAGTAAGGATCCCTAATCTTTTCTAGCAATAAATATAGCCTATGTTACTCAGGGTGAGTGTAGCTTTCTAATGGTGAAAGAATTTTTGAAATCGCCAAAGTAGTTTTTGAGTTTATTCATTACAAACACACATACACATAAAAATACAAATCTTTCCTCTTTATAATATTAGTGTAGATGTAGCATGTAAGTTATTTTTTAAGAGCTTGGAATTTTTGTGTTATATAAATAAATCTTTGTACCCTCTATACTTTTTTTTGAAACCCCCAGTCTCCTAACTACTTAAGCAGCAAATTCCATTATCTTTTTGAACCTCACGATCGTAACCTTCGTTCCAGTAATACTCTCCAACTACCTTTCCCCTCTCACCGTACTGGTTTCGCTTCAAACTCTTTTCTCCTACATTCTTCACGACTCTGGAACGCGCTTCCTGATGCCATTAAGAGACTACCGACTAAAGCGTCTTTCAAAAAAAGCGTTCACGCTCACTTTTTTACTTTATCCGAGCAGTAAGTACTTTATATTATTCAGTAAGTACTTTATATATATATATATATATATTTTTTATACCACTGAGGTGGCAAACAAGCATACGGCCCACCTGATGGTAAGTGGTTACCGTAGCCTATGAACACCTGCAGTACCCGAGGTATTACGCGCGCGTTGCCGACCCTGAAGAAACCTCTTTACCCCCCTTTGGATGAACCCCATGCTGTAGTCTCTTGGGAAAACCTCGGCAGGGAGCTCATTCCACAACCTGAGTGTTCGTGGGAGGAAACATCTCTGAAACCGCGCAGTACGCGACCATTGAAGCTGTAGGATATGAGGATGAACTCCTTGTCGATGGCGAGCCGTACGATGGTAGAAAGTGGCTGTGGGCATCATATTGAACAATTCCTCTGAGCACAATCCGTCGTACAGGCGGTAGAACACGCAGAGTGATGCAAAATCTCTCCTAAGACTTAAGGATTCAATACCGCTTGTAAGCCTGGGATCACCGACAATTCTTATGGCGCTTTATTTATATATATTTATTCGTTTATATATGTAATTTTAGTATGTATGTATATCAATAATTACTAGTACCGCATTCGTGTATTCTGACACTTCCCTACGGTTGACTGGGAGAGAATGCTTTTAGCATTAAGTCCGCCATGTACACGTATATGTACTAATGGATAAATAGAGAAATAAAATCCCGGCCAGTACACATATTCCTGTTACGCGAACAAAGTCGCAGGTAAAAGCTAGTAAACTATAAATCATGTAACACAAAAGTCTAAAAATTTATATGTTGTCCATGAAAATAACGTTTGATTGTGGGCGTACGTGGTTTTGATGGCTAAATGAAACTGAATTTACTTTCTGATTTATTTCTTGCAAACACCCTTACAAGTATCTAATGGCAACGCATGGGGGGTATCATGGGCGAAACAGTCTTTGTCAGTCAGTCGAACAAAATCTTTTGCTCCCAAAAGAGCAAAAGATGATGTTTGAATGAAGACATTTTTGATATTATTCAAATTTTTTTATACAACTTATAATGACAAACAAGCTGACGGCCCACCTGATGGAAAGTAATAACCGTCGCCTATAGACATGAGTAGTACCATGGACATAACAGTGTATACTGTTTCGCCCATGATACCCCCCATGCGTTGCCATTCCTGAGGACTCAGGTGTTATTCCTCTATACCCTGTAAATTCATTACCACAACCCACTCTTCAAACCGAAACACAGCCATGCAAACACAACTGCATCACGGTAGAAACACGAATGGGACAGAGGTGCTCAAGCAAACGACTTTTGTACAAAGTCTTTATCCCTCCCTCATTTATACATAAATACCTACATACAAAATATACGTATATACATGTACATATATATGTTACTGGCCATACCCGATTTCAGGACAAACTAGTTTTGCCTAGTATAAACTAGTTCTTCCTATACACGATAGGATAAACTAGTTTAGGCTAGTCCAAACTAATTTGTCCTAATATAAATACGCACACTCTAGGATAAAGGGGGGAAAGGGATTGTTAGCAATGGAGATTGACACCCCTATTGTTAGCAATATGCCCTATTAGGTCGACCTCCACGTGGTTCCCCCTGGAAACCATCGTGAACAATTCTTATTGAATTCGTCACGATGGGCTAACGGACCTGCTTCATACTCACCTATCATCCTTCACTGGTGCCCCGCCGGTGTATACCGATAGCGCGGGTGGTGTTACCATTCCATTATCACCCATTAAAAAAAAAACTCTAGGATAAACTGGTATGGCCTAGTCTAAACACTATAGTATGTCTAAAAAGTCAAAATAAATAAAGAAACTAAAGAAAAAAAACTCCATAATTGGAAAAATAATATTTTTTATTAAAACCATAATGATTTATCGTTAAAAGTTACGCCCTTCTGAGTTTCGTGAAAAAAATTAGTAAGAGAACGATCAGGACATAAAAACAATAGTACAATAAATTAAAGTTAATATAAAATTCCTTAAATACTAATAACAATTAAAAGTAATCCCCCAACGCACCACACCGAGGCAGCGTACCCGAGATACTGGCAGCATTACCTCTTTGGATTGCCAAACTTATCTTTTGGATTTTAGAACGATTATTTGAAAGACATTTTATATGCGGAACCATTCTCGAATAATAAATAAAAAATAAAAGGAAATAGTATTAAAATAAAAAATAAGCGCAATAACATACCTAATAACAGTGTGTATTCAGCTTTTACGGTTGTTTATTGTTCTCTTTGTGTGAAACGATATAAAAGCTAGGCTAAGGAGCACGCAAAGTCAAACCGGCAAAATGAAATTCAGCATTTTGCTCGTGGCGGTGAGTGGATATTTATTTATTTCTCTTTTTTACATACATACATACATACATACATATCTGTCACGCCTGTCTCCCATTAGGGTAGGCCGAAACAATGGAACGCCAAACGCTTCGATTCAAACAAACCTCTTTCGCTTCTTACACACTCATCAATCTTTTCATACACGCTCGCCGGTTACGGGTACTTCTAAATAATAAAGCAATTTATTTATTTATTGATTCATAGGATTACCAACATAAGGTACAGCTAAACATTTCAATACAATACACTGGCAGATTAGATCTAACTGTTCTTACATTTATAGGCGACCACAGCACGCCTTGTGTTTGACAAACATTAAAATAGAATTAAATTATTAAATGTCATTATATGAGTAAAGATATTAACAAAATGAATAATAATATAATATAAATAATGGAAATTGTATTTAAATTATTATAAATTATAAATAAATATAATGCAATGGCGAGGTACATCAACATTTTAATTTAGCCATGAACACAGAGTGACTATCGTTGTGAATATCAAGTTCAGGCTTGGTTTTTACAATATCAATAAATAAATTGTTAAACGGTTAAAAAATAAAATCAAAAATAGAAGTAATAAATTCATTTTTCAGTGAAAGTAACAATAATCCAAAAGTAACCCATAAATTCAACAGTAAATTAATCAAGATGGTTTCCAGGTGGAACCGCGTGAAGGTCGACCCGGTAGGGTGTATTGCTAGCAATGGGATTGCTAATCTCCATTACCATCAATCCCTTGTTCCCCCTTCCGCTGATTCTAAGCACCAATGTCAAACGAAATTGATTCTGGTAAAGGCGATAGGCGCGCCCCCTGTCACATTGGAGTCTAATACGTTCGGCGGGAGGCAAAAGGTATTGTTAGTAATAGAGTCTAACAGCTCCATCACTAGTATTATACCCTAACAGGTCGACCTCCACGCGGTTCCCCTGGGTACCATCGTAGTTAATTCTTGTGGAATTTCTCACGCTGGACCAACTGACCTGCCTTTTCATCCTCATCAGTCATCTATCACTGGTGCCCCGTTAGTGTATACCGTTAGCACAGGTGGGGTTACCATACCATTATTACCCATTAAAAAAATACGCTCGGGGAAACGTGGGTATATTGTTATGTTCACTACAACGGCAATAGTCGACAGATGGCTCTGACTACCCCATCAGGGATTATAGTAATGAGCATATATTTTATGTAAGATTAAGTATGAGTAGGAAGGAAGGAGAGAAGCAGGATATTCACCAGAGGGAGACTTTGTACAAAAGTCGATTGCTTGGGTACCTCTGTCCCATTAGTGTTTCAACCGTGAAGCAGTTGTGTTTGCATGGCTGTGTTTCGGTTTGAAGGGTGGGATATGGCGTGAATTTACAGGGTACAGAGGAATAACACCTGAGTCCTCAGGAATGGCAACGCATGGGGGTATCATGGGCGTAACAGTACACTCTGTTACGTCCATGGTACTGCTCGTGTCTTTAGGCGACGGTTACCACTTTCCATCAGGCGTGTCGTCAGCTTGTTTGCCATTCTAAGTTGTATAAAAAAAAATGTTTCTAATGGGGATTAGCAGCCCATCGCTGGCAATATACCCTGTCGTATATTATTTTATACATAACTAGTTTTATACTACAGCTTTGTCCACGTGGTTTAAAATAAAATGTTTAACAATTATTGTCTTTCGCAGGCCTGTGTGGTGGCAGTCCAGTGCCGACCGAACAAACGTGAGTATTAATCATCACTATAAAGTTATCACCACTTGGCAATTGTTGTACACATCATCAACAGCGACTTCGTTCATCAGATAGATAGATAGGTAGATAGATACTCTTTATTGTTACCTCCAAAAGATTACAATAGTAAACTTATTATAGATATAAACAATTACAAGAAATGATCACAATGAAACCTTCGGTATAAATTATATTTTTATTTTTTCAAATAATTTTATTTGAACATAAAAAAAATTGTGTAAATTCAGGCTTTTCATACGAACGATCTTATGAAATAAAAAAAAAAAATATAGTTCATTCTAACATAATGTAATATAAAAAAACCCTGTAAATTCACTGCCATATCTCATCCAGGGTGGGATATGGCAGCGAATTAAAATATTGTATAAGATATATATATATATATATATATATATATATATATATATATATATAGGTATTATTTTCATATAATGTGTTTTTCTGAAAAAATGTTTTATTACCTTCCGAGCATTATTATTGACAATGTTGCTGTAGTTTTCAATAGTATTTGTTTGTTTAATTTTGTTTATATTTGTTTTATTTAGTATTGTCTAATTTTGCATTTCGTTTACTTGTATTTTATTTTATACACATTCTAGTGGCTGCCAAATTACTATTTCAGTATATAATTATATATTATTTTAGCTGTTTGTTTGCCTTAAATAAATAAATATATTAATATTAATTATACTAACAAATAAGTAGAAATAGTGTTCACCAAACATCGAGGCAGCGTACCCAAGATACTGGCAGTACCTCTTCGGATTGCCAAACTTGTCTTTTGCGCAAAGTATCTACCAGCTCTTGAATAATGAGTTCCCCAATCTTGTCTACAGATGGCTGTGGAGGGGGCGAAGAAATTGGGAAACCCAAAGTCCCATTAGGCCCCGGTCCCGTCATAAACCCAGGTGGCCCCGTAATCTGGCCTGGTGGAAGCTCGTCCAGTAGGTCTGAAAGTAGTAGCGACTCCAAGAGCAGAAGCAGCAGTTGGGACCGTAATGGATCGAGTAGTTCCAGCAGCAACAGTGGCTCCAGGAGCAGTTCGAGTAGCTCAGGTGAGTTTCATTGAATTTTTTTTAAAGAATAAGGTACGAATGAATGAATGAAAACTCTTTATTGTTTACTTCAAATATAAGTAAAGTATAAAAAAAATATATATATATATATATAATTATGTATTCTAAATATTAATAGTTGTAGCACTTCAGCTGCCCGCTAACAACATGCTTTCTAACTGCATCGGGTTGACTGGAAGAGATCTCTGTCAGAGATAAGTCCACGCTTGCTCACAACGTTTATAAATACATTATTTTATATGTAAGTTACAAGTACAATAAAGAATATATATAAAAGCAAGTTAAAGAGGCAACAATGGGTGAGTTTATCGCAAAATGCGCTCTTTTCCAGGCAGGCTGGTAACGCGTGGGGGGTACCATGGGCGAAACAGTATACTCTGTTATGTCCATGGTACTGCTCATGTCTATAGGCGACAATTACCACTTTCCAGCAGGTGGGCCGTCAACTTGTTTGCCATTCTAAGTTGTATAAAAAAAGTCTTAGAATGGAGAGGGATATGTAACGATTCGTCTAGTCATTTATATATAATATATGTATGTATATATAATATAATATATATTAGTTTATCAACTCTATCAGGGACAAGCCCACCCAAGGGTGGGCTTGTCCCTGATAGAGGTTTCTTCCATCCAACACAGTGCAGTGAGAGAGAAAATGATTAACGGATAATCTAATGCAGGAAAGGTAAAAAAAAAAAATTTGCGTAAATTAAAAGTCATTAGAATACTATTAAAATAAACATGTACAATTTGTAAATAAATGCATATATGTATATGAACAAAAACATAATACATAATAATATATACAATACAGTAAAAGTTCTTTATTTACGCTTCCTTTATTCAAGTTTTCACTATTCACGACTTAATTCCTATATTCGCGGTTAAGGATTCATTATTCGCGGATTTAATTGACACATATAGATTCGGTATCTTTTGTAAACGCGTCGGCAAATGGACTTATAAAAAATTATAACAGACTTACACAACTACACTTAAAGTATGTTGTCAAATGCTGTCGCCGCTGTATAAGTGGGTTGGCTTTCTATATTCACGGTTTCTGTATTCGCGGCATATTTACGGAATGTATACCCCGCGGATAAAGAGCTTTTACTGTATATACAATAATACAATACATATTTTATCGGTTTTTAGGAGGAAAACGTCCAGTACCAATAATTCCATTAGGACCGGGTCCTGTTGTGACCCCAGGGGGACCAATCACACCTATCGGCGGCAGTGGAAGCTCATCCAGTTCAAGTAGCGACAGTAACTCGAGCAGCAGCTCCAACAGTAACTCTGAGGGTAGCTCCAGCGAGAGTAACAGTGCCAGCAATAGCCCGTCTAGTAGCAGCAGCAGCTCAGGTAAGTTGTAATACTTTAATCATTAGTAGTAAAGTGAAGGAAGCTTATATGCAGAAGAGAGTAAGTGAGCTCAGGATATCTAATCACGAAAAGTTAGTGGAAGAAGGAAATAGACAGTGTTAGTCTTCGATAACGAGATAAAGGTAAGGTAACAATGATAATTAAGAGCTGTATAACATAGTAACTGATCATCAGCAGAAAAGTGAAGAAAGATGATACGTATAAGAGAGTTTTCCCACAAAGTCTGATGAAGATCACAGAGAGAGAAGGAAACAGATTGCTCTAGTTTTGGATAACGAGTCATAGGTAAGGCATGGACGAAATTCAATAGTTATTAAATAAAATGTCTACTTACTCTGTTTAATTTTATTTAAAATTTGAAATGACCAACAAGCTAATAGGTCACCTATTTTTTTATGGGTGATAATTAAATGGTAATCCCGCCTGCGCTATCCGTATACACTGGCGGGATACCAGTGAGAGGTGATAGGTGAGGATGAAAGCAAGTTAGCACATCGTAACGAATTTCTCTAGAAATAACCACGATATTTTCCAGGGGGAACCACGTGGAGGTCGACCTGAAAGGATGAATTGCTGGCAATGGGTCAGTTAGTCCCTATTACTAACAGTCCCTTTCCCTCCGATAGGTCACCTATTGGAAAACAGTTATTTGTAGGCGTGAGCAGCATAATGGATATCATAGAATGTGTTATATCTGCTTTAGGTGGTAAACGTCCAGTACCAATAGGTCCATTAGGACCGGGCCCAGTTGTGATCCCAGGTGGACCAATCAGACCTGTTGGCGGTAGCTCGTCCAGCTCAAGTAGCGACAGCAACTCAAGCAGTAGTTCCAACAACAACTCTGAGGGTAGCTCCAGCGAGAGTAACAGTGCCAGCAATAGCCAGTCTAGCAGCAGCAGCAGTTCAGGTAAGATGGTATAATTGATCAGTAGTAGAAAGTAAAAGAAGATAATAAGTTGATATTGCACTAGAGGTAATAAGTACTAAGTGGGAGGTGGTAGGTATAAAATTGTGGGTCCAAGACATCTGATAAGGATCACAGGGAGGGAAAAAAGAAATTGTGTCAACTTCAAATAAAAAAAAAAACAAAGGTAAAGCGATATCAATGATCAATACCCATAAAATGTAATAATTAACTGAAAAGCGATGAAAGATGATATACATAAGAGACTGACCTCAGGATGTTTGATCAGGATTAATAGTCTCTATATGTATATAATAATAATAATTTATATTTGGAACTTTTTTGGTCCATTAAATATTTATTACGAGTAGTATCTTATGGATAGGTTACATAGAAATCAGATAGAAAACAGTCTACGTCAACTATAAATAATAAACAATTTAAATTAGATTTGTATTTATTTTTAGGTGGTAAACGTCCAGTACCAATAGGTCCATTAGGTCCCGGTCCCGTTATACCAAAACCAGGCGGTCCTATAATCAGACCATGGCCCGGAAAAGGCAGTAGCTCATCTAGCTCCAGTGACAGCAGCTCGAACAGCAGCTCCAACAGTAACTCTAAGGGTAGCTCCAGCGAGAGTAACAGTGCCAGCAATAGCCAATCTAGCAGCAGCAGCAGCTCAGGTAAATTCTAGACATGTGACCAAAAATAGTAGAGTTATGAAAGATTAATAATCAAGAATAGTAGAGTGACGTAGTAAAGAGTAAATGAGCCCAGGATATCTAATATGTAGGAGTTAGTAGAAGAAGAAAACAGACTATGCCAATTTTAGATAATGAGATGAAAACAAGGGGATAACGTCAACTAAATATATATGAAATATAATAAATAATTAGTATTAGAAAATTGATGTAATATGATATTCACAAGAATAACTCTTTTATACAAAAAACGTCTTAAATATGAGCCCAATTTTATAACTTCGAATGGTAAATAAGTTAAAGGCACATGTAATGAAGATTTGTAGTTTATGAATGTAAACAACATAATAGATATTACAAAGTACATTGTGTGTTTTAGGTGGAAAACGCCCAGTACCAATAATCCCATTAGGACCCGGTCCTGTTATAATAAATCCAGGCGGTCCTATAATCAGACCTCGGCCCGGAAAAGGCAGCAGCTCATCTAGCTCCAGTGACAGCAGCTCGAATAGCAGCTCCAACAGCGACTCTGAGGGTAGCTCCAGCGAGAGTAATAGTGCCAGCAATAGCCAATCTAGTAGCAGTAGTAGCTCAGGTAAATTTTATTATGTAACTGAAACCAAAAAGTCATGACCCGACTGATGGGAAGTGGTAACTATCATTATATAGATGTGGACGGAGGCACTAAATAATAGTTGCTTATGAATAATTATACTGTACCATGTACATATCACAGAACAGATTCTACATTAATACACTCATTCATTACTATTCCCATATCTCAATATGGCAATAAATTATAGGTTTATGGAGGCATAACATACTAGTCTCCATCTTTCAGATCGAAACACGCATGAAGTTACAACTGATTAACAACTAAACCCGAATTCGGTAGAAGTACCCATGCATAGAATTTTTGTTCAAAATCTCCTTCTGAAAATAAAGGCATATTTAAAGAAAGATATATCTTCCGCGGCGCTCAAAGCAACTTCAAAATTTTCGGGTTGCATAATCTAAATAATCAGACCATGTTATACTGACCGCAGTCAATTGCAGACAACGTAGCGAGCGATGTCATGCCTCAGCTTTTATAAATATTTTCTGATTAAAATTCCGTAAACGCATTTCTCCTATCCACATTCTCCTGTCAAATATTATACTAATTATGATATCACCTAAAGGGTTTCTGATGATACCATGATTGAAATGCTGAGGACTGGACCTCTAATAAGAATGATTGGTTTACGAATTAAATTTCTTCATTTGTCTCCGAGGTCCTTAATAGATTCACTTTGATGAAAAGACGGTTTTAAATTTTATCACATCAACTGGTTGATTTTGATAAATAGCAAATTCCCTAGAGCAACATGCGCAAATAGAATTCTAAGTATATTTCGTTTTCACAGGTCCCAGAAGACCCAGACCAAAGGTTCCACTAGGCCCAGGGCCAGTAATCATTCCACATCCTGGTAAACCAAAAATTCCACTAGGACCTGGTCCAGTAATCTTACCTAATCGAGGTAAGGGAAGTTCATCAAGCTCGAGCAACAGTAGTTCAAACAGTAGCTCAAACAGCGGCAGTAGCTCAGAAAACAGTAGTTCTGATAGTAATAGCTCCAGTAATAGTAACAGTAGCTCAAATAGTAGCTCAAATAATAGCAGCTCCAACAGTAGCAGTGACTCCAATAGTGGATCAAGTAGTAGCTCAAACAACAGCAATAGCTCCAACAACAGTAGCTCCAACAGTAGCAGTGGTTCTAATAGTGGATCAAGTAGTAGCTCAAACAACAGCAATAGCTCCAACAACAGTAGCTCCAACAGTAGCAGTGGATCCAATAGTGGATCAAGTAGTAGCTCAAACAACAACAGCTCCAACAGTAGCAGTGGTTCCAATAGTGGTTCTAGCAGCAGTTCAAATAATAACAGTAGCTCAAACAACAGCAGCTCTAATAGTAGCAGCGGCTCCAACAGTGGCTCAAGCAGCAACTCAAACAACAGCAGTTCCAACAGTAGCAGTGGTTCCAATAGTGGTTCTAGCAGCAGTTCAAACAATAACAGTAGCTCAAACAACAGCAGCTCTAATAGTAGCAGCGGCTCTAACAGTGGCTCAAGCAGCAACTCAAGCAACGGCAGTTCCAACAGTAGCAGTGGATCTAATAGTGGCTCAAGCAGCAACTCAAGCAACGGCAGTTCCAACAGTAGCAGTGGATCTAATAGTGGCTCAAGCAGCAACTCAAGCAACGGCAGTTCCAACAGTAGCAGTGGATCTAATAGTGGCTCAAGCAGCAGCTCAAATGACAATAGTTCCAACAGCAGCAGTGGTTCCAACAGTGGATCAAGCAGTAGCTCAAACAACAACAGCTCCAACAGTAGCAGTGGTTCCAACAGTGGATCAAGTAGTAGCTCAAACAACAACAGTTCTAACAGTAGCAGTGGTTCCAACAGTGGATCAAGCAGTAGCTCAAACAACAGTGGTTCAAACAGTAGCAGCGGTTCTAATAGTGGCTCAAGTAGCAGTTCAAACAACAACAGCAGCTCAAACAACAGCAGCTCCAACAGTAGCAGTGGTTCCAACAGTGGATCAAGCAGTAGTTCAAACAATAGTGGCTCTAATAGTAGCAGTGGTTCGAACAGTGGATCAAGTAGTAGCTCAAACAACAACAGCAGCTTAGACAACAGCAGCTCCAACAGTAGCAGTGGTTCCAACAGTGGATCAAGCAGTAGCTCAAACAATAGTGGTTCTAACAGTAGCAGTGGTTCCAACAGTGGATCAAGCAGTAGCTCAAACAACAACAGCTCAAACAGTAGCAGCGGATCCAACAGTGGTTCAAGCAGCAGCTCAAACAACAGCAGCTCCAACAGCAGCAGTGGCTCCAACAGTGGTTCAAGCAGCAGTTCAGATAACAGCAGCACCAATAGTAGCAGCGGTGCTAATAGCGGTTCTAACAGCAGTAGTAGCTCAAACAACAGCAGCTCAAACAGTAGCAGTGGTTCTAACAGTGGCTCAAGTAGTAGCTCAAATAACAGCAGCAGCTCAAACAACAGCAGCTCAAATAGTAGCAGCGGTTCAAACAGTAGCTCTAGCTCAAACAATAGTAGCTCAAATAGCAGCAGCGGTTCAAACAGTGCTTCAAACAGCAGCAGCGGCTCAAACAGTGCCTCAAGTAGCAGCTCAAATAACAATAGCGCCAACAGTAGCAGCAGTTCTAACAGCGCTTCAAACAGTAGTAGCAGCTCTGAAAGCTCTAATAGCAGCTCTAATATTTGTTAAATTGCATTAAGAAGCATGGTTTGTTTTATTGTTATTATAAAATGTTTGGATTGAAACTTTTTCTTTTGGATAAAAAATTTATTATTTTGTAATTCTATGTATGTTTATTGATTAATTAATAAAATTTTGGTTGTTGCATTATAAAATTGTAATTATTTTAATCAACGAAATCCAATTCTTAAACTAGTTTTATTTAATTAGTTGTCAGAATTCATTAATAGGGTCTTAAAAAAAAATTCAATAACTCTTTATTGCACCAGAAACATAAAAAATATACAAGGACAATTAAACAATTCAAGTGAAATACAGTAGCATAAAGTACAGATTAAAACGCAGTAAAAGCTCTTTATTCGCGGAGTATAATATGTTCAATAAAAATGCCGCGAATATAGGAACCGTGAATATAGAAAACCGAACCACTTATACAGTGGCAACAGCATTTGACAACATACTTTAGGTGTAGTTGTATAGATCTGTTTTAATTGTTTATTAGTCCATTTGTTGACGTCTGGTTTTACAAAGGATACGGAATCCTTTTTATTAATATGTACCGATTAGATCCACGTATAAAGAAATCTTTAAAAAGTCGACTGCTTGGGTATCTCTGTCCTATTCGTGTTTCAACCGTGAAGCAGTTGTGTTTGTATGGCTGTGTTTCGGTTTGAAGGGTGGGATATGGCGTGAATTTACTGGGTACAAAGGAATAACACCCGAGTCCTCAGGAATGGCAACGCATGGGGGGTATCATGTACATGGGGGGTATATGTATATTTGTAATTTATGTATATATTTATTTTAACTTCTGTTTAGGGCTACTACTGCCCACTCATTACTTCCTATACCACTGTACTAGGTTGACTGGAATAAATCTCTTTTAGAGATAAGTTCGCCTTTGTTTACATATAAAAGACTTTACAGATTTAAACAATTTCATGAAATATTCAAATTGAGAAAACAATGAGCGGTGGTACATTAGATTACCACACAATAGGACTGATATATCTGAAGAAGGTAAAAGCCCTTAAAATGCTAAAAAAAAAATAAGCTTCTAATTAGTGCTGTTTTTATCACAAATGATGGAATGACAATAAAAAGGCAGTTTAATGTTTGAATTACGCTACAGTATAGCTACGTCTATAATTGTTCATCTACAACAATTTAAAATCTTTTTCACCGGGTAATTTTACATTTCTGTTTTGTCACAGGTTGACTGGGAGAGAATGCTATATATGTAGTATTAAGTCCGAACTATGTTAGCTGAACTTAAACCAGAAATTTTTGAACATCTGTGTAAATTATTGAAGCCCATTATTTCTTCTCTTTCCGCGTCTAGGGAAGGTAGATAAAGTTTTGTTGGAGAAATCAGTTCAGGGTACAATAGGACTGATATACCTGAAGAAGGTAAAAGCCCTTAAAATATTAAAAAAAAAAAAAAAATAAGTCCGCCTTTTGTACCAGACATTTTTTGTAATGTAGTCAATAAAGAATAAATAAACGAAACAAATAGTCAAGTGTTTAAAACCTGCTCGTAACAAGTCTTATGATATTTCAAGTGTATTTTAAAATTTTAAACTAAATTAAAATTAACGGCCGGCAGCACACCTGCAATGCCGCTGGTGTTGTGGGTGATCATGGGCGGCGGTAGTCACTTACCGTCAGGTAAGCCGCATGCTCGTTTGCCACCTGTGTTGTAAAAAAAAAAACGTAGTACGGCAAACAAGCTGACGGCCCACCTGATGGTAAGCGGTTACTGTAACCTGTGAACGCCTGCAATACTAAGAGTATTGCGCGCGCGTTGCCGACCTTGAAGAAACCTCTTTACTCCCCTTTTGAAGAACGCCTGAGTGGTATAAAAAAATATATTCTACTAGCGACCCACCCCGGCTTCGCGCGGGAGCAATGCTGATACTAAATAGCGCCGCCGTCCATGCACATTAAATCTGAAGGCCTACCATGAAATGTTTCCCGAAATTTCGGAGCCAAACGAAACAGAAATTTGATGTTACAATTACATAATACATGCCGTTTGGAAGTATTAAAAATGTTAAAATATCGTTCCTTTTGACTTTTATGATAGGATGTATGACGAACGAAATGTTACACTCCATTTATTGGTCCGATTTTGGTATAAACAAAAACACGAAATTGAGACCGAAATTTCGGAATTTCGTTTCATGGTAGACTGTATGACATCAATACTTATACGACACTAACGTCACGTCAATTGTTTTGCCTTCCCAGCACCCCTCCGCTAACACTTGAACTTTATGGTACGGTATTAAAGTTCAAATTTACTTTTTAAGTATTATTACGAATCGTCTGTACGGGAGTACAGAAAAGTGTTGTTTTTAGACTCTTTTGAGGCAATTTTTTTAAATTCTTCTCTCCGTAAGAACTGTACTAATACTTCAAAGGACATTCTAAAGAAAGAATTTGCGAAATCGATTCGGTTGTTCCCGAGATTTGCGCTCAGCAACACAAATAAGCGATTTGTGTTGATTTTTATATTATAATATTTTAAAAGGTAGTATTATACGCAATCCTTTAATAATGGCAATGAAAAGATTAATTAACGGAAGAAAAAATATGTTATAATATGTATACAGCTTAAGTATATATTTGCAAAATTTGGCCTTTTGTCTGAGACAATATAAAAGCGAGTCATTGAGGCTGTTTCACGAAGTCTTGTTAAAATGAGGTCGAGTTTTGTGCTGGTAGCTTTAACGGTAAGTACCTAGTTTTTTTTTTTTATAATAATCATTATAATTTTAGCCATTATTCGTCCACTGCTGGACATAAGCCGCCTAGATTTAAGTCGCCTGCATCTACTGATTCTCTGCAATGCATTTTAGGTCGGCACTCCATCTCATTAGCAGAGACTACAAAAATCGATTGCTTGGCCACCTCTGTCCCATTCGTGTTTCTACCCGGAAGGAGTTGTGTTTGCATGGCTGTGTTTCGGTTTGAAGGGTGGGCTATGACAGTGAATTTACAAGGTACAGAGGAATAACACCTGAGTTCTCAGGAATGGCAACGCATGGGGGGTATCATGGGCGAAACAGTATACTCTGTTATGTCTATGGTACTGCTCATGTCTATAGGCGACGGTTACCACTTTCCATCATGTGGGCCGTTAGCTTGTTTGCCATTCTAAGTTGCATAAAAATATGTCTAAATAGCCATTTACAGAATAGCATGCAAATGTCGTATTTTGGTAGGAACTGACTAATTCATGCATCGACAACAACTATACTACATATTTATCGATTCTTTTTTAAAAAATCATTTAAATGGAAGATAAAGAACTGGAATGGCCGTGTGGTCCCGGCATAGAATAGGCCACCCCTTCCTTTCCCGTGGGTGTCGTAAGAGGCGACTTAGAGAACTTGATGGTAGAGGGATGGATAGCAGTGTCCTTCTTAAATCACCGAAGCCTAACTGCGGTGGGGGGAAAAGGGATTGTTAGTAATGGGATCAAATAGCCCCATTATCAGCAATATACCCTGTCAGGTCGACCTCCACGTGGTCCGCCCTGGAAACTATCGTGGCTAATTCTAGTTGAATTCGTCATGATGGGCTAACTGACCTGATTTCATCCTCGTCTGTCATCTCCCACTGGTGCCCCGCCAGCGTATACCGATAGCGCAGGCGGGGTTACCATACTATTGTCACCCATTAATATATAAAGCCTGACCGCAGTTGCCAACCTGCTTGCCAAGCGTGGCAACTGGTGAAACTAACTTATGGGGAAAGATTATGTTCAGCAGTGGACAGTTAACGGCTGTATCGTTATCATCATCATCATCATCATCGAGGCACATTTAATAATTTGTTAATAATATACACTTTATTTTGCAGGCATGTGTCCTAGCTGTACACTGCCGACCAAATATAAGTAAGTATTTATTTTATTCCTAGAAACAGTGAGGGATGATAGGTGAGGATGAAAAGGCAGGCCAATTAGCCCATCGTGATGAATACACCTGGAATTCAGCATGTGATGGTCGATTAGGAGGTTTCTTTTTTTAACGGATGATAATGGAATGGTAACCCCACCCGCGCTATCGGTATACACCGGCGGGACACCAGTGAGGGATGATAGGTGAGGATGAAGCAAGTCAGCCCATCAAGACAAATTCAACAAGAATTGTTCACGAGAGTTTCTAGGGGGAACCACGTGAAGGTCGACCTAATAGGGTATATTGCTAGCAAGGGGGTTATTAAGCCCAATTGCTAACAATCCCTTCTCTCCCCGATTAGGAGGTTGAATGAAAAGGTGTACTCTTCTATCCTTATTGTGCATTGGTAGGGCATCAGCGATGGGGTAAACAATGAGGACTGAGCCAGGTCAGTTGGCCCATCGGGACGAATTTACTAGGAATTAACTACGATGGTTTCCAGGGGCATAGAGCATGGGCGTCGACCTGATAGAGTATTATGCTAGCTTTAGGATTTGTAGTCCCCATTACAAAGAATCTCTTTTTTCATCCCCAGGCTGGGAGGTCGGCTCCGGATCTTCGAGGTCCTCTGAGAGTCGAAGCACCAGTAACTCAGAAAGAAGCAGCAGCAGTAGCGTACAAAGCAGCGAAAGAAGCGTCGAAAATCAGATTAGTTCAGGTAAGATATTGCTTGTCGCCTGTGGTAAGGAAGGCTGGTGAAAGGAAGTGCCGGGTAAGGGACCACAGAATAGGCCACCCCTTCCTTACCTGTACGTATCTGAAGAGGTGACTATGGGAACTTAACGGTACTGGTTACGCCGCTTCGATTGTACCTGGATTCATCTATTTTATTATGGTCTGTGGGCAAGTGAGGCACCAAAAACGCCACAGAGCAGAGTGCTTTTATCCCGCTTGCCGAGCGAACCCAGCGCGCGCGCGCATCGCAATGAAAAATATACTATACAGTTTTGTGTTGGACAAATCAAACTTAAAAACTATTCCGTGCTATTCTGCACATCGAAGTTACCCAAAACAGCAAAGAAGACGAGGAGCTGTACTGCGGTGCTTAGGTCATCCAGTTAGGCACGCCAGCGCTGTACTTCCAATATATATAGGGAGACTTTGTACAAAAGTCGATTGCTTGGCCACCTCTGTCCCATTCGTGTTTCTACCGTGAAGCAGTTGTGTTTGCATGGCTGTGTTTCGGTTTGAAGGGTGGGTTATGGCAGTGAATTTACAGGGCACAGAGGAATAACACCTGAGTCCTCAGTATACTCTGTTATGTCCATGGTACTGCTCATGTGTATAGGCGACGGTTACTACATTCCATCAGGTGGGCCGTTAGCTTGTTTGCCATTTTAAGTTGTATAATAAAATAAAATAAATCTCGATCGGTAACGTTTCAAATTTTTAGCACAATAAAAATAAATATTACTTTCTTCTTTTTAACATTGCAGCATCATCGGATAGGTCGTCATCTGCCTCCGAGAGGCAGAGTTCTGCTTCTAGCAGGGGAGAAAGGAACTCTTGGGGAGAAAGAGGTAACCTATGCACTAGTATTAAAGTTTATATTAATATTATTATTATGATACTTTCATATGTACCAATACGTACATATGTATGTATGTACCAGAGGGAGACTTTGTACAAAAGTCGTTTGCTTGGGTACCTCTGCCCCATTCGTGTTTCAACCGTGAAGCAGTTGTGTTTGCATGGCTGTGTTTCGGTTTGAAGGGTGGGGTATGGCATGAATTTACAGGGTACAGAGAAATAATACCTGAGTCCTCAGAAATGGCAACGCATGGGGGGTATCATGGGCGAAACAGTATACTCTGATATGTCCATGGTACTCTTTATGTCTATAGCGACGGTTACCACTTTCCATCAGGTGGGCCGTCAGCTTGTTTGCCATTCTAGGTTGTATAAAAAAAATGTAAAAAAAGATAAAGGGAAAGCAATGGTCCAGGGATGGGCAGAAGCTTCCCTCTTAAAACATCACCAATTTTTCTTTGCTGTATAGGAGTTCAGTAAAGAGTCTGGATTACCTATTATTAATCGAAGATAGAGAGTATTGTCCTGGGCAAACTGAAAATTTGCAGTAAAGAAACATGGGCCTAGAAATGATAAACCGTTTTGTGTCCCACTGACACGACGCGGCCACCCGTCCAGTTAGTATAGGGAGGCTCAGTTATCACTTCTCGTTCCATGTTCCTTCAGTGAAAATGTTCAGTTTTTAACTACGGTTGACAACCCGCTTGCAAGCGTGGCAATCTCCAGCAGCAGTATTTCCGAACCGATACGACATCATAACCTTCAAGAAAAGAGCATATTCCTTTTTAAAAGGCCGGCAGCACACCCGCAATAAATAAATAAAGATAAAAAAAATGATAATTTACCTGGGTTATCTCGACGTTTTGACCATGTTACACCGACCGTGGTCACAAGTAGACTGACGTAGCACTGTCACGACTCCGCTTCCGAGGCGGAAGTTTTTGTTCTACCCGCTCATTGTATCATATCGCTCAAATTGTCTTGCCACATCTCAGGTGTTAACCTTCTTTGTGAACAAACTTGCAGGTTCGTCGTCAGCTTCTGCGTTGGACAGGTCCGCTTCTGAAAGACTGAGTTCTGCATCGAGGAACGAGGCGAGAAACTCATGGGGAGGTAATTATTTATTTAATTTGTTATTTATTTATTCGTTAAAAATAATTACAACATTATAACAGCAAATGCCAAATCAATGTTATAAACCTAGTGTGCTAACATACAACGTTATAATAAATGTATTTAACCCGACTCTAGATATGTGTGAGCCGCTTCTATTGTCTCTGGCAGGCTGCTACTGAATATATCAACAATGTTTTTTAATATTATTTAATAACCGTATTGTGTGTATGTATTTCCTATGTAACCTATTTTCTATATCAATCAACTAGCTAAATCGCATGGGTTTGTCCGCGTAAATCAGATTGTTTCATTTCCTCTTATAATACAGTTAGTTGTTTGTCAATGTAACATTTTTATATGTATATATTTATTTATTTAATATAGTATGTATAATAATAATAATAATAATAATCATTTATTTACAAAATATTGGTGATTGCCAGTAGCAGATCTTAAGTTATTGTTAAGTAATTGTTCAGCAATATTTACCATTTCGGTGTGTAAATGTTTTTTTTTTTTTTTATAATATCCAAAATAAGTCAAATTAACATTCAAATTACAATCACTAATAAGCTTTTACAATGTCAAGTATCACAAATTACATCTATTCAAAAAGTCTTTCACAGAATAGAAACAACCATCAATTAAGTAGTCAAACAATCTTCTCCTAAACTGTGTGTTGGTCAAATTTTTAACATTATCAGACGATTAGATTATTTTTAACATTTTTAACATTATTATATGTTTATATTAGTCTAATTGTGTGTTTATATTATAGGAATATATTAAGTACATAGTTTATATAGATAGAGCATAGAGTCTTAAAAACGGATCAACTTTTTGTCAGCTAATTGTCGAATTAGTTGACTCGTTTCTCTTATCAGTGTTCTATATACTTACGCATACAATGCACCTATCTTGACGTGTCTATATTTGATTATTTAATAAATATGTTTTTAGGCTTTAGAAAGACGCGAAAATTATAAAACAAAACAATATATACATATCGTCATAGTCGTAGAATACTAACGGATCTTTATATGTATTTCTTTGTCAGATCCGTCAGTATTCTACGACTATGACGATGTATATATATATATATATATATATATATATATATATATATATATATATATATATATATATATATATATTATTCAAATTATATTCAATAGTTAAATAAACTTTCAGCCTCAGCGTTGGAGAGGTCCGCTTCAACCGCTGAGAGACAAAGTTCAGCTTCGAGGAACGAGGAGAGAAACTCATGGGGAGAACGAGGTAATATGTTATAAATAAACTAATACATACTTTTTAAATTTTCCCTCCCTGAAGCATGCAAGCACTATGTTGAGAGTCGGCACTGTACTTATATTAATAAAATGGGTAAACGTATTTGTGCAACCTTGGAAAGTATCAACATAATAAAATAAATAATATATAACGAGTCAAAAAGACTTAGACACTTGATAATATAAAATATTTAAATTCAATAAATTTGTTGCATAAATACATACAAACGTTTTCTAATCAAAATGCCGTGGATCTTTAAAATGTAAGTTGCTTTAGTAAATTTAGTAAAAAATAAATTGCAAGAAAAGAAGTTTACAGAAAACGCAATGATTATTTATATCTTTCGAACTATTTCTATATATTAATTTCCATTACTATACTCAATCACGTATAATCTTTCAGCTTCAGCGTTGGAGAGGTCTGCTTCAGCCACTGAGAGACAAAGTTCCGCTTCTAGAAACGAGGAGAGAAACTCATGGGGAGAAAGAGGTAAAACAATATATTTGTATGAAATCTATGCAAACAGTACATTGAATTTAAAAAAAATATAATTAATATTCATTAATTATATTTTTAAAAAACCGATTTTGATAAAATTTTTACAGAGACAATCTAGAAATATATTCTTTCAGATAAAAAGAATTATCTAAATCGGTTTACAACTGACGGACTTATGAGACAACAAACATAAAAAATGCAACCTATATAAATATTTAGTTATTCGAATAATATACATTTATTTACTTTTTTATTTCCTTTATTGATTTATATAATCGTGAATAACTTTTCAGCCTCAGCATCTGAAAGGTCCGCTTCTGAGAGACAAAGGTCTGCTTCGAGAAACGAGGAGAGAAACTCATGGGGTGAAAGAGGTAACGTGAGTAACGAGAGTTACTCTTCACTGTTTCACAAACTACTGTTTTACAAAAAACTGACTTCAATTGCAACAAAACTAGTTATTTTGATATTGATATTTTTAATTGATATGTTAATTGTTGATCTTAAATGTATTTTTGCATGCTATCACCTTGTTAGCTAAGCACGAATGTTCTTTGACTAATGTAACATCTTTAACTTTACCGTGTTTAAGCAAATAAAGATTATTATTATTATTATTAAATAAAAAGTGACAGGCTGGATAACATTATGAATATTCAATAATTTTGTAGCGTTAATACTTTTAGATGGTTACATAGATTCATTTTACAAATTTCATCGCTGATAAGGGCAGTGCCGACCCTTAAATAACGTAACAAAAACTTCTATATTCGATTATAATTTGATATTAATCTATCTATATATTTGAATGATATAAATTTATCTGCTTTTTTTTTTATTTCTTTTTTTGATTTATAATACAATCGTGAATAACGTTTCAGCTTCAGCATCGGAGAGATCCGCTTCTGAAAGGCAAAGTTCTGCTTCGAGGAACGAGGAGAGAAACTCATGGGGCGAAAGAGGTAATCGACATGTTATAAAGTCGCTCTTTACTGTCTCCCCAAAAAACAGTACCTAGTGAATAAATATAGTAGACTACAGCATGGGGTTCTTCAAAAGGGGGGTAGAGAGGTTTCTTCAGGGCCTGCAATACCTCTCGCATTGCAGGCGTTTATAGGCTACGGTAACCGCTTACCATCAAGTGGGCCGTATGCTTGTTTGTGAGCTCAGTGGTATAAAAAAATATCAAGATTGTTTCCCATAAAAAAAAAAATCGATCTCAATTGTGAGCAAACCAGTTATTTTGGTCTAAAACTTAAACTACCAAATGGATTTTGATAAAATTTCTATGTGACCAACCTGTAAATATAACCTTTCAGGTAAAAAAAACAATTTTTCAAATCGGTTCACAACTGACGGGGTTATGAGGTGACAAACATAAAAAAAATACAGCATAAATTGATGTTATTATTAAGATTAGTAAAAAATACATCTTGTTCCTATTGTGTGAATAGTTGCATGGAATATATTCATTATTATCATCATCATACCAGCCTTTAACTGTCCACTGCTGAATATAAGCCTCCCCCTTGGGGGGTTTTGCTAGCAGTTGCCACGCTTGGCAGTCGGACTGGCAACCGCAATTAGGTTTTTTAAGATATTCTAAGAGAGACACTGCTGCCCATCTCTCGTTCTCCCTTAGTCGCCTCTTACGACACTCATGGGAAAGGAAGGGGTGGCCTATTCTATGCCGGGACCACGCGGTGAATTGATTGATATATATTAATTTTAAATCGACTTCAAAAAGAATTAAATCTCAATTCAGTTGTATTTTTTATTTGAAAAACGAATGCAATATTTTGATTTTTTTTTTATTCATTAATTCACTTTTCACTGTATCTTGGTGATGGGATTATAGTTTAACACCATATGTAGAATTTCCAATATAAACTGTTTAACTCGACTACTTTTATATTCATAGATGGCAGTGAAGTAGAACGTGAACGCCGCCGAAGACCTGGAAGTCCAGGTGTAGGTTCTAGACCTGGAGTCCCACTAGGCCCTGGCCCAGTTACCAGACCTGGTTCTAGAATAGAAGTAATCCCATTAGGGCCTGGCCCTGTCATTATACCTGGCCGTGGTGTTGGTGGAAACGGAGGCTCATCCGGCAGTAATAGCAGCAGCGGCTCAAGCAGCAACTCCAATAGTTCTAGTAGTAGTTCCAGTGACAATAGTTCTAGTAATAGTAGCTCAAACAACAGCAGTAGCTCCAATAGTAGCAACAGTAGTAGCTCTAACAACAGCAGTTCAGATAATAGCAGCAGCTCAAACAACTCTAGCAGTGGAAGCAACAGCTCAAATAACTCGAGTAGTGGTAGCCGTTCAAACAACTCCAGCAGTGCAAGCAATAGCTCAAACAACTCCAGCAGTGGAAGCAACAGCTCAAATAACTCGAGTAGTGGTAGCAGTTCAAACAATTCCAGCAGTGGAAGTAGTAGCTCAAACAACTCCAACAGCGGTAGCAGTTCAAATAACTCAAGCAGTGGAAGCAGTAGCTCAAACAACTCTAGTAGCAGCAGCTCAAACAACTCCAGTGGAAGCAGCAGCTCAAACAACTCTAGTGGCAGCAGCAGTTCAAACAACTCCAGTGGAAGCAGCAGCTCAAACAACTCCAGTGGAAGCAGCAGCTCGAACAACACTAGTGGCAGCAGCAGCTCAAACAACTCCAGTGGTAGCAGCAGCTCAAACAACTCCAGTGGTAGCAGCAGCTCAAACAACTCCAGTGGTAGCAGCAGCTCAAACAACTCCAGTGGTAGCAGCAGCTCAAACAACTCTAGCAGCAGCAGCTCAAACAACTCCAGTGGCAGCAGCTCAAACAACTCTAGCAGCGGTAGCAACTCAAACAACTCTAGCAGCGGTAGCAGCTCTAACAACTCTAGCAGTGGTAGAAGCTCAAACAACTCTAGCAGCGGTAGCAGCTCTAACAACTCTAGTGGTAGAAGCAGCTCAAACAACTCTAGTGGTAGCAGCAGCTCAAACAACTCCAGTGGTAGCAGCAGCTCAAACAACTCTAGTAGCGGTAGCAGCTCTAACAACTCCAGTGGCAGCAGCTCAAACAACTCCAGTGGCAACAGCAGCTCAAACAACTCCAGTGGTAGCAGCAGCTCAAACAACTCCAGTGGTAGCAGCAGCTCAAACAACTCCAGTGGTAGCAGCAGCTCAAACAACTCCAGTGGTAGCAGCAGCTTAAACAACTCCAGTGGTAGCAGCAGCTCAAACAACTCCAGTGGTAGCAGCAGCTCAAATAACTCCAGTGGTAGCAGCAGCTCAAACAACTCCAGTGGTAGCAGCAGCTCAAACAACTCCAGTGGTAGCAGCAGCTCAAACAACTCTAGGAGTGGAAGCAGCTCAAACAACTCCAGTAGTTCAGGCAACTCCATCAGTGGCAGTAGCAGCTCAAACAACTCTAGTAGTTCAAACAACTCCAGCAGTGGTAGCAGTTCAAACAACTCTAGCAGCTCAAACAACTCCAGCAGTGGCAGCAGCTCGAACAACTCTAGCAGTTCAAACAACTCCAGCAGTGGCAGCAGTTCAAACAACTCTAGCAGCGGTAGCAGTTCAAACAACTCTAGCAGCGGTAGCAGTTCAAACAACTCTAGCAGCGGCAGCAGCTCAAACAACTCTAGCAGCGGTAGCAGTTCAAACAACTCAAGCAGTAGCAATAGCAGCTCAAACAACAGCAGTGAAAACAGCAGTAGCTCAACTAGTAGCAGTTCTAACAACTCTGAAAGCTCAAGTAGCCAAAACAGCGCCGAAATCTCAATTAGCAGCAGATCTGAAAGCAGCAGCTCCAGTAGCAGCAGCTCTGAAAGCAGCAGCTCGAGTTCCAGCAGCAGCTCGAGTTCATCTTCGGTGAATTAAGACGAATTATTGGCTCAGTAAAGGGAAAATGTCTTGTCAATTAAAAAACTAAATTTTTTAGGCATATCTTGTATTTTGGTTTAAAGCATGTTGTTGGAGAAAACATAATAAAATTGTTCATTGCAATAGTACACGGTTATTTTAATATTGTTTTATTTTATTGTTTCTGCCTACCCTAATGGGAGACAGGCGTGACAGATATGTATGTATGTATGTATGTTTTATTTTAATGCCTACATAATGATAATCATGATGATGCTATTAATCATGAACTCACCAGAGGGAGACTTTGTACAAAAGTCGATTGCTTTGGCACTTCTGTCACATTCGTGTTTCAACCGTGAAGCAGTTGTGTTTGCATGGCTGTGTTTCGGTTTGAAGGGTTGGGATATGGCGTGAATTTACAGGGTACAGAGGAATAACACCTGAGTCCTCAGGAATGGTAACGCATGGGGGATATCATGGCCGAAACAGTATACTCTGTTATGTCCATGGTACTGCTCATGTCTATAGGCGATGGTTATCATTTTCCATCAGGTGGGCCGTCAGCTTGTTTGCCATTCTAAGTTGTCTAAAAAATGAAACTATCCATTCCTGGACATCGACTTTAGAAGTTTCTGCTAGTAGTTCAAGTGGTGGAAGCTTGGTAGGCGAACGGGAAACTGCAGTTAGGCGCTGGTGATGTTTTAAGAAGAACGCTGTTGTCCGTCCCACGGCCATTAAGTTAATTAAGTTACCTCTTAGGACATTTACGGGAAATGCCCCTTCATTAGCTCCATCTATGCCTTTTTGTTACTTGTTTTTTTATTTCCATTTTGTTTTATTTCATAATTGAAACACGAATGGGACAGAGGTACCCAAGCAAACGACTTTTGTACAAAGTTTATAATAATAATAATAATAAATACACGCAAACTAGCGTATATACTAGCTAACGCTGAGTAGCTATCTGTATACACCGGCAGGGCACCAGTGAAGGATGATAGGTGAGGATGAAGCAGGCCAGTTAGCCCATTGTGACGAATTCAACAAGAATTAGCCACGATGGTTTCCAGGGGGAATCACGTGGAGGTCGACCTGACAGGGTATTTGCTAGCTATGGAACTGGTAGTCCGCATTACTAACAATCCCTTCCCCCCTCCATAAAAGAACTAAAGTAACCGACATAGCCCGAAGGATAAGCAAGCTGAAGTGGCAATGGGCTGATGGGACTGAAGAACCGACAACCGATGGGGAAGAAAAGGTCTTGAGTGGAGACCCTGTATGGGCAAACGCCATGAGAGATGATTCGCCACTAGATAGAGTGACGACCTCAAATGCATGGGGGGAAAGGAATTGTTAATTATAGATTTAATAACCCCATTGCTAGCAGTATACCTTATCAGTTCGACTTCCACGTGGTTCCCCCTGGAAACCATAGTGGTTAAGTCTTGTTCAATTGATCACTATAGGCCAACTGACCTGCCTTCATACTCACCTGTCATTCTTCACTGATACAATGCCAGTGTATACCGATAGCGCAGGCTTACCATTCCATCTTCACCTGTAAAAAAAGACCTCAAATGCTTTGCAGGGAGTCAGTGGACGTATGTGGTTCAGGATCGTTCATTATGGCAGTCTTTTGGAAAGGCTTAAGTGCAGTAATGTACAGATAATGGCTAAAAATACTATTTTGCATTACGCATAAAAAAAAACAAATATTTTTTTTTTTATCTATGAACAGAACTTCACTACTCCCTACAGAGTATACATACAAGTACCAAAGTGACAACAAATTATAAATCATTCGGTAATTACGCTCACGGCACGCGACCGAAGGGTGGCTCTAAAATCGGTACCCATGCGTAGACAATTAAAAAAAAAAGCAACGACACCGCTGGTGTCAAATGATTTTCGAATTAGGAATCGAACGTCAAATTATTGCTTTTGTTGCTTCTATTCTAAGGTTAATGGTACACTGGGACACAAATAATTAATATTGTTTAAATGTAAATAAAAAATGTTAATTGGATTCAATTTTTGTTTGAAAGAGGACAATTTATATTTTAATATTTCATATAATTGATGTGTTAATATACAATATTTATGATAAATTTGAATTGTATTTAATTTTTTTTTTAAAAAGAAGACGTAGTCCTGTCAGACACTATATTCAAATTTAAATAATTTTTATTCAAATAGAAATATTTACAAGCTACTTTAAATTAACATCTTTTATGATTCTACAGTTCGGTATTTTATTTGCTGAGAAAAATCCTCAAAGAATTCAACAGTTACTCTTTTAAATCTATGCTAACATTATGTGTATTTATTGAAATACACTATGTCTCCAATTATATGGTTATTAAAAAGCCCTTTGATCGACTAAGACCACGTAAGTTTGTCATTCAAGTAATTTTTTTTTATACAACTTACAATGGCAAACAAGCTGACGGCCCACCTGATGGAAAGTGGTAATCGTCGCCTATACACATGAGCAGTACCATGGACATAACAGAGTATACTGTTTTGCCCATGATACCCCCCCGTGCTTTGCCATTCCTGAGGACTCAGGTGTTATTCCTCTGTACCCAGTAAATTCACGCCATATCCTACCCTTCAAACCGAAACACAGCCATGCAAACACAACTGCTATACGGTTGAAACACGAATGGGACAGAGGTACCCAAGCAAACGACTTTTGTACAAAGTCTCCCTCCCGCATTTAATGTGTGTGTGGGCTTTGGTCTATTAGTTTTAAATTTATTAAAAGGTTGATATCCTTCGCCATTTTATTATAACATTTAACGTCCTTTCACATATAAGACCATTAGCTTTTTGTAAACAATACTTCGGAACAGTAAATCTGTATTTACATCTAGTATTAGGATTATTATTGAGATAGCTATTTTTAAGAACTAGTTGAAGATTTCTGCGTATATATAGATATTATATATGTGTATATATTATTATATTTTATGGGGCATAGGCTTAAACAATATTAGGTGCCAATTAGTGAGTTTCATACAGAATATCCCAGTGTGTATCTAACTTAAATGCTCGAGGTCGCGTCTCACATTACACGTGTGTCAGAATTCCCGCTTTTTTTGACACAACTATTTTTTATTTAACTTTTTAATTCAGCGCAACTTTAGGCAATGACTTCCTATTTGTACAGCCGAAATATTTTTTGATAATGGAATTGTAACCTTGCTATTATTGGTATACGACCACAGGGCACCAGTGAAGGATGAAAGGTGATGATGGAGTCAGCTCATCGTGATGAATTTAACAAGAATTAACCACGATGTTGCCTGGGTCATCGATTGGAGAATGACCTAATGGTGTTTTATTAGCGATGGGCACTGTAGTAGGTACCCATTAATAAGAAACTCCTATCCATGGAGTCTTGACGTTGTATTTGATTTGGTTTGGTTGTTTATAGAAATTTCATCGTGCCTCCGATCAAACTGTTTATAATTACTCCTCTCCCTCCAAAGGTTGGCTGCAAGAGATCGCTCTTAGCGATAAGGCCGCCCATTGTTTTCTCAGTGTAATATTTTCTTGTAATTGTTTGTATCTATAATAAGTTTACTATTGAGATACATAGCGAGCCACTATCGAGACCTGCAAATACAAATACAAATAATACAAATAACTTTGTTTGAAAAATGGTATAGAAGATGGTATATATTAAATAAAATAATTGGTAAATAGTTCACATTTTTCACCAGAATTTGGCGTACAAAATTTATTTAAATGTGCCACCATACTATGCTAATACTATTTTACTTAAATCGTCATATTATATAAATGTCAATATATTTACGTATTAATAATAAATTATACAGGTTACAAATTACAATCATTTGGGGGGGAAAGGGATTGTTAGTAATGGAGAAAAAGAATCCCATTGCTAGCAATATACCCAACCAGGTCGACCTCCTCGCGGTTCCCCCTGGAAACTATCATGGTTAATTCCCGATGAATTCATCATGATGGGCTAACTGGCCTGTTTTCGTTCTCACCTATCACCCTTCACTGGTGCTCCGCCAGCGTATCCCGTTAGCGCGGGCGGGGTTACTATACCATTTTCACCCATCAAAAAAAAATTACAATCATTTTACAAATTACAAATTATATTAATTGAGTCACATATTTAGGCTTTAAAATATTCAAAATATTCATCAACCGAGTAAAAACATTTTGCTATCAGCCATCTTTTTAGTTTCTTTTTAAATATATTCAAGAGTAGTACTGCTGATACCGCATCGCATTCACAACTCGTGTAAATGTAACCAAGTCATTGCTGATGCTGCAGGGCGAGGCTGGCTAACGTGACGCCTTAAAAATCACTCCTGGTTCGAACTGAGCAGTGTTTTTAATTATAAATTAGACATAAGAATTTTATACTGTAACATAGAAATAAATTTATTTATTTATTCTTTATTGCACAGTAAAATTTTGTACAAATGGCGAGCTTAATGCCATATGGCATTCTCTACCAGCTAACCATTGGGTAAAAACAGAAAGCGTATGAAGGGCAGATGTTAAAAATATGTGAAAATTATAGTAGATAGACTTTGTACAAACGTCGATTGCTTGGGTACCTCTGTCCCATTCGTGTTTCTACCGTGAAGCAGTTGTGTTTGCATGGCTGTGTTTCGGTTTGAAGGGTGGGATATGGCGTGAATTTACTGGGTGCAGAGGAATAACACCTGAGTCCTCAGGAATGGCAACGCATGGGCGGTATCATGGGCGAAACAGTATACTCTGTTATGTCCATGGTACTGCTCATGTCTATAGGCGACGGTTACCACGTTCCATCAGGTGGGCCGTCAGCTTGTTTGCCATTCTAAGTTGTATAAAAAAAAAGGTAACACATTAAGGCGATACACAATATAAATATAATCTATCTATCTATCCTATTTAAGAGCTGCGCTCTTGTCGGTGGAGCTCTTGCCACTCACTACGATTTTCAGCGAGCCTCTTCATCTCTTGATACGACACGACACCAACTTTATCCTTGTTCCATTTGATGTAACTATGCCTTGGTCACCCTCTTCCCTTCTTTCCTTCTATCTTACCTTCTATTATAATGTTCATAAGTTCGTCGTGTCGTATCAAGTGTCCCAACATTTTTCCCCTTCAGTCCTCAATAGTTCTAATAATATAATATACACATAAATTAGTTTTAACAAAATTTAGTTTTTTTTTGAGTCCTCCGGTTGTCGCCCTCATGATTATTGTAATCTTTTGGAGGAAACAATGCAGAGTATTTATCTATCTATTTTGACATTTATCGACAAACTCCTTTATTCAATTAATACCCCAAATCGGACCCCTCCTCTAACCGCAACAATAATCAAAATGGCCGACATGTCAAAACACTTGAGTAATGAATGGAGATTACGCGCCAAATAACTAGGGGAGTAATATAATTACATTATTAATGCCAATAGAATTATGTTTATGTAAGTCCAGTTAATACGAAAGTAAGGGGGGGAAGGGATTGTTAGTAATGCGGACTAACAATCCCATTGCTAGCAATATAACTCTTTCAGGTCGAACACCACGTGGTCCCACATAGAAACCATCGTGCTAAATTCCTAGTGTATTCATCACGATGGGTAAACTGACCTGCCTTTTCATTTTCAGAGGGAGACTTTGTACAAAAGTCAACTGCTTGGGTACCTCTGTCCCATTCGTGTTTCAATCGTAAAGCAGTTGTGTTTCGGTTTGAAGGGTGGGATATGGCGTGAATTTACTGGGTACAGAGGAATAACACCTTAGTCGTCAAGAATGGCAACGCATGGTGGGTATCATGGGCGAAACAGTATACTCTGTTACGTCCATGGTACTGCTCATGTGTATAGGCGACGGTTACCACGTTCCATCAGGTGGGTCGTCAGCTTGTTTGCCATTCTAAGTTGTATAAAAAAATCTCTCACTGGTGTCTGGCCAGCGTATACCATCAGCATAGAAGAAGATATCACTCCATTATCACCCATTAAAAAAATACCTCATGATGTTTTAATAAATAAACAAATGTCTTTGACTCCAGTTGTCGTCCACCCCATCACTAATATTATTTATGGTACAGCACGTGCACAGATAATATAGAGTAATTCGATAACCGCGTTACGCGCTCTAACGCCCCCATAATTATATTAGAGTCATTATGATACCATATCAGTATTTAATTCCGTTAGAATTTTGTATGATTAACAATAATAATAATATTTATTTAATTAGACTACATAAGGCCCATTTTGTTAGTTATAAATTGACTTAAACTATGTTAGTAAATAAACGGTCATGACATATATACATATATACATACATATACATATACATATACATATACATATATATATATATATATATATATATATATATATATATATATATATATATATATATATATATATATATATATATGTATATAATATGTATATATATATATAATAGCAGACCCCGTAACCGTTGTTTTACCACTTATTGCGAAATATAAAAATCGCGATTAAAAGACAGGGGTTGATCGTAAAACGATGAAAATTTAAAGTTGTGTGTATTTTTCAATGCTAAATCATAATAAAATAAAAATGGAAAAATTTGTTATAAAAATAAAAAAAAAATTTGGTGTGGGTCACCCTTATCATTGAGGGGTATGAAAAATAGATGTTGGCCGATTCTCAGACCTACCCGATATGCACACAAAATTTCATGAAAATCGGTAAAGCTGTTTCGGAGGAGTTTGGTAACGAACACCGCGACACGAGAATTTTATATATAAGATATATATATTCTTTATTGCACTAAAACATACAGTAACAACAATAAGTTAATAACAATGTTAGCAAAGGCGAACTTTTTTTTTATACAACTTAGAATGGCAAACAAGCTGACCGCCCACCTGATGGAAAATGGTAACCGTCGCCTATAGACATGAGCAATACCATGGACATAACAGAGTATACTGTTTCGCCTATGATACCCCCATGCGTTGCCACTACTGAGGACTTAGGTGTTATTCCTATGTACCCAGTAAATTCACGTCACTTATCTCTAAAAGAGATTTCTTCCAGTCAACCTGTCCCACCTAATATTTCAGGATGGGACAGTATATTTTATGAGCAATTGTTTTCAGGACACTGTTTGAGCTAACACGCACCCTACTCAACAGCGAAACTTCCTATCAGCGTGTTTTTTATCAGTGTTCTATATATTTACGCATAAAAAGTATCTTAAGGTATTATTTAATAAATGAAATTATTGGTTTGGTCATTTGGAGAGGATGGATGAAAGAAGAATTACGAAAGACATTTATCGAGCAAGAATGAATGGAGATGTCGGTAGGGGCCGCCCTAGACGGACGTATGTCGACCAAATAGGCGACGTGCTGAAGAAGGGCCAAATTAAAAGTACCCGTAACCGGCGAGCGTGTATGACAAGATTGATGAATGTGGAAGAAGCGAAAGAGGTTTGTTTGAATCGAAGCATTTGGCGTTCCATTGTTTCTGCCTACCCTAATGGGAGACAGGCGTGACAGATATGTATGTATGTATGTATGAAATTAGTGTTTACGCATTAAGTAGATGCAGAATTTATAAGACAATATAAATATAGAAGTTGTAAAGGTAACACTCATAACTATTTATCACGCAAAATTGTAATTATTAGAAAATTAAAAAAACACTCGTGCTTTTACATAATGTTAAATGCATACTGATGGGTGTAAAAATAAAAGAATTAATACATAATGCATCAAATTTATTCATAGCCAAACAAATATTATATAATGCCAAACATGGAAAAATTACAATATCTAGAAATATTACATATACACAGACAAATGATACATTATTGACCGATCGATCGATGACATCGATCAACTTAATATACGTAATAGATCGTGATTTTCATAGGAACACTCTCTACGTGAATTTAGTAACCAATCGAAATGTTCAATCGATTGATTATATTTTTTTTTATATTTTTATAAGTTCTATTAAACAGAGCACATTTTTATATTATATATTATTACCCCGAAGGGTAAGCAAGCTGAAGTGGTAATGGGTTGGTCACATAGCTCGAAGAACTGTTAACCGATGGAGAATAAAATTTCTTGAGTGGCGACTCCGTGCAGCCAAACACATTGCTTCTTCAAATACATTGCAGGGAGTCAGTGGATGCAGGTGGCTCAGGACCGTTCCTTATGGCAGTCTATGGAGAGGCCTATGTCCAGCAGTGGACGGATAATGGCTGAAATGGTGATGACGATATTTTTATATCTAAGTATATGCAGGATGGTTAATAAAGACTTAATATTAAAGTAAATTAATGCGTAAAAGTTAAAGAATACAGTCTACAATGCTTTGACCATAGATACAAAATATTTTTGTATTACAATTTTTTTATTTTTTTTTTATTTTTCTAATTTGTAAACGTCATCTGTACACATAACTGTAGAAAATTTAATAAGTGATATAATGTACCAGAGTAAGACTACTGTTTCTTTAAGCAAACAATATTTTTGGTGTGAGAGATCTCAAAGGAAGTCACACTTACATCATGCAAGAGGAGCAAGCAGCAAGAGAAGAGAAAGAGACATAAGTACAGAGTAAAACTATAGTAATTATGTAGTCAAGTGAAGTGAAGGAATAGTGATGTAATATTGTTCCCTTATCAGGGAAAATTCTGCCCAGTCGTGGGGCGAACAGGTTCGTGTAGTAATATTCTATCGTTACTTAGTATTCATGCAGTAAATGTGTGAGAGTTTTCAGAGGAACTATTCAGATTATTACCAGCTGCTAAATTTCTTTCTCTTACAACCCGCCACAAGAAAGTTCCATCATGACCATCTGGATGAGTGACGGTCCACCTGAGTACGTTTCTTTCAGTACTTTCTTCCACGGACAGCTTATAGAAATTATAGAACCAACTCCGAGCATCAGTATTTCTTAAGAGGTACACCATTAAAACCTTCAGGAAAAGAGCATATTCCTTTCTAAAAGTCTGGCGTGACATTTGCAATTTCATTGATGTTCTGGGTGCCTGTAGGAAGTGGCAATCACTTACTATCACCTCCTGTGTGGTAAAAAAATCTCTCAGTGTTCCATGAAAATGTACCATAACTGAGTTACAATAGCAATTGATTTTGATATTTCCAATCTTTCCATACGTAATACTCTAGACAACGGTAAAGAATGAAGAAAAATATTAAAAAATAACAATTTAAAAATTTAAACAACGCCTGAAATATTTAAAAATATTAGTGAAAAAAGGAATAGACATTTCGAAAAGGACAATGATGTATGGATAATGTACAATTATTGTTCGAATGATTATAATGTTAACGATGCTGAAAATGTTACAAAGTGTTCTAACAATATTTTAGAGACTGATGAAATGTATAATAAACAATGTTTACTAGACAAAGGATGATGGATTAATGGTGATACAGCAACAAGCAATTGCCAATGATTGATTTAATATCCCTAATTTCAAAATGCCTATCCTCAATTCTTGCTAATAGCTGATCTTTGAACCGGAATTAAGCAATTGGTAATTTTCAACTACACTGATATTAACATTGCATCCATTTTACCTCTGAGATGTCGTAAAAAGTGTATGCAAAACAAAGAAAGTTGAAAATTCGTAATAAGCTAATACTACAAACTATCTGCCAGGGGTTTCCTTTGGAGAAAAACGCTGTGCTCAGATATGAGACGTAAAATTATTTTAAAGCCAAAATAAGGGTACAAATGTTAAAGCTTAAAAAATCTTTCTCAAAATAATATCAACTGCAGTTGTAAAATTGACCGACATGTTAATATCAGTAGAGTTTGATAACTTTAAACCAATATCAGAGTGAATTAGTTACAACCGTCTTCATCCCTAGATTCATAACTGCTTGACTGTGAGCTGGACTTAGAGTTCGAACTAGAATAGGAGCTAGATTGTCCTTTTTTGGACGAGGAACTTGATGAATAAGAACTACTGTTGCTTGATGCTTCGCTGCTACTAGCTGAATATTTAGAGCTCTTAACATCAGAAGAAGAGTTACTGCTACTCGATGCATTGCTGGCACTAGAAGAGTTGGAGCTATTATTGTTGGAAGAAGAGTTCCTACTGCTAGAGGCATTACTATCACTTGATGAGCTAGAATTGTTTTTATTCGAAGAGGCATTGCTGCTACTTCCTGAATAGCTTGAACTCGAAGAGTTGGAATCCTTTCCAGAAGAGGCGTTGCTGCTACTTCCTGAGTAACTGGAGCTCGAAGAGTTAGAATCCTTTCCAGAAGAGGCGTTGCTGCTACTTCCTGAGTAACTGGAGCTCGAAGAATTGGAATCCTTTCCAGAAGAGGCGTTGCTGTTACTTCCTGAGTAACTGGAGCTCGAAGAGTTGGAATCCTTTCCAGAAGAGGCGTTGCTACTACTTCCTGAGTAACTTGAGCTCGAAGAGTTGGAATCCTTTCCAGAAGAGGCGTTGCTGCTACTTCCTGAGTAACTGGAGCTCGAAGAATTGGAATCCTTTCCAGAAGCGGCGTTGCTGCTGCTTCCAGAGTAACTGGAGCTCGAAGAGTTGGAATCCTTTCCAGAGGAGGCATTACTGCTACTTCCTGAGTAACTGGAGCTCGAAGAATTGGAATCCTTTCCAGAAGAAGCGTTGCTGCTACTTCCTGAGTAACTTGAACTCGAAGAGTTGGAATCCTTTCCAGAAGAGGCGTTGCTGCTACTTCCTGAGTAACTGGAGCTCGAAGAGTTGGAATCTTTTCCAGAAGAGGCGTTGCTGCTACTTCCTGAGTAACTTGAGCTCGAAGAGTTGGAATCCTTTCCAGAAGAGGCGTTGCTATTACTTCCTGAGTAACTGGAGCTCGAAGAGTTGGAATCCTTTCCAGAAGAAGCGTCACTGCTGCTTCCAGAGTAACTGGAGCTCGAAGAGTTGGAATCCTTTCCAGAGGAGGCATTACTGCTACTTCCTGAGTAACTGGAGCTCGAAGAGTTGGAATCCTTTCCAGAAGAAGCGTTGCTGCTACTTCCTGAGTAACTTGAACTCGAAGAGTTGGAATCCTTTCCAGAAGAAGCGTCACTGCTGCTTCCTGAGTAACTGGAGCTCGAAGAATTGGAATCCTTTCCAGAAGAGGCGTTGCTGCTACTTCCTGAGTAACTTGAGCTCGAAGAGTTGGAATCCTTTCCAGAGGAGGCATTACTGCTACTTCCTGAATAGCTTGAACTCGATGAGTTGGAATCCTTTCCAGAGGAAGCGTCACTGCTGCTTCCTGAGTAACTGGAGCTCGAAGAATTGGAATCCTTTCCAGAAGAGGCGTTGCTGCTACTTCCTGAGTAACTTGAGCTCGAAGAGTTGGAATCCTTTCCAGAAGAGGCGTTGCTGCTACTTCCTGAGTAACTTGAGCTCGAAGAGTTGGAATCCTTTCCAGAAGAGGCGTTGCTATTACTTCCTGAATAACTTGAGCTCGAAGAGTTGGAATTCTTTCCAGAGGAAGCGTCACTGCTGCTTCCTGAGTAACTGGAGCTCGAAGAGTTGGAATCCTTTCCAGAAGAGGCGTTGCTATTACTTCCTGAGTAACTTGAGCTCGAAGAGTTGGAATCCTTTCCAGAAGAGGCGTTGCTATTACTTCCTGAATAACTTGAGCTCGAAGAGTTGGAATTCTTTCCAGAGGAAGCGTCACTGCTGCTTCCTGAGTAACTTGAGCTCGAAGAGTTGGAATCCTTTCCAAAGGAAGCGTCACTGCTGCTTCCTGAGTAACTGGAGCTCGAAGAGTTGGAATCCTTTCCAGAAGAGGCGTTGCTATTACTTCCTGAGTAACTGGAGCTCGAAGAGTTGGAATCTTTTCCAGAAGAAGCGTTGCTGCTGCTTCCTGAGTAACTGGAGCTCGAAGAGTTGGAATCTTTTCCAGAAGAGGCGTTGCTGCTACTTCCTGAGTAACTGGAGCTCGAAGAGTTGGAATCCTTTCCAGAAGAGGCGTTGCTGCTACTTCCTGAGTAACTTGAGCTCGAAGAGTTGGAATCCTTTCCAGAAGAGGCGTTGCTATTACTTCCTGAATAACTTGAACTCGAAGAGTTGGAATTCTTTCCAGAGGAAGCGTCACTGCTGCTTCCTGAGTAACTGGAGCTCGAAGAGTTGGAATCCTTTCCAGAAGAGGCGTTGCTGCTACTTCCTGAGTAACTGGAGCTCGAAGTGTTGGAATCCTTTCCAGAAGAGGCGTTGCTATTACTTCCTGAATAACTTGAGCTCGAAGAGTTGGAATTCTTTCCAGAGGAAGCGTCACTGCTGCTTCCTGAGTAACTGGAGCTCGAAGAGTTGGAATCCTTTCCAGAGGAAGCGTCACTGCTGCTTCCTGAGTAACTGGAGCTCGAAGAGTTGGAATCTTTTCCAGAAGAGGCGTTGCTATTACTTCCTGAGTAACTTGAACTCGAAGAGTTGGAATCCTTTCCAGAAGAGGCGTTGCTGCTACTTCCTGAGTAACTGGAGCTCGAAGAGTTGGAATCCTTTCCAGAAGAGGCGTTGCTGTTACTTCCTGAGTAACTGGAGCTCGAAGAGTTGGAATCCTTTCCAGAAGAGGCGTTGCTGCTACTTCCTGAGTAACTTGAACTCGAAGAGTTGGAATCCTTTCCAGAAGAGGCGTTGCTGCTACTTCCTGAGTAACTGGAGCTCGAAGAGTTGGAATCCTTTCCAGAAGAGGCGTTGCTGCTACTTCCTGAGTAACTTGAACTCGAAGAGTTGGAATCCTTTCCAGAAGAGGCGTTGCTGCTACTTCCTGAGTAACTGGAGCTCGAAGAGTTGGAATCCTTTCCAGAAGAGGCGTTGCTGCTACTTCCTGAGTAACTGGAGCTCGAAGAGTTGGAATCCTTTCCAGAAGAGGCATTGCTGCTACTTCCTGAGTAACTGGAGCTCGAAGAGTTGGAATCCTTTCCAGAAGAGGCATTGCTGCTACTTCCTGAGTAACTGGAGCTCGAAGAGTTGGAATCCTTTCCAGAAGAGGCATTGCTGTTACTTCCTGAGTAACTTGAGCTCGAAGAGTTGGAATCCTTTCTAGAGGAAGAATTACTGCTACTACCTGAGTAACTGTCACTGGAGGATTTACTTCCTAATCTTCTTATGTCAGACCAGTAGGAGCTGCTGTTGCTATCTGAATGGCTACTTGATGACGACTCTGAGCTGCTTCCATCTTTTCTGCTACTCTTTTTCTCACTGCTGCTGGATGAATAGGAACTACTACTACTTTCGGCATCGCTCAGGCTCCATGATTCTGGTTCTAGAAAAAGTAGATAATTGATTTAATCTCTTCTTATCTTATCATCCCATTAACCTCACCAAACTGAGCATGGGGCCCCCCCTCAATTCTCAAAAGGAGGGGAGGAACGGAGTGTTAGTAGTGAGATGAGGTTATCACCTAATGGAAAGTGATAAATTGTCACCTACAGACATGAATAGCACCGTAAATCGTGTAACAAGATACTTACTAGGTCTTGGTTTGATCAGACCGGCCTGAACTGCCACTAGGCCCTGAAACAAGCAAAAAAGATTTGTAAAAACATACTTATGAATAGCTGACACATGATGACTTCGGATCACAAGGACAATGACGATATTGATAGGGAGTGGAGGGCGCTATTGGTGAGGGTCTACATTGCTGGCTTGTCGATATTTTTTTATGTGATCGTAATGGAATGGTAACCCTGCTTACGTTATCGTTATATACTAACGGGGCATCAGTAACAGGAGACAGGTGAAAATGAAAGCCGGTTAGTAAGGCGCTTGTGATAATTTCCACATGAAATAACCATGACAGTTTCCAGGAGGAACCGTGTGGTAGTTGACCTGATGAGGTATATAGTTGAAGGTTGTTAGACCTTATTCCTAACAATCCCTTTCTTCCCGGATAATATTAAGGCAAACCCAAACGCTGCGGGGAGGAATTGTTAGTAATGAGGAGGTTAGTCCTCATTGCTATAATTACACCCTATCAGGTCGACCTCCACGCGGTTCCCCCTGAAAACTATTCTGACTAATTTATCGTTAAATTCGTCACGATAGGGTAACTGGCCTTTTTTTTTATTTAACGTTTAGAAAATGCTTTATGCAGACCCACACACCTTGTGGGAGGGGAATGGGTACTGTGGGAATCCCCCCGTAAGATGGGGGTGTACCCACCAAAAACCAAACGATATACCCTCGAGGTGCCATATGTCGGAGACATGGGTTCGCTTTCGCACTCACCACATCTCCGACGGCAGGAAGGCTAACTGGCTTGCCTTTTCATCTTCACCAATCATCCCTCTCTGGTGACCTGCCAGTGTATACTGATAGCGCAGGCGGGGTCATCATTCCGGTATCATCCATTAAAAAAAAGGCACTCATGCAGTCGACTTTTGTAAAAAGTTTACTTCTTAGTTTAAGTATCTTCATTATCTTATTAGCTTCTAACTGTTCACTGCTGAACATAAGGATCCTCCTCGGGTTGCTAGTAGTTGTCATGCTTGGCAACCACAGTTTTTCTAATGGATAATAATGAAGTGGTAACCCCGCTTGCGCTATCGGTATACATTAGCGGGGCACCAGTGAGGGATGATTGGTGAAGATGAAAAGGCAGGTCAGTTAGCCCATCGCGACGTATTCAACCTGATTGGGTGTATTTCTAGCAATGGTTCAGTTAGACTCCATTACTAACAATCCACTTCCACCCTATGGCTAGTTATTGACAAAGTATAAGCGACTTACCAAAACAAGAAGTAGAAGTAATTTCATGTTGCTCCCTGTAGTGAATTCTATATTACCTTCCACCAGCCAAGGGTTTATATACAAAGTGAAACAATCGGATTACGTTTTTCGAAACATACAAACAAATATGTCCTACCACATACGTAATTGCTCATTATTTTTTTTAACAAAAGGAAATGATTATATTATTTTTCTTTTATATCCTACAACAAATAATACATTTTTTTTTTACAATAATAAGTAAGTAGGGTACAGTTGTATTGTAAAATGTAGTTTTATTAGATTACCGGAATTTGTGGTTTTTTAATGGTTGATAATGGAATGGTAATCAAGCCTACATATTAAATATATACTAAAATTTCATCCCAACCATCTGGACGAGTGGCGGTCCTACACCGTGCGTTTTTCAAGGCACTTTCTCCCACGCACAACCACTCTTTGGAATCAACTTCCAGCAGCAGTATTTCCGAATCGATACGACAATATAACCTTCAAGAAAAGAGCATATTCCTTTTAAAAGGCCGGCAGCACATCTGCAATGCCGCTGGTGTTGTGGGTGATCATGGGCGGCGGTAGTCACTTACCGTCGGATGAGCCGCATGCTCGTTTGCCCCCTGTATTGTAAAAAAAATATACACTACATACATAGATAGGTATCTATGTATGTAGCGTATGTTTTTTTTTTTCGTCTTCCTACACCAGCAATATACCCCGTCAGGTCGATATCCACTTGTTCCCCGAAAACAATCGTGCTGAATTCCAAGTGTATTTATCACGATGGGCTAACTGGCCTGCCTTTTCATCCTCACCTATCATCCCTTACTGGTGCCCCGCCAGCGTATACCGATAGCACAGGCGGGGTTACCATTCCAATTTTATTGATTAAGCGACTTAATCCAAAAATTTAAACACGTCAAGTATCTGAACGTATATACTCACATATCTACCTACCTATATGTATATATAGTACCGTGTAGGTCCCGGCATAGACTGGACCACCCCTTCCTTTCCCGCGGGTGACGTAAGAGGCGACTAAGGGAGCTTATGGTGGAGGGATGGGCAGCAGCGTCCCTCTTAAAACATTTGTAAAACCCTAACTGCAGTTGCCAACCGGCCTGCCAAGCGTGGCAACTGCTGGCAAAACTCCCCTTATGGGGGAAGGCTTATTTATGTTCAGCAGTGGATAGTAAACGGCTGAAATAATAATAAAATATATGTAGATATAAATCGAAAAAAACAACATTACTCTCTTTTCCTCCGCAGTCGGTTAAGGCGGTAATGACCTTAATGATTGCATACGTAAAGACGTAACCTTACTTTTTTAATAAGGTTAAAGATTGTTTTTTTTTTTAATTTTATTTTTTTAATTAATGACAGAGTAACAGCTGTGTATATAATAAAAAAAAATGGTAAATAAATAAATTTATGGTAGAAAGGTACAGTTGTTGTAAACTGTTTTTTTTACGACACAGGGGCCAAACCAGCATGCGGCTCACCTGATGATAAATGACTACCGCCGCCCATGATCACACACAACACCAACGGCATTGCAGGTGTGCTGCCGGCCTTTTAAGAAGGAATATGCTGTTTTCTTGAAGGTTATGTTGTCGTATCGGTTCGCAAATACTGCTGCTGGAAGTTGATTAGTTCATGTAAACAGTAATATGTATTTTGAAGTAAATAATTATAATTAAAAATGTTTTATACAAAAAAAAACCGACTTTAATTGTGATGAAACCAGTTATTTTGAACTAAAAAACTAAATCACTGAACCGACTTTGATGAAATTTCTATGAGACCTTCAAGAAATATGTATTTTCAAACAAATAAAAAGGTTTTTTTCCAAATTCGTTCACATTTGATTAAGTTATGAGGTGATTAATATAAAAAAAAAAGATACGATATCCAATTGAGAATCCTTTTTTTTTAAGTTGGTTATAAATTAGTGATATAACATAGGATGTCATATCATTCGAACTAAATAAAACATTGAAAAAAAAGAGCATATATTCAGACGAAGTCGCGGGTGAAAGCTAATAGTGTATGTATGTAATCTGCTCTATAGACGACGGTTAGCACCAAAGTTGCCATTTGCCATCAGGTGGGTGGTCAGTTTGGTCGTCATTTTAGGTTTAATAAAAAAAAAAAAATTAAAAAGAAAAAGAAAAATTATTCAGGCTAGTGCTGCCTGATATGCTCGGTTTGAAGGGTGGGATATGGCGTGAATTTACAGGGTACAGAGGAATAACACCTGAGTCCTCAGGAATGGCAACGCATGGGGGGTATCATGGGCGAAACAGTGTACTCTGTTATGTCCATGGTACTGCTCATGTCTATAGGCGACGGTTACCACTTTTAATCAGGTGGGCCGTCAGCTTGTTTGCCATTCTAAGTTGTATAAAAAAAAATGTCACAACCATAGACTAAGTATAACGTACAACGTATTAAAAAACGAGAATTGTCAATGATCTCAGGCTTACAAGCGGTATCGAACCCTTGAGTCTTAGGAGAGATTTTGCCACACTCTGCGTGTTCTACCGCTTGTACAACGGATTGTGCTCAGAGGAATTGTTCAATATGATGCCCACAGCCACTTTCTACCATCGTACGGCTCGCCATCGACAGGGAGTTCATCCTCATGTCCTACAGCCTCAATGGTCGCGTACTGCGCGGTTTCAGAGATGTTTTCTCTCACAAACACTCAGGTTGTGGAATGAGCTCCCTGTCGAGGTTTTCCCAAGAAACTACAGCATGGGGTTCTTCAAAAGGGGGATAAAGAGGTTTCTTCAGGGTCGGTAACGCGCGCGTAATACCTCTGGTATTGCAGGTGTTCATAAGCTACGGTAACCACTTACCATCAGGTGGGCTGTATGCTTGTTTGCCACCTCAGTGGTATAAAAAAAAACTCTATGCTTACAACAAAAAGAAAAGGGACGGCGAATAAAGGGAAGTACATGAATTTACGAGAACAAGTTTAAATCATTAAATTTACGAATTGAGCAAAGAATTGAGAAGCACTGACTTATAGATTGTCAAGTGTATTTTTTATTAATATTTTTTTATTACTCTGTTGTTAATGTATCAATGAAAATGTTTTTTTTTTTCTTTTATTGCTTTAAGTCTATTTTTTAGTTTATTAAAGATAGTGGTCACAAGAGCTCGTTCCTTAGTATTAAAAAAAAAAATGTTAATTAAATAATTGTGACCGCTAAAAGGTTCTAGAAAAATCATAATACGCAGGTTAGTAATAAAATAAAAACCATAGACTAAATATAATCCTGATCGTTTTTTACGGATACAAGAGTAAAATTTGAGTAAAGATACTTTTGATGGATTCTGTGTAACCATTTTTTTATACAACTTAGAATGGCAAACAAGCCCACCTGATGGAAAGTGGTAACCGTCGCCTATGGACATGAGCAGTACCATGGACACAACTGAGTATACTGTTTCGCCTGATATCCCCCATGCGTTGCCATTCCTAAGAACTCAGGTGTTATTCCTCTGTACCCTGTAAATTCACGCCATATCCCACCCTTCAAACCGAAACACAGCCATGCAAACACAACTACTTTACGCTTGACGAATGGGACCCAAAGAAGTACCCAAGCAAACGACTTTTGTACAAAGTCTCCCTCTGGTACATTACATTTAATTTACAAATTTAACATTTAAATGTAATTACCTAGGTTTATTATGATACTTATAAACAGTAATATTTTTGACAGACGCATATTAGCAGCAAAATGTACGGATTTATTTTTATTGTTAATTTTTACCTGTAATTATTATTTTTCAATTTTTACAAAAATTCTCATCTCCCCTCTTAAGGAGAGGAGATGGCAACTAACCCCCGGCAGAAGCACAGTCCGGGGTTCCAGAGGCCGGGGTTCAGGGCCCCAGGGAGAGAGACCGGCGTACAATGCGGGCAGTATCTAAGAGCACCGCTTTCTGCATCTTTCTCGGGAGTGAGCCGCCTCGGAATCCCAACCGTCTGAGATGTTGTTCCAGACTGGTTGGGATAAGACCGTTCACCGACAAAACGATTGGAATGATTTCGGTGGACGTCACCCCCACATTTCGGTGACCTCGTGAGCCAGGTCGAGATATTTTCTCTTTTTCTCGGTTTCGACTTTCACGAGGTTCTCGTCTTATTATTATCATTGTTGTTGGTAATAAAGAATCTATATATATTGGGGAGGGATGATCTATCTTTGAAGGAGATTTTGTATAAAAGTCGTTTGCTTGACTGCCTCTGTCCCATTCGTGTTTCTACCGTGAAGCAGTTGTTTGCATGGCTGTGTTTCGGTTTGAAGGGTGCGATATGGCGTGAATTTACAGTGTACAGAGGAATAACATCTGAGTCCCTAGTAATGGGGGTTAGCATGGGCGAAACAGTAGACTCTGTTATGTCCATGGTCTCTTGTCTGTAGGCGACGGTTACCACTTTCCATCAGGTGGGCCGTTAGCTGACGTGGCATTCGAAGTTGCATGAAAAATCTATTTTAATGCTATAAAGAGGAAAGATTTGATTATTTATTTGTAATGGATAAACTCAAAAACTACTCAATCGATTTGAGAAATGTTATCATTTGTAGGAAGCTTATAAGCGACATAAGCTGTACTCAGCGGCGGCCTTACCCATTTTTTTTTGGATGATAATGGTATGGTTACCTTGCCTGCGCTAACGGGATACGCTGGCGGAGCACCAGTGAAGGGTGATAGATGAAAATAACAACAGGCCAGTTAGCCCGTCATGATGAATTCATCAGGAATTAACCATGATAGTTTCCAGGGGGTAACCGCGAGGAGGTCGACCTGGTTGGGTATATTGCTAGCAATGGGATTCTCAGTCTCCATTACTAACAATCCCTTGTCCTCCTGCCTTAACCATTGCAAGGCTACGGGCGGTAGGTTTTTGCGAGGCTACAGGCGGTAGGTCTTTGCAAGATTATGGGCGGTAGGTCTTTGCAAGATTAAGGGCGGTAGGTCTTTGCAAAGCTACGGGCGGTAGGTCTTTACAAGGCTCGGGGCGGTAGATCTATTCAATGTCGGGACCATACAGCAATAATAACAGTGTCTGCTAAATATCAAATATGTCTATGAAACATCTTATTAATGGCCGATTTTTCGTGATCTCTTTGTAGATTGTTTTTTTATGGTTGGTTCTAACTGTATTATTAAAAAAGTTTTTTATTTATTTATTTATTCTTTATTGCACAATAAAATTTTGTACAAGTGGCGAGCTTAATGCCATATGGCATTCACTACCAACTAACCATTGGGTAAAAAAAGAAGAAAGCGTATGAAGGGCAGATGTGGTGAAAAATATGTGATAATTATAGTAACACATTAAGCCAATACACAATATAAATATAATATACACATAAGAAATGCACATATAATACATAAACATTACTTTTAATATATATGGATAAACTAATACATATGAAATATATACGTACATACATATATACATACATAGAGCTGGTTTTGTTGACTCGACAAATAATTAAAAAGTCTTCTTTTAAAAATATCCTTACTTGATGCTCTGCGTAGATCTACAGGGATTTTATTCCAAAGGCTGATAGCGGTGACAGTAAAAGAATTGGACATAAATCGACGATAAAGGTTATTGGTTATTAACCAATAAATTGTTACTTCAATAGTTAATTTGACACCAGGTGCATGATTATATATTTTATAGATTTGGTACCTCCAAAAGATTACAACAGTAAACTTATTATAGATATAAATAATTACAAGAAATAATCACAATTAGAAAATAAAGGGCGGCCTTATCGCTAAAAGCGATCTCTTTCAGGCAACCTTTGGATGGAGAGTAGTAATTATAAACGGTTTGATCGGAGGCACGATGAATTTATATTATTTCTAATATATATATATATATATATATATATATATATATATATATATATATATATATATATATATATATACACATATATATTTTTCTATATTTTTATAATTATATATTTACTTAGCATTTACAAACAGGAAACCATCGACTATACTAATATTATAAAGAGGAAAGATTTGATTGTTTGTTTGTAATGGATTAGCTAAAAAACACCCGTAGAAAGCTATATTATCGGTGAGTTACATAGGCTATATATATTATTTTTCAAAATTCCTATTTATCTGTTAAAAGCTAAACTTACTATTAATATTACTATTATGTCCATTATTTGAATCCCCCTTGTGGTACTCCATATTTATTTAGTTAATAATATGATTTACTAAACTTATTTCTAAAATTATGTTTAGAATTGTAATTGATGCAGATTTTTTTTTATACTACTTAGAATGGCAAACAAGCTGACGGCCCACCTAATGGAAAGTGGTAACCGTCACCTATAGACATGAGCAGTACCATGGACATAACAGAGTATACTGTTTCGCCCATGATACCCCCATGCGTTGCCATTCCTGATGACTCAGGTGTTATTCCTCTGTACCCAGTAAATTCACGCCATATCCCACCCTTCAAACCGAAACACAGCCATGCAAACACAACTGATTCACGGTAGAAACGCGAATCGGATAGAGGTACTCAAGCGAACGACTTTTGTACAAAGTTTCTCTCTGATTTTTCTCCTACATTAACAAATTGGATAATTTATAAGAAAAAATACGAAAATAATGCTCTCAATTTTTATTCATATGCCAAAATGAAGACACTAAACAATAATTAACAGCAGCAGACATGTCACAATCCAAGAAATGTTACAATAAAATAAGGTTATGCTTACAGATCACCGTTAAGTATTAGTTCTTTAAAATAACATAGAGTTACGATAAATTGACAGAATCTGATATTACATTTTCAACTATACTTATCGTAACTCTGTCCTGGTATTCTAAACGTTTGATAGATCCTTTAGTTTGGGTCATTTGTTAAATATTTTAGATCAGCAACTTCAAAAATCTCGCAGTTACTTAATACAGTTCAAATTGAATAATCTAGATTCTAAAATTTACAATTTTCAATGCAATTTGGTTTTATACCCACAGAAATCAAATTTCAACAATTAATGCTACTCCTATTTCTGTAACCAAAAGATGATTTTAAGTCTGAAGTAGTATTAACTGATCTTAATCAAAACACTTATACAAACGAACAGATTGACAGTAAATTTGACAAAGCTACCGTTCAGATTTCTATCTTTTACACAGCGAACATTGTGTAAAGAGAAAAAATAATTGAATAAGTAGTCCAATCTTTTACAGGAATAAAAACTTATAATTACATCCATTCAAATACGAATAAGCAACTAAATTTAATATTTCTTGGTCTTGACTATGATCCGAGCTAAAAAAAAAAATACAGAAACAACTGAAACTTAATCTAGATATTTAGAATTTGATCAATCTGAAACATCCAAAGTAGTTTAAGGTATAGCAAAACATAGAGATATGGTTATGTTGTGAACTTAACATTCTAGTACAAAAGAAGATAATATGCATTTTGTCAGCAACACAATTGGAATATAACTTTATGTTAAACACAAAAGACTTGTAGTAATACAGTTTTTCAATCTTAATTGAATTCATTAAAAAATACCAATCTCATAATTTTGCTAATAGCATATCGTATAACCAAAAAACAAGCATTTATCTATTTCAAACAATGTTATGATAAAATTACAAACAATCACGGCCTTGATTATATTTTTTAACAACACAAATACTTGATATTTGATAAGTAGTTATTTTGTCTTGTATCAATACATGTTTGTGTAGATGAAATTTTATCAACAATTGTCAAATGATTAGGCGCTAACAGTTTTAGTGCTTGAACTAGATTGAGCGCTTGATCTGGACGAGGAGCTAGAACTGGATTCTTCCTCGCTGGATGAAGAAGAACTAGAACTACTGCTTGAAGACTCACTAGCACTAGAAGAGTTGCTAGAAGAAGAGTTACTGCTACTTGCAGCGTTGCTGGCGCTAGCGGCGTTAGAGCTACTGTTGTTGGACGAAGAGTTACTGCTACTTGCAGCATTGCTGGCACTAGCGGCGTTCGAGCTACTGTTGTTGGAAGAAGAGTTACTGCTACTTGCAGCATTGCTGGCACTAGCAGCGTTAGAGCTACTGTTGTCGGAAGAAGAGTTACTGCTACTTGCAGCGTTGCTGGCACTAGCGGCGTTAGAGCTACTGTTGTTGGATGAAGAGTTACTGCTACTTGCAGCATTGCTGGCACTAGCGTCGTTCGAGCTACTGTTGTTGGAAGAAGAGTTACTGCTACTTGCAGCATTGCTGGCACTAGCAGCGTTAGAGCTACTGTTGTCGGAAGAAGAGTTACTGCTACTTGCAGCATTGCTGGCACTAGCGGCGTTAGAGCTACTGTTGTCGGAAGAAGAGTTACTGCTACTTGCAGCGTTGCTGGCACTAGCGGCATTAGAGCTACTGTTGTCGGAAGAAGAATTACTGCTACTTGCAGCATTGCTGGCACTAGCGGCGTTAGAGCTACTGTTGTCGGAAGAAGAGTTACTGCTACTTGCAGCGTTGCTGGCACTAGCGGCGTTAGAGCTACTGTTGTCGGAAGAAGAGTTACTGCTACTTGCAGCATTGCTGGCACTAGCGGCGTTAGAGCTACTGTTGTCGGAAGAAGAGTTACTGCTACTTGCAGCGTTGCTGGCACTAGCGGCGTTAGAGCTACTGTTATTGGAAGAAGTGTTACTACTGCTTGCTGCATTGCTTGCTGCATTACTGGAACTTGAAGAGTTAGAACCATTGTTGCTAGATGCAGATTTGCTACTACTTGCTGCGTTACTTGATGCATCGCTAGAACTGGACGAATCAGAATCATTATCAGAAGATGATGAGGAATTACTGCTACTAGTGGCATTGCTGGAACTAGCGGCGTTAGAGCTACTGTTCTTGGAGGAAGAGTTACTACTGCTTGCTGCATTGCTTGCTGCATTACTAGAACTTGAAGAGTTAGAACCATTGTTGCTAGATGCAGATTTGCTACTACTTGCTGCGTTACTTGATGCATTGCTAGAACTGGATGAATCAGAATCATTATCGGAAGATGATGAGGAATTACTACTACTGGCGGCATCGCTGGAACTAGCGGCTTTAGAACTACTGTTCTTAGAGGAAGAGTTACTGCTGCTTGCTGCATTGCTCGCAGCATTGCTGGAACTTGAAGAATTAGAACCATTGTTGCTAGATGCAGATTTGCTACTACTTGCTGCATTACTTGATGCATTGCTAGAACTGGAAGAATCAGAATCATTATCGGAAGATGACGAGGAATTACTACTACTGGCGGCATTGCTGGCACTAGCGGCGTTAGAGCTACTGTTTTTAGAGGAAGAGTTACTACTGCTTGCTGCATTGCTTGCTGCATTACTGGAACTTGAAGAGTTAGAACCATTGTTGCTAGATGCAGATTTGCTACTACTTGCTGCATTACTTGATGCATCGCTGGAACTAGATGAATCAGAATCATTATCGGAAGATGATGAAGAATTACTACTACTGGCAGCATTGCTGGAACTAGCGGCTTTAGAGCTACTGTTTTTAGAGGAAGAGTTACTACTGCTTGCTGCATTGCTTGCTGCATTACTGGAACTTGAAGAGTTAGAACCATTGTTGCTAGATGCAGATTTGCTACTACTTGCTGCATTACTTGATGCATTGCTAGAACTGGATGAATCAGAATCATTATCGGAAGATGATGAAGAATTACTACTACTGGCAGCATTGCTGGAACTAGCGGCTTTAGAGCTACTGTTCTTAGAGGAAGAGTTACTACTGCTTGCTGCATTGCTTGCTGCATTACTAGAACTTGAAGAGTTAGATCCATTGTTGCTAGATGCAGATTTACTACTACTTGCTGCGTTACTTGATGCGTTGCTAGTACTAGCGGTGTTCGAGCTATTATTATTGGAAGAAGTGTTACTGCTACTTGCAGCATTGCTTGCTGCATTGCTGGAACTTGAGGAGTTAGAACCATTGTTGCTAGATGAAGATTTACTACTACTTGCTGCGTTACTTGAAGCATCGCTAGAACTGGATGAATCAGAATCATTATCAGAAGATGATGAGGAATTACTGCTACTAGCGGCATTGCTGGAACTAGCGGCTTTAGAGCTACTGTTCTTAGATGAAGTGTTACTACTGCTTGCTGCATTGCTTGCTGCATTACTGGAACTTGAAGAGTTGGAGCCATTGTTGCTAGATGCAGAATTACTACTACTTGCTGCATTATTTGATGCATCGCTAGCACTAGATGAATCAGAATCATTATCGGAAGATGATGAGGAATTACTACTACTGGCGGCATTGCTGGAACTAGCAGCTTTAGAGTTCTTGGAAGAAGTGTTACTACTGCTTGCTGCATTACTTGCGGCATTGCTGGCACTTGAAGTTATAGAGCTGCCGTTATTAGATGCAGATTTACTGCTACTTGCCGCGTTACTTGATGCATTGCTAGTACTGGATGAGCCAGTTAAATCACCAGAAGATAAAGAATTGCTGCCACTTGCCGCATTGCTTGCACTCGATGCTATGCCACCTGAGGAAGCGTTACTGCCACTTGCTGCATTACTAGCACTTGATGCTATGCTTCCTGAGGAGGCGTTACTGCCACTTGCTGCATTGCCTGCACTCGATGCTATGATTCCTGAGGAGGCGTTACTGCCACTTGCCGCATTGCTTGCACTCGATGCTATACTACCTGAGGAAACGTTACTGCCACTTGCCGCATTGCTTGCACTCGATGCTATGCTACCTGAGGAAGCGTTACTGCCACTTGCCGCATTACTCGCACTTGATGCTATGCTTCCTGAGGAGGCATTACTGCCACTTACTGCATTACTAACACTGGATGATTTAGCACTACTGCTGCTTGCTGCCTCGCTGAGATTTGAAGATGCTGTCTCAAAGCTACTGGCAGAACTACTCTGTGAACTAGAGCTTGAGGAGGAATCAGAACTGCTACTACTCTGTTCGCTGCTGATCGATGAGGAAGAGCTTTTGCTGGCTGCCGCAGCACTGCTCCAGATTAGTTCGGGTCCTGAAAATAAAAGTAACGTGAATTATAAAAATAATAAATGCCATACATTCACATCCGTTGTCTGCTCTTCATGTTAGGATACTCTGTGTGCTGAGGAACCAGGAGACGAACATCTGGGAGAACCAGATCACTAAGACTCGAGGCAATTTAAAGAAGTTCGTTTCCTGAATTGGCTCGATTGGGGGTTGAATCCGGGATGTTATTACAAGCAACGTGCTTATCACTCGCCACGTAAGCAATCAGGATACGGAATAGAGACGATAACCTTATCTCTGGTTTGATGGCAATAAATTCAATCGTCAAAATCCTTATGTACTAGTTAGTATAAATGTACATGTAAATGAAAATTTAAGGCTAAGTATAGAAGGAGCAAACGGGCCACTTTCAGCAAATGTGACAGTTGTCCAGTCTCGGATGAATGAATGGATGAATGAATATTTATTTGCAAAAAACATGATAAATATACACATGTTAAGTGCATATATTTCGCCATAATTATCAGTGATCGTACATATATCGGTGGTCCTCACAACTGCGCTTTCAACTTCAAATCGCAAATGAAAAGCAAATACCTCCGAAATATAGAAGGAACAATTTTATAAAATACTTCCAAAAACATCAACTTTTCTGAAGACTCGAAATCAAGAAGAAAGTTCACCAAGATTAGACAGAAGTCTCACTTGTTGAAAGTCATCCAAATATAAATTTTGGACATGATATAATAAGCTTTGATTTAAAGCCAATTCTAGATTCAAATCCAGATTCTGAATTTGCATTAAACATCAACCATTTTTAATTTATTCCATTAGATATTCAACTGTATATAGTTCGAGATTAATATTTCACCAAAATATTGATTCTCAAAATTATTAAAATAAAACCAAATTTGATTTTAGAAAAAGAAAACCGATTTCAATTGTGACAAAAACAAAATTGCCAACTAAAACTTAAACTACAGAATCGATTTTAATAAAATTTCTATGTTTTATATACCAATCTGTAAGTATCAGATAACAACAACATTTTTCCAAACTAAAGGGACTCCGTCAGATGTAAACTATGAGGTGTTAATAAAAAAAAAAACACAATTGAATTGGGAACTTCCTTCTTTTTGAGATCGGTAGATAAATGACGTCTGATGTAAGTCTTAAATAAATTAAAGCATTGATAAATTAAAAAGACATAATAACACTAATGTAAAACTACTTACTGGGTGCAGCCTGAACTGCGGCGAGAGCCTGCAATAAAGAAATAAAAACATTATTATTTTTAATTTTTTTTCAAGAGGTCACATCTCCTCTCTTAAGGAGAGGAGATGGCAAACTAACCCCCGACAGAAGCACAGTCGGTAGGGGTTCAGGGTCCCAGGGAGAGAAACCGTCGTACAATGCGGGCTGTATCTAAGAGCACCGTTTTCTGCATCTTTCCCGGGAGTGAGCCGCCTCGGAATCCCAACCGTCTGAGATGTTGTTCCAGACTGGTTGGGATAAGACCGTTCACCGATTATGATTATTTATTTTTTTACTATTTTTTATTTACTGTACACAATGATAGTACATAATAATATGTCAGAGGTAAGTAAATGTACAAATGCGAGCTTAACACTAAAAGAGTTCTCTACCAGCAACACTCAAATTGGAAAGGAGCATCAATGTTAGCGGGTAGAGCGTTATTTATATTTCTCATTTATGGGAAAGGCTTAACTCCAGCAGTGGACAGTTAATGCCTGATACGATGATGACGGTAAGAATAGAGACTTAAAAAGAGATAAGCATCAAAATGATGGTATGATCGACAACAAAGAAAATTGTTAAAAAACTAATAATGAAGAAAAATGGTTGACTGGGAGAGAATGATTTTAGCATTAAGTCTGTCATGCACATATATATGTACTAATCAATAAATAAATAAAAATGGAAGAGAGAAGATAGATTAAACTGATCCCAAATAATATACAATTATATTCTTTATTGCACTTGTAAATGACATTGTTAATGCATTTATAAATGTTGTGAGCAAGCGTGGACTTATCTCTGACAGAGATCTCTTCCAGTCAACCCGATGCAGTTAAGAAGCATGTTGTTAGCGGGCAGCTGGAGTGATACAACTATTTAGAATATTTATTATTTTAAACATTTAGAATACGAATTACTATTAACACTAATCTTTAAGAGAGACTTTGTACAAAAGTCGTTTGCTTGAGCACCTTTGCCCCATTCGTGTTTCTACCGTGAAGCAATTGTTTGCATGGCTGTGTTTCGATTTGAAGGGTGGGATATGGCAGTGAATTTACAGGGTACAGAGGAATAACACCTGAGTCTTTAGAAATAACAACGCAGGAGGGGATATCATGGGCGAAACAGTATACTCTGTTATGTCCATGGTACTGCTCATGTCTATAGGCGACGGTTACCACTTTCCATCAGGTGGGTCGTCAGCTTGTTTGCCATTATAAGTGGCATAAAAAAATCAATGTAGATTAATGAAGAATTGACACAGAAGATATAAAGTCAAAGAAGAACTCACCATAACAAGCAGTAGTGCAAATTTCATGATGCTTATCGTCTTCCACTGAAGCCTATGCAACTATCCTCGCGTCGCACACTTTATATATCCATTTAGAACAAACATTCAATAGATGTAGTAAACAAGGTATTGTTAATTGACTCCTATGATATTTAAATACTATAAATAATTAGCTATTCATATTTCATTGAAATGTAACTTTATTTTTTTTTTAATTCACATACTTAATGCGCACATTTACTTGTATGCGAGGTACAGTCAAGTTCGTTAAATATTGTATATATATATATATATCTAGACCCGTCATAGAATGGGTCACCTAATGGGTCTTTTAAGAGGCGACTAAGGAGGGCGAAGGATGGGCAGCAGCGTCCCTTTTAAAACATTTCCAAAGCCTAACTGCGGTTCCTGTTAGGCTTTGGAAATGTTTTAAAATGCTAACCCAATCCGCCTGTCAAGCGTAGCAACTACTGACAAAGCCTCCCCGGCTTATGTTCAGCAGTGGACAGTTAAAGGCTGATCTAATTAATTGTCTGGAAGAGATTGCTTAGCAATAAGACCGCCTTTTGTACTACATTATACGTATTGAAAATTGTTTAGCAAATCATGTTATGTTGGTGCAATAAAGTGTTAAATAAATAAAATAAATAAATAAAATACTATTGTTTTTGTGCACATATTGTTAATGTTTATAGTCTGTACCATTCTTTAAACGGAACAATAAAAAGTTTTCATTCGTTCATTCTCTATAAAAACATCTCACCACCAGAGGAAGACTGTACAAAAGTCGTTTTCTTGACCACCTCTGTCCCATTCGTGTTTCTACCGTGAAGCAGTTGTGTTTGCATGGCTGTGTTTCGGTTTGAAAGGTAGGATATGGCAGTGAATTGAGAGGGTACAGTGAAATAACACTTTAGTCCTCAGGAATAGCATCGCGTAGGGATACTCCCTATGGGCGTAACAGTGTATTTATTTTATTTATTTATTGCAAACAAAAACATAAAAATAAACAATGACATATAAACAATTCAATTGAAATATATTAACATGAAGTACAGATTAAAATATAGATACTCTATTATGTCCATGTCTATTATGGTATACTCTGTTATGTCCACGGTACTGTTCATGTCTGTAGGCGACGGTTGACACTTTCAATCAAGTGGGCCGTCAGCTTGTTTGCCGTTCTAAGTTGATTGAACAAGAAGTCTCAAATACGCGACCGACTGTACATATTTTTATGCACTTGTATCTATATTGCAGTATATTCATTTAATGATTTATTAATTAAAAATAATGAATATATCCATTCTTATTATTAGTTTTCTATTTGTCAATAAATACCTTACAATAATTAGTTACCGTACGTCGTGGTACAGACGTAATGTGCCACCTGTTTATTTTTTATTTATTGCACCTTAGAATGGCAAACAAGCTGACGGCCCACCTGATGAAAAATGGCAACCGTCGCCTATACACATGAGCAGTACCATAGACATAACAGAGTATACTGTTTCGCCCATGATACCCCCCATGCGTTGACTCAAGTGTTATTCCTCTGTACCCTGTAAATTCACTGCCATATGCCCACCCTTCAAACTGTAACACAGCCATGCAAGCAAGTGCTTCGCGATAGAAACACGAATGGGACAGAGGTGGCCAAACAAACGACTTTTGTACAAAGTCTCCCTCTAGTTACCACTTACCAGTTTAGAATTGTATTTAAATCAAAGAATTGTATTAAAAGACAGAAAAATAATATTTTAAATGATAATGTCACATTGAAATAAATAAATTGTATATTTTCAATTCACTTTGGACCTCTTTTGGTAATCAATTCGTGCAGCTTCCGGCGTAGAATAGGCCGCCCCTTCCTTTCCCGTGGGTGTCGTAAGAGGCGACTGAGGGAGGGCGAGGGATGGGCAGCAGCGTCCCTCTTAAAACATCTCCAAAGCCTAATTGCGGTCGCCAGGGGAAAAGGGATTGTTAGTAATGCGGACTATCAGTCCCATTGCTGACAACATACCCTATCAGGTCAACCTCCACGTGGTCTCCCCTGGAAACCATCGTGCTGAATTCCAGGTGTATTCATCACGATGCGCTAACTGATCTGCCTTTTCATTCTCGCTTATCACCCCTAACTGGTGCCCCGTCAGTGTAAACCGTTAGTGTATGCGGGGTTACCATTCTATTATCATCTCTTAAAAAAAAATTGTGGTTGCCAATCAGTAGTTGCCAAACGTGGCAACTACTGGAAAAACACCCTAAGGGAGAGGCTTATGATGAGTAATTATGAGTTGATATGATGATGATGATGATGATGATGATGATGATGAAAAAATAAATAATTTTTAATTGACTTTGAAAAAGAAGGAGGTTAACAATTCGGTTGTGTTTTTTATTTTATGTTTCTTACCTCATGACTCGGTGAACAAAACGGTACGAATTTTTTAACTGTAACAATATATTTACTTGAAATTTGTCGCGTGGGAATTTTATCAAAGTCGCTACAAAAGATATATAGGAATTTATTTCAAGAGTAATCCCACACGTCTTTTATTATTTTATTTATTTCGAATTAGGCACACACATTTGGAGATGTCGGTAGGGTCCGCCCTAGACGGACGTATGTCGACCAAAATAGACGACGTGCTGAAGAAGGGCCAAATTAAAAGTACCCGTAACCGGCGAGCGTGTATGAAAAGATTGATGAATGTGGAAGAAGCGAAAGAGGTTTGTTTGAATCGAAGCATTTGGCGTTCCATTGTTTCTGCCTACCCTAATGGGAGACAGGCGTGACAGATATGTATGTATGTATGTATTAGGCGCACCAGCAATACATAAATTAATACATAAATTAAATAACATTTGTTTTGTGTAGCATGCAGCTATGCATACCTACAGCAGGCGTACACAACATTGACTACAGATTACATGCATATAAATGTCACAATATAATTAATATAATAAATTAAATTTATTTCTCACGTATTTTAGTTCCCAAATTCTATTCGCAAAAATAAAATAAAAAATAACCTATTATCACAGGTAACTCAATCATGTAGCGAAATGTTAATATTATGGTGAGTGGAACTCTCCTATAAGAAGCTAAGTTAACCGACAAATGTGCAGCATAGACCATTTTTTTTTATACAACTTAGAATGGCAAACAAGCTGACGGCCCACCTGATGGAAAGTGGTAACCGTCGCCTATAGACATGAGCAGTGCCATGGACATAACAGAGTATACTGTTTCGCCCATGATACCCCCCATGCGTTGCCAGGGCGGACAACAGAATGCGGACAACAAAATACTTTATCGACCGTTACAGGCTGATTTCTGCGTAGGCACTACTTTTTTTTTAATGTATGATAATGGAATGGTAACCCCACCCGCGCTATCGGTATACACCGGCGGGGCACCAGTGAAGGATGATATGTGAGGATAAAGCAGGCCAGTTAGCCCATCGTGACGAATTCAAAAAGATATTGTTCATAATTGGTTTCCAGGGGGAATCACGTGGAGGTTGACCTAATAGGGCGTATTTCTAGCAATGGGGCTGTCAAACTCCATTGCTAACAATCCCTTTCCCCCCGCGTAGTCCCTACCGGCGTCATCAATATAACAGCCGTTAACTGTCCACTGCTGAACATAGGCCTACTCCTATTTGAGGGAGGGGGGGGGGAGAGGATTGTATGTAACCGTCGCCTATAGACATGAGCAGTACCATGGACATAACAGAGTACACTGTTTCTCCCATGATACCGCCTATGTGTTGCCATTCCCGAGGACTCAAGTGTTATTCCTCCATATCCTGTAAATTCACTGCCATATCCCACCCTTCAAATAGAAACACAGTCATGCAAACATAACTGCTTCACGGTAAAAACACGAATGAGACAGAGGTGCCCTAGCAAACGACTTTTGTACAAAGTCTCCCTCTGGCAATTTTTCTGGTAATATTAAATTACTTCTACTTCAAGTTAATTTATATATAAATGTTTAGATAAATAAATTAATTTGAAAAAATAAATAAATTTAAGTCAAATTTAGATAGATAGATACTCTTTATTATTCCCTCCATAAGATTACAATAGTAAACTTATTATAGATACAAACAATTACAAGAAATGATCACAGTGAGAGAACAATGGGCGACCTTATCGCTAAGAGCGATCTCTTGCAGGCAACCTTTGGATGGAGAGGAGTAATTATAAACAGTTTGATCGGAGGCACGATGAAAATGCTATTATTTCAAAATATGAAGATGTTATACATGTAATAATGTAAATATAATATCCCTACTCATTATTATATGTATACACACATACATATACATACATACATGCATATAAACACCTACACAAATACATACAAATATATAAATACTGCTCACATGTATAAGTAAAACACAAAGATATAATTTTTTTACATATCTGAACAAATAAGTATGCTAACCAGAGAAATAGACAAGAAGACAACAACTTGTTCAAATAAAAATCTTTTTGTTTTGAAACTAGGCAGAGATTTTATATTTCGTAAAGAAACTGCTAAACTATACCATAGCTGTACAGCATTCAATTTTTTTTTTTTATACAACTTAGAATGGCAAACAAGCTAACGACCCACCTGATGGAAAGTGGTAACCGTCGCCTATACACATGAGAAGTACCATGGACATAACAGAGTATACTATTTCGCCCATGATACCCCCCATGCGTTGCCATCCCTGAGGACTCAGGTGTTATTCATCTGTACCCAGTAAATTCACGCCATACCCCACCATTCAAACCGAAACACAGCCATGCAAACACAACTGCTTCACGGTTGAAACACGAATGGGACAGAGGTACCCAAGCAATCGACTTTTGTACAAAGTCTCCCTCTGGTAAACATATTGTAGATTAATGTGTACGATTTGTTCTAATTATTATAGATTTTGTATGCGACGGTCCATAAAGTCATCGAGTCTATGGTCCTGGTATATCCGGGGGCGTACAATGCCTTGAGATATCCAATGTAATAACAACTTCAGGATGCTGTCGCGGCTCCCGCGTTTCCGTAGCGCCTCCTGTTGCCGAATGTTAGTCGAAGCTTGCCGATGTTTGTCGAAGCTCGCACAGATGGTTTTGACGCAGTCCGGCGTAAAAAGACAGCTTTCGTTTTGACATTAGAATACGCGGGAGTGGCGACAGTATCGTGGACATGTTTGTAAATTAATTAGTCCTCTCGTGAGAATGCTCGCCGAGAGGACTAGATCATTATTAGGGATTAAGTTAACATAGTTCTTAAGTATACTAACAAAAAATGGATTCATATTGTTTAAAATAAATAAATAAAAAAAAGAAATTGTAATTTCATTTAAATTATCGAATTTCAATATTTAGTTAAGAGATACGAATAAAACAGAAATGGCACAGCAGATGAAGTGGCAACGGGCTGGTCACATAGCTCGAAGAACTGACAACCGATGGGGAAGAAAGATTCTTGAGTGACGACCGAGTACAGGCAAACGCAGTGTAGGACGATCTCCCCCTTACTAGATTTTTCTTATTCAACTTGTAATGTCAAACAAGTTGACGGCCCACCTGATGGAGAGTGGTAACCGTCGCCTATAGACATGAGCAGTACCATGAACATAACGACTTGAAATGCATTGCAGAGAGTCAGTGGACGCAGGTGGCTCAGGACCGTTCCTTATGGCAGTCTATGTGGGAGGCTTATGTACAGCAGTGGACGAATAATGGCTGAACTGATGACGATGATGAAGACAAAGCAGAATCGGCTATACTCCTTCCTTTTTACTTGTTGAATGCCGATTAATTTCACTTATGGCTAATATATAGTTGATGCAATATGAGAATTAAACAGACAAAACAAACATACGTAACTCATTACCGAATTGACGAATTTTCACGACAATGTATAATAGTTTTTCATTAAAAAAATTATGTACCAAATACAATGAAAGGAAAAAAAACAAGATGGCGGCAGCTGTTTAAATAGTATGGAAAATGGTAATATATTACTGCACAAACTGTCTGATGTCATGCAAAAGTTTTAGGTCAGAATATTAATTTAAATTCTTTTTACACAATATTTTTTTAAATAGTTTCTAATCATTTTTTTTTTATTCAACTTAGAATGAAAAAACAAACTGACGGCTCACCTGAAGAAAGTGGTAACCGTCGCCTATAGACATGAGCAGTACCGTGGACATAACAGAGTATGATACCCCTCTTGCGTTGCAATTTCTGAGGACTCAGGTGTTATTCCTCTGTACCCAGTAAATTCACTGTAAATTCTTGTTTAAAATGAATAATTTTTGTATGAAAGTTCACTGCTGAACAAGAACTTTCGCCTTGGAGAATTTTGCCAGTAGTTGCCACGCTTGGCAGGCGGATTGGCAATCGCAGTCAGGCTTTGGAGATGTTTTAAAAGGGACGCTGTAGCTTATCCCTCGCTCACTTTTAGTCGCCAGTCACTAGTCCCATTGTCAGCAATATACTTTGCCTCTAAACCATCATGCTGATTTCCAGGTATATTCATCACGATGGGCTAACTGATCTGCCTTATCATCCTCACCTATCACCCCTCACTGGTGCCCCGCCAGTGTACACCGATAGCGCAGGCGGGGTTACCATTTTTTTTTACAATATATGGGCCAAACGATCATGCGCTTTAATAATCCCACGGGATTTCATTTACAGCTGGATTCTATATGTTTTTATATATTTTAAAATGCCATCAAACGGTTAATGGATAATAATCTTTATAGTTAAGGTATTGTGGTACCATTTGTACAAACACGCACAACATATTGTAACTCTTTTTTTTATATGTAAATGATATGTTTTTCACATAAAAATTTATCTACGTGGTCAACTATGAATAGTCGAGGAGACGATGACAAAAATTACTTATGACACGAACAATTAAAAAAAAACACTATGACCATTCCAAAAAGGGAACTGTTCTCGAGAAATTTATAGCTAATGTCAGTGTATGTGATTAATAAAATATATAAAGAAAATTATTCGTAAATACAGCTCACTATTGGCAGAGAATCCATCCTCATACCTTAGAAGCAGAGTGGTCACGCACAGATAGATAGATAGATAGATAGATAGACACTTTATTTGAGCCATTTATGACACACGTAAATTAATAAATAAATTTATACAATCTGATTATTTAAATTTTTTCAAATATAAAACAAAAGATGAATATTGGAGATATGTTTTCACCAAGTGTGTCGCAGTGACCCGAATAGGCTACAGCTCAGTGATAGTTTTGCTTAAAAGCAAAGCACTGATTTTCAGCTGCAACTTGAACTAAGGCTACACGGACGCGTACAACGAACCCAGAGTGTAACCTGTGTAACCAATTTGACAGCAAAAGGTAAAATTATATTATATAGATACATACTTATATAGATGATGCATAAATAATATATTTCATTAATTAATTAAACATAATATTTAACATATTTTTTTTTATACAACTTAGAATGGCAAACAAGCTGACGGTCCACCTGATGGAAAGTGGTAACCGTCGCCTATAGACATAAGTACTACCATGGACATGACAGAGTATACTGTTTCGCCCATGATACCCTCCATGCGTTGCCATTCCTGAGGACTCAGGTGTTATTCCTCTGTACCCAGTAAATTCACGCCATACTCCACCCTTCAAACCGAAACACAGCCATGCAAACACAACTGCTTCACGGTTAAAACACGAATGGGACAGAGGTACCCAAGCAATCGACTTTTGTACAAAGTCTCCCTCTGGTAAAACATATATAAATAATAATTTACCACAGTAAGTATGTTAAAAGCAGTCGCTACCAGGCGACTAATCCAAATTTTTGCTTAGTGCAGTATTTTTTGCACATTGCAGTTTCAGAGAAGTTTCCTCCCGCGAACACTGATGTTGTGGAATGATATTCCTGCCGTACGTACTACATACATATACATACATACATACATAGACATAATAATTTTACGAGGACAGAGGATGATCTTTTAATCTGCTCTTGAATATATCCAGCGATTGACTTTCATGCATGCTTGCGTCATTGCTGCTCATGTCTATAGGCGACGGTTACCACTTTTCATCAGGTGGGCCGTCAGCTTGTTTGCCATTCTAAGTTGTATAAAAAAAGAGAGTTCCATAGTGTAGCCGCTTGAACCGTAAATGATCCACTATAGCATGAGGAGGTATGAGGAGGGATTTTAAGAATAAGGGACTTACTCGATCCACTGGACATGCCAGTGGAAACAAGGGAATTGAACCGTTCACAAAGACAAGATGGTGAGGAAGAATTAAAAAGTACAGAATACCAGAAAGATAAAAGATGAAAATCACGACGTTGACGAATTGGGAGCCATTTAAATTTGCTTCTGTAAGAGAAGACATGATCATGTTTTCTAAGTCCATAAATAAAACGTATGCACAAATTCTGCAGCCGTTCCAACTTATTTAATTGTTCCTCTGTGACATCCAGATAATATACGTCAGTATAATCAAGAAGAGGTATTAATAAAGCTTGGGCGAGTGTGATTTTTATATCAATAGGCAAGAATTTCTAAAAACGTTTGAGCGAGTGAAAAGAATAGTATAAACTCCTACTTATTCCATTGAACATATCGTTCACCCCAGGATAAGTTACTGTCAAACATGATTCCAAGAATATAGAATAATATTTTTTTTTATACCACTGAGGTGGCAAACAAGCATACGGCCCACCTGATGGTAAGTAGTTACTGTAGCCTATGAACACCTGCAATACCAGAGGTATTACGCGTGCGTTGCCGACCCTGAAGAAACCTCTTTATCCCCCTTTTGAAGAACCCCATGCTGTTGTCTCTTGGGGAAACCTCGCCAGGGAGCTCATTCCATAACCAGAGTGTTTGTGGGAGGAAATATCTCTGAAACCGCGTTGTACACGACCATTTAAGCTGTAGAGTATGAGGATAAACTCCCTATCGATGGCGAGCCGTACGATGGTAGAAAGTGACTGTGAGCATCATATTGAACAATTCTTCTGAGCACAATCCATTGTATAGGCGGTAGAACACGCAGAGTGAGTCAAAATCTCTCCTAAGACTTAAGGGTTCAATGCCGCTTGTAAGCCTGGGACTTTTGTTCATAACAGTGTATACTGTAAAAAAGATCAGATTGTTTTATTTATTTAACTCTTTATTGCACCATAAACAAAAATATACAATGACAAGTGAATAATTTAAGTGAAATACAGTAACATAAATACAGATTGAAATATACACATAAAGGTACAAAAGGCGCTAAGGCTAGGGCGCTAAGTCTTATCGCTAGGGCAATCTCTTGCAAACAACCTTTGATTAAAAGGAGAACAGATAGAAGTGGGCAGGTGGCGCAAGAGTGAATCAATAATTTTTCGTGCATAAAATATAAAAACCTGTAATGCACAAAAATATCAAATACATATAATTTATATATATAATATATATAAACATAAACATACACATATAAATACATACATAGCACACACAAGGAAATTTGTAAAGTAAAATGTTTTGACCTCTGTTAGATTCCAAATTGCATTAAAAATTAACAAGGGTGACAATATTTTGCAACGATCCCCTCAACTACATTAATTACACCAAATTCATGTGTTTGTTTCGAATGTTTGTGCAAGGTGCAAATTTTTGTATTTAATTGTTCCTATTTTGTATAAATTCACTTGGTTGAATGAGTGTTGTATGGTACTTCTGGCACTGCAACATGAAGCTCTCGCTAGTTCTCCTGGTAATATCGGTAAAATTCACCATTTATATTATTTATTTACCATACCATACCATACCATACCATATCAGCCGTTAATTGTCCACTGCTGGACATAAGTCTTCCCCATAAGGGGAGTTTTGCCAGTAGTTGCTACACTTGGCAGGCGGGTTGACAACCGCAGTTAGGTTTTTAAAGATGTTTTAAGAAAGACGCTGCTGCCCATCCCTCGCCCTCCCTTAGTCTCTTCTTACGACACCCACGGGAAAGGAAGGGATGGCCTATTTTATGCCCGGGTACACATGGCGATATTTATTCATTTATTCATTTATTGCACAATAAAACTTTGTACAAGTGGCGAGCTTAATGCCATATGGCATTCTCTACCAGCTAACCATTAGGTGGAAACAGAAAGCGTATAAAGGGCGTATCCCTCGTCCTCGCTTAGACGCCTCTTACGACACCCATGGGAAAGGAATGGGTGGCCTATTCATAGAATAGGGATTGGACCACACGGCCAATTTATTATATCTATGAATTATAAATCCTTTTGATCAATAACAGAATCATTTTCTATAATTAGAGATTGTTTACCACAAAAAAAAACCGACAACGATTCTATCTTTTTTTTTTATACAACTTGAAATTACTGTAAATTCTATCCTATTTAAGAGCTGCGCTCTTGTCGGTGGTGCTCTTGCCACTCACTACGATTTGCAGCGAGTCTCTTCACCTCTTGATACGACACGACACCAACTCCTTCCTTGATCTGCCTGATGTAACTATGTTTTGGTCTCCCTCTACCCTTCTTCTTTCTATCTTACCTTCTATTATAATGTTCATAAGTTCGTCGTGTCGTATCAAGTGTTCGAACATTTTTGCCCTTCTGACCTCAATAGTTCTTATAATTTGTCTCTTTTCCTTAACCCTAAGCAGGACCTCCTCATTGCTAATTCGATCTCTCCAGCTAATTTTCTCCATCCTTCTTCAGCACCACATTTCAAAGGCTCTAAGTTTAGCCATTTCTTTCTGAGTTAGTGTCCACATCTCACATCCATACAAAGCTATACTCCAGATATAGGTCTTTATAAGCCGTTTTCTAATATTTTTTGTTATCTTAGCCTGTAAAAGTCGTTTTTTGTTATTGAGGGCTTGTTTGGCCATAGCTAGCGTCTACATCCGGAGTACATCTGGAGTCACTTGTGATTAAACTGGCTAAATATTTAAATGTGTTCACCTGTTCTAATTGAGTTCTAAAAACTAAACTACTCAACGGATTTTGATAAACATTCTATCTGACCAATCTTTAAGTATACCCTTTCGGATAAAATGGAATTTTCCAAATCGGTTTACAACTGTCTGAGTTATGGGATAAAATATACGACCGAATTCAGCCTCCTTATTTTTGTATTCGTTTGAAAATACCAGAGGGAGACTTTGTACAAAAGTCGTTTGCTTGGGTACCTCTGTCCCATTCGTGTTTCAACCGTAAAGCAGTTATGTTTGCATGACTGTGTTTCGGTTTGAAGGGTGGGATATGGCGTGAATTTACAGGGTACAGAGAAATAAAACCTGAGTCCTCAGGAATGGTAACGCATGGGGGGTATCATAAGCGAAACGGTATACTCTGTTATGTCGATGGTACTGCTCATGTCTATAGGCGACGGTTACCACTTTCCATCAGGTGGGCCGTCAGCTTGTTCGGCATTCTAAGTTATATAAAAAAAAAAATTACTTTCTTTTACAGGCCTTCGTGGCTGTTCAAGCTGCTCCTAGACCAGGTAAGAATATTATTATATTTATTTATTTAAAGGTGGCCCAGGACCGTTCCTGGACACCTACATCCACTGACTCCCTGCAATGTATTTGAGATCGTCACTCCATCTAGTGGGGAGTCATCGTAGACGGCGTTTACAAAACAGTATAATAGTTAAAAGAGATTTCTATAAGGTTTCAGTTTTTATTCATAAGGGGGTTAATTTTTGGGAATGACTACAGCAAACTGTGTTCATGGTTTTTTTACTATAAGAGACATTGATCATTTGTTTCTTCTAATGAAAATCATTGTATAAGCTCTTTTAATATTCTGTTCCATTAAGAAACTATAATAATAATATAAATGCCACTTAATAACACCAATAGCCTAGTCTACAAGCTAAGATGTTATGAGAAACCAGGTAACGAAGATAAAAGTTATAAAAAATATGATTTGGTTTATATCCAGAACCAAACGTCATATCCATCAGCAGTCAATCCAGCGAGGCAGCTAGCAGCAGTAGCAGCAGTAGCAGTAGTAGCTTCGAAAGTTCGAGCAGTAGCGGTGGACAAAGCAGCAGTAGTTCGTCCCAAAGCAGCAGTTCATCCAGCGCGTCCGAACAAAGTCAGTCTAGCTCCAGAATCATCAGCAACGGAAGCAGTGGCAGCAGCAGCAGTAGCAGTTCTTCTCAAAGCAGCAGTTCCGCTAAGTCATCTGAGGAAGAAAGAGAATCTAGCTCGAGAAGCAGCAGCAACGGCAGTAGTAGTAGTAGCAGTTCTTCTCAAAGAAGCAGCAGTGCTAGCGAATCTGAAGAAGAAAGAGAATCTAGGTCGAGGAGTAACAGCAATGGAAGCAGTAGAAGTAGCAGTAGCTCTTCTAAGAAAAACAGTAGTTCATCTAGTGCATCTGAAGAAGAAAGGGAATCTAAATCAAGGAGCAACAGCAGTGGAAGAAGTAGTAGTAGCAGTAGTTCTTCCGAAAAGAAAAGTAGTTCCTCTAAAGCATCTGAAGAGGAAAGGGAATCTAAGTCAAGAAGTAACAGCAGCGGAAGAAGTAGTAGCAGCAGCAGTTCCTCTCAAAAAAGTAATAGATCTTCGAAGGCAACTGAGGAGGAAAGGGAATCTAAGTCAAAAAGTGGCAGCAGCGGAAGAAGTAGCAGTAGTTCTTCCCACAGGAACAGTAGTTCCTCTAAATCATCAGAAAAAGAAAAAGAATCTAGTACAAGAAATTCCCAAAGTTCTAACAGACAGTCATCTTCATGGAAAAAATCTGAGGAAGAAGAAGAGAGACTGAGACGCAGTAAATCTAAGGAATCTCAAAATTCGAGCAGCAAATCCTCTGAACGATCTAGCAGTAAGTCATCCTCTTCAAGAAGATCTGAAGAAGAAGAAGAAAGATGGAGGAAATCCAAGAAATCTGAAAGGTCTAACAGCAAATGTAAGGAATCTGAAAGTTCGAGCAGTAAATCCTCTGAAAAATCTAGCAGTAAATTATCTTCTTGGAGAAAATCTGAGGAAGAAGAAGAAAGATTGAGACGCAGCAAATCCAAGGAATCAGAAAAGTCTAGTCGCAAATCCTCTGAAAGCTCTAGTAATAAGTCATCTGCTTGGAGAAAATCTGAGGAAGAAGAATCAAAATCAAGAAACCGTTGGAACAAGAAATCTAACAGTAGCTCCGAAAATAGTAACAGCTCTAATAACAGTAGTAGTTCTAATAATAGCAGTAGCTCTAGTAATAGTAGCTCAAATAGTAGCAATTCTAATAACAGCAACAATTCTAACAACAGCAGCTCAAACAGTAATAGTGATTCTAACAGTAGTTCAAATAGTAGCAGTGCAAACAACAGCAATTCCGACAACAGCAGCTCAAACAGTAGTAGTGGTTCCAATAGTAGTTCCAACAGTAGTAGTTCCAACAATAGTAGCTCTAATAATAGCAGCAGTTCCGAAAACAGCAGCTCCAACAGTTCCAGCGGTTCCAACAGTGGCTCAAGCAGCAGCTCAAACAACAGCAGCTCCAACAGTAGTAGTGGTTCCAATAGTAGTTCCAACAGTAGTAGTTCCAACAATAGTAGCTCCAATAATAGCAGCAGTTCCGATAACAGCAGCTCCAACAGTTCCAGCGGTTCCAACAGTGGCTCAAGCAGCAGCTCAAACAACAGCAGCTCCAACAGTAGTAGTGGTTCCAATAGTAGTTCCAACAGTAGTAGTTCCAACAATAGTAGCTCCAATAATAGCAGCAGTTCCGATAACAGCAGCTCCAACAGTTCCAGCGGTTCCAACAGTGGCTCAAGCAGCAGCTCAAACAACAGCAGCTCCAACAGTAGTAGTGGTTCCAATAGTAGTTCCAACAGTAGTAGTTCCAACAATAGTAACTCCAATAATAACAGCAGTTCTAATAACAGCAGCTCCAACAGTAGCAGCGGCTCCAACAGTAGTTCAAGCAGCAGCTCAGATAACAGCAACTCCAACAGTTCTAGTGGTTCTAACAGTGGCTCAAGCAGTAGCTCAAATAACAGCAGTAATGGTTCTAATAGTGGCTCTAGTAGCAGCTCGAACAACAGCAGTTCCAACAGTAGCAGCAATTCCAACAGTGGATCAAGTAGTAGTTCAAATAACAATAGCAGCTCAAACAATAGCAGCAGCTCAAACAACAACAGTAGCTCTAATAGTAGCAGCGGTTCTAATAGTGGATCAAATAGTAGCTTAAATAACAGCAGCAACTCAAACAACAGCAGCTCCAACAGTAGCAGCGGTTCTAACAGTGGATCAAATAGTAGTTCAAACAATAGTAGCAACTCAAACAACAGCAGCAGTTCAAACAACAACAGTAGCTCTAATAGTAGCAGCAATTCCAACAGTGGATCAAGTAGTAGTTCAAACAACAGCAGCAGCTCAAACAACAGCGGCAGCTCAAACAACAGCAGCAGCTCAAACAACAGTAGCTCCAACAGTAGCAGTGGTTCTAATAGTGGATCAAGTAGTAGCTCAAATAACAGCAGCAGCTCAGACAACAGCAGCTCCAACAGTAGCAGCGGTTCTAACAGTGGATCAAGTAGTAGTTCAAACAACAGCAGCAGCTCAAACAACAGCAGCAGCTCAAACAACAGTAGCAGCTCAAACAACAGCGGCAGCTCAAACAACAGCAGCAGCTCAAACAACAGTAGCTTCAACAGTAGCAGTGGTTCTAATAGTGGATCAAGTAGTAGCTCAAATAACAGTAGCAGCTCAGACAACAGCAGCTCCAACAGTAGCAGCGGTTCTAATAGTGGATCAAGTAGTAGTTCAAACAACAGCAGCAGCTCAAACAACAGCAGCAGCTCAAACAACAGTAGCAGCTCAAACAACATCAGCAGCTCAAACAACAGTAGCTCCAACAGTAGCAGTGGTTCCAACAGTGGCTCTAGTAGTAGCTCAAACAACAGCAGCAATTCAAACAACAACAGTAGCTCCAACAGTAATAGCTCCAGCGATAGCAACTCAAATAGCAGTGGTTCCAGTAGCAACAACAACAAGAACAGGTAACGTTATTTTAAAGTATAAAGTAAATATGCTAAAGATTATCCTCTAATGGCTTCCACATTAGAAATATTTCTTGATTGTTCTCATTATGGTGAGTGCAATGCTCATATTTTGCAGAAATAATTATGCAGAAAACAGGCATCTCTTACGGATATCTATAACTAATAATTAACTATTTTTTTTGCATAACTAGCTCTATTAAATATCCAAATATGAAATGCGAAAGTGACTTTGTAATAACAGTATCAATTTTATTGTCAACAGCAGCTCCAAGACCTCTTCATCAAGCAACGCAAGTTCCCAAGCCAGTAGCAGCAGCACCAAAACTAGCAAAAACGGCAGCTCATCCAGCTCGCAGTCTAGTAGCGAATCTGGATCGCAGTCTAGCGCAAGTAGCAGCGAGAAACGTAATGCCGATGGCAGTGAAAGCCAAAGCAGCAGTGCTAAGAGTAGCGCCGCACAGAAAAGCAGCAGTAGCAGCCAAATTAAGAATGCAGATGGCAGCGAGAGTAGCTCAAGTTCCAGTAGCAGTTCTGCAGCACAGGCAAGCGCGAATAGCAGCGAACAACGTAATGCAGACGGTAGTGAAAGCCTAAGCAGTAGCTCTCAGAGTAGCGCCGCACAGAAAAGCAGTAGTAGCAGCCAGACCAAGAATGCTGATGGCAGCGAAAGTAGCTCAAGCTCCAGTAGCAGTTCTGCAGCACAGGCAAGCGCGAATAGCAGCGAACAACGTAATGCAGACGGTAGTGAAAGCCTAAGCAGTAGCTCTCAGAGTAGCGCTGCACAGAACAGCAGCAGTAGCAGCCAGATTAAGAATGCAGATGGCAGTGAGAGTAGCTCAAGCTCTACTAGCAGCTCAGCAGCACAAGCGAGCTCAAGCAGCAGTGAACAAGTCAGCGCTGATGGTAGTGAAACCATAAGTTCGAGCAGTAGCTCGTCTAGCTCCTCCAGTTCTTCCTCTTCTTCGAGCTGGTCCAGCGATTAGATTGTGTCGTTACAATGACTAAATACTGTACTAATTTATCCTTCTGCTTGATCTAGAAAGATTCTAGAAAATACTTATAGGACATTCGTATTTCATACGATAAAGGCATCTTGTAGAAAATAGAAGATTCGATCTTTTACGGGATTTGTAGAATATCGTAAATCTTTATTTTTACAACCGATCGACTTGGCATCGTACAATGGCTTTGTTTTCTGTTCGTTTTAATCGATTAAAGAGAGCATGTTGAAATGAGATTTAGTAAATACAACAATGAAGAAATATACAATCAGGAGTTAGCGCAATGCACATCGAAACGTCGGCAATAAAGAAGCGAGTACGTGAATTTACTGGGTACAGAGGAATAACACCTGAGTCCTCAGGAATGGCAACGCATGGGGGGTATCATGGGCGAAACAGTATACTCTGTTATGTCCATGATACTGCTCATGTCTATAGGCGACGGTTACCACTTTCCATCAGGTGGACCGTCAGCTTGTTTGCCATTCTAAGTTGTATAAAAAAAGGAGTACGTAGAAAGGTTTTTTCATCGCGTTAAGTCCCAATTGTGTTTTTAAAACAATGATATTGTTAAATAAACTAGAATCTGTATCATGCGATATGTATACTCTTTAATTATTTGAAGCATAATTTGAAAAAGACAAGACAAAAATAATAATGTTAATAAAGTTGAAATAAAGATTATCATATATTCGGCAGTTTTCATTATTAGTTTTTTTTCTTGGATTTAAAAATATGTAGTCACCTGTGACGCCTATGTAAGACCCCCTAAGCTAGAAGTATTAAAATATAAAATTTGGTTTGGTTTGTGAATTTATTGTGAAAGGGAAGGAAAGGAAATCTAAAGTCTATGCATGCATTTTTATTAATTTAGGTGCATTTTACAATTATTGAAATTATATCAAATTTAGACATGTACAATATATGAGTATATGTATGTATAAATATGTATATTCCAATGATACATTGATACTAAAATTAAGTATTTTTAATATATTATTATTATCATATTATTTATCATTATCGCCATATCAGCCTTTAACTGTCCACTGCTGAACATAAGCCTCTCCCTTGGGGGGGTTTTTCCAGTAACTACCACGGTTGGCAAATGCAGTTAGGTTTTAGTGATGTTTTAAGAGAGACGCTGCTGCTCATCCCTCGACCATCAAGTTCCCTTAGTCTCCTCTTATGACACCTATGGGAAAGGAAGGGGGTATTATACTATATATACTATACAAATATTAAATTTTATTCTATTATATATAAATAAATTGAAAAAGTAGATGTTGAGTTTTTTGCGGGTTCTTAGCAGATAATAACATTCCGAACACAGCGGTAGGATCATAAAAAATATTGTTTAAAAGAGTTTTTTTATATACAACTTAGAATGGCAAACAAGCTGACGGCCCAACTAATGGAAAGTGGTAACCGTCGCCTGTAGACATGAGCAGTACCATGGACATAACTGAGTATAGTGTTTCGCCCATGATACTACCCATGCGTTGCCATTCCTGAGAACTCAGGTGTTATTTCTATGTATCCTGTAAATTCACTGCCATATTCCACCCTTCAAACCGAAACACAGCCATGCAAACACAACTGCTTCACGGTAGAAACACGAATGGGACAGAGGTATCCAAGCAATTGACTTTTGTACAAAGTCTCCCTCTGGTAAAAGTGTTATAGCCTACTCACACATATTTATATCTACATAATTATTATATAAACATTATAAACACAAACACACATACATACATAATTTATATTTTATTATATATTTATTCTATAACTGACAAAAATGTCGTATCGGACGACACACCGCGTTGTGCATTGGAGATGTGCACAAAACCGGTTTTTAGCCGCCATGACAGGGCAACTGCGTGAGCGCTTCCCCTCTCACCGCGAGAGTCGAAATTCTACCGCCTTGTTTATAACTTGTGTCGCTCGATATCTCACTGCTTTCTAAATGTTAACATCGTGCTTATTAACTTTCATCTTTGTCTATCACTGTATCATCCTTCTTTCACTCCTTCTATCTATTGTGTTGTTGACTGTATTGTGTGTAATCTTCCTGTGCATTAAACCACTGTGCTAGCTACTTGTACTGCTTATTTTCATCGCTTGATAAACATCATCGTTACGCGGCTTATCAACGCAGCCATACTATAAACACGCATCCTTCACATCAACATCCATACTGGTGACCCTCCAAGGACACGAAATTCATCATGAGTGATAGCAGTGATTCAAATAAAACGTCGCAATTTCAAGATGGACATAGCGAAAAGGTGACCTTTCGTCGAACGCCCAAAGTGCGCGTTTCCACTGCACGACAAATGACGTCCGACATTTCAACGATAAATTTGAAAGTTCCCGTTTTTGCACCAGACGACCCGGAAATATGGTTTGCTCTTCTAGAAGGTCAGTTTAACTTGCATAATATCACAGATGACTCAGATAAATTTACATACGTAACTTCCAGTCTTGACGTACAGCATGCAAAAGCCGTGAAGGACATAATTTTAAATCCTCCGGCCAGTAAACGCTACGATAAAATTAAAACCGAGCTGATCAAACGTTTATCTGCCTCGCATGAGAGAAAAGTCAAGCAACTTTTGACACACGAGGAACTTGGGGATAGAAAACCGTCCCAATTTCTGAGGCATCTTCAAGATCTTGCTGGATCATCAGTTCCTGAGGATTTATTAAGGACTATTTGGAGCAACCGACTACCACAAAGTATCCAGACCGTGTTGGCATCGCAAACTACCCATTCATTGGAACAACTCTCGGACCTGGCTGACCGAATTCAGGAAATTACCACACCTTGTCACGTTGCAGCCACTTCATCAAGTATGTCATCCTCTAATAGTTCATCCCGGGAGATCGCAGAGCTGAAGAAGATGGTTGAGCACCTGGCATTAAAGCTCGAAGAACATACCAAGGCATCACATCGACCCAGCCATCGTTCTCGAACGCCACGACGTCGTCATTCTTCACGACAACGATCGAGATCGAACTCCAGCTACCGCAAGTTCCCTATTTGTTGGTACCACTCAATGCATGGAGCCGACGCACGTAAATGTTTGAAGCCGTGCGACTACAAGGCGGGAAACTCCATGGGCAGTCGGTAATGGCGACTGACGATTGCTCCTCCCCCCTTGGTCGCCTCTTCGTCACCGACCGCAGTTCGAAGATCCAGTTTCTGGTGGATACCGGTAGCGACCTTTGCGTCTACCCTCGATCTGCGCTGCGTGAACGACGAGTCAAGACGGACTTTCAATTGTGCGCAGCTAATGGAACAAACATCGAGACATATGGTTACGTAGAACTTAATTTAAATCTAGGCTTAAGGCGTAATTTTACATGGCGCTTCATTGTTGCAAATGTAACCAAAGCTATTATCGGTGTAGATTTTTTATGTCACTATAATTTAATAGTAGATTGTCGTAAGCATCGCCTTATTGATAACATTACCAATTTACATACTAGTGCATGTTCTGCTAATAATGATACATTTTCTGTAAAACTTGTCACGGGCAACACAAGATTTCATCAAATTTTAAACAAATTTCCCGAAATTACTCGCCCTTCAGGCACACCGTTGACTCCAAAGCACAACACCGTCCACTACATTAAGACAACAACAGGCCCACCTATATCTTGCACTCCTCGAAGACTGGCTCCCGACAAATTAAAAATAGCTAGGCAGGAATTCGAACTTATGCTCAATAATGGTACAGCACGTCCTTCCAAAAGTCCCTGGGCTTCGCCGCTACACCTTGCTCCTAAAAAGGATAACGGCTGGCGACCCTGTGGTGACTATAGGTTACTCAACGCAAGGACGATACCAGACCGTTATCCTATTAGGCACATACACGATTTCGCCCATAGCATCTCTGGTTGTAAGATCTTTTCCACAATAGATTTAGTTAAAGCTTATAACCAGATCCCGGTTTTTGAGGAAGATATACCGAAAACTGCAATTGCCACACCTTTCGGACTATATGAGTTCCCGTTTATGACGTTTGGTCTACGTAATGCTGGCCAAACGTTTCAAAGATTTGTCGACGAAATGACTAGAGGGCTTGATTTTTGTTATTGTTATCTTGACGATTTTCTAGTGTACTCCAGAGATGAAGCCGAGCACGAATCCCACCTTCAGCAGCTCTTCACCCGCATGAAGGAATACGGTATCCTCATCAATACATCAAAGTGCGTATTCGGTGTAAGTGAAGTCACATTTTTAGGTTACCATATCTCTGCGTCAGGAACTAAACCTCTAGATTCCAAGGTTCAGGCCATCAAGGAATTCCCTGCACCAATAAACGTCAAGCAACTAAGGCGCTTTTTGGGGATGATGAACTTTTATAGGCGATTTATACCGCAAGCCGCTCAAATTCAAGCTCCCTTAAACGCCTTACTCGCTGGTTCAGTGAAAGGATCCCATCCAGTCAATTTACGCGACGACACTCTTCTTGCTTTCGAACAATGCAAAGAAAGCCTTTCTAATGCTGCATTACTCGCACACCCAGACTGTCAGGCTAATCTTGCTCTGGTAACAGACGCATCTGATTTAGCTATGGGTGCAGTTTTGCAGCAATTCAAGAACAATCAATGGCAACCCCTTGCTTTCTTTTCGCGGAAATTGAGTCCCTCTCAACAAAAATACTCGCCCTATGACCGCGAACTTTTAGCCATCTACGAAAGCATTAAATACTTTCGCCATATGCTGGAAGCTCGACATTTCGTGGTGTACACTGACCACAAGCCGCTCAGTTTCGCTTTCCGTGAACGAAAAGCCAACTGTTCGCCCCGTCAGTTCCGTCATCTCGATTACATCTCGCAGTTCACAACTGACATACGACACATCTCAGGCAAGGACAATGTCGTAGCCGATACACTGTCCCGTATCGATGAACTGCAGATGCCAATCGACTTAAGTTTATTGGCAAAGTCACAAGCTTCCGATAATGAGCTAACTGAAATATTAGGTGGTGATTTATCACTCCGCCTAAAGAAGTTAAAAATGCTTAACAGTAACATTGAACTGTTTTGTGACGTGAGCACTCCATCACCAAGACCTTTTGTGACGAAGCAATTTCGTAAACAACTTTTCGATAGTCTACATAGTCTTAGCCACCCAGGCGCTAACGCGAGCGCTCAACTTGTCGCTGAGCGATTCGTCTGGCCAGGAGTGCGTAAAGACTGTCGAGAATGGTCACGAAATTGCCTAGCCTGTCAACGTGCAAAGGTAAATCGTCACGTGTCATCTCCCTTAGGCACGTTCAATCTACCTCGCGCACGATTCGCTTTTATCCATACGGACATCATAGGCCCATTACCACCATCACAAGGCTATCGCTACTGCCTTACAGTAGTAGATCGTTTCACACGCTGGCCCGAAGTCATTCCGATGACAGATATGACAGCTGAAACCGTTGGGAAGGCATTATTATCGTGGATATCCAGATTTGGATGTCCAACTGATATTGTCACTGATCGCGGTAGACAGTTTGAATCCGCACTTTTCCAATATCTTGGAAAAATGATTGGATTCAAACATCGTAGAACAACCGCGTATCACCCAGCATGTAACGGCTTGGTGGAACGTTTTCACCGGCAATTAAAAGCTGCCATTATGTGCCACGCTGATGTGAATTGGGTAGACACCTTACCGTTAGTGCTCTTAGGTGTTAGGTCGGCTTATAAAGAGGACTTACATGCATCATCAGCCGAATTAGTGTATGGCGAACCATTACGTCTCCCAGGAGAATTTTTCCAGGCGACAGTACCTGAGTCCACCGACATTTCAGACTTCACTACCCGTTTACGTCAATTCGCGGTGAAATTGCAACCATCTCCCGCGTCGCGTCACAATAAAGATAAAATCTTCATTTACAAAGATCTGCAGTCATCTAGTCACGTCTTCTTACGAGACGATTCAGTTCGAGGTGCTTTACAACCCCCCTATACCGGTCCATACGAAGTGGTCGAACGTAACAATAAAACATTTAGGATATTGGTTAAGGGTAAAGCAGTCACGGTATCTATAGACCGCCTCAAACCGGCCTACATACTGACAGAGCCATCCCCTTCGCCTCAATCCGTACCTATTCCTACTCCCATTCCCCCACCTAACCCAGATCCTGTTCAGCAGGATAAACTTGCTCAGGGTACCATTAAAAAGACCCGTTCGGGACGCGTAGTTCGATTTCCTGACTACTATTGCCCATAATTCCTCTGACTACCCCATCATGAAATGTGGTCGTGAGCATATTTTTTCATCGCCCGTAGTTACGGTCTTTGGAGGGGAGTGATATAGCCTACTCACACATATTTATATCTACATAATTATTATATAAACATTATAAACACAAACACACATACATACATAATTTATATTTTATTATATATTTATTCTATAACTGACAAAAATGTCGTATCGGACGACACACCGCGTTGTGCACATCAACATCCATAGTGTTGTTAAATCTGTTGATAGTACGATATACAAACCTACAGCTGATACCAAGTTTATGAAGTGTGCGGAATATGACCGACGGAATACGTCCATACCCACTTTGTGCAAGGCGATCACTGCAATCCTATTTTCTTTAACACCCAATTCTATATAGTGATATGAAAATGAACACGAAAAAATATGGGGAATGGCGCGAAATCGAAAGAAGTTTTAAAAATAATAAACGTGTTCCCAATTAAAAAAAATTAAAAAGTGGAAAAAAAGAAAAGTTTTTATCTAATAGTAATAATATTTATGATCAGACTAGTTATATATGGACGAATAGCAGCGTTCCTTTTAAAATATCACTAAACCTAACTATCCATCCCATATCATCTAGCCCAGACCTCAACCCTTTAGACTTTAAATTATGATCAGTTTTAGAGGACATGACTAGAACCTGACCTAAACGACACGGCGACATTGGGTCTCTTAAAAAATCTTTGGAGCAAGCAGTGGCAAAATTTCCCTTGGAAACAGTGCGTAAATCCATAGATTCGTGGCTAGACGTGGTTTGTTTAAAAGCCAAAGGTAGTTTTTATACCACCGTTAGCTTTAAACTTTTAGCCAAAGGATTTCGAATAGAATATTTTTTTTATTTTTTGCTGAGTATAAATATGTATAAATTTTAGTAATATTACATTACTTCATAAGAAAAAAGAATTTATTTGTAACAGAACTTATGGCTGAACTAGGTAGACTGTCGGAGAAAAATATGGTCAAGGCTTGATCACCGTAATTCCATCCTTATCAAGGGAATGTTATCTCCCTTTTCTTTCAACAGACATAATAGGGAGAAATCTATAGCAACCTATAATAATTAGGTAGACAGCTTTTTTTATGAAGGGTAATCCGAATTGATGAATGCAGATAACACATGATGTATACTCATGTAAGGACAAAGGTTTTCGGTTCTCGGTTCCCACAAAGGAATTGGCGTGCAACTGGATAGATAGATTAGGAGTAAGTTACTGAGAACAGAATTGCATATAACTATTTTATATTGCATATACGAATCTCTTTCATAGGTTTTAGTAAAAAAGTGTAATTTTATTTCGTTTTTCATTGGTTGGTTTTACGAAAATGTGCTTTTATAATAACGAAAACAACATTACTGATGCCCATAAATTCTTTATTTTCGAGTGCTATTTTTTATCATTTACAACTAATTGCTTGATGGCTAGAAGAGTACGCTCTATAAATTTAATTCTACTTTTACTCTATCAAAAATATTTTGATCATTTAACAACATTTCTTATTATTATTTTCAATACTCGTATTCTTCGGTCAAATAACTACAGTATATATTCTAAAACATAGCCTTTTAAGAATGCCAAGTTAATTGCTAATCGACTTCGACAATCAATGTAACAAAGTCAATTAGTGTAAGGTACGACACAAGCGAGTGATCTATGCACTGGACCAGCTTGAGGATGATGACGATTCACTAGAAGAGCTTGAGGAGCTTGAAGAGCTGCTGCTGCTTTCGGTTTCAGATCCATCAGCGCTGACTGACGATGAGGAAGTTGCGCTGGCTTGGTTCGACGCATTGCTGCTGGAGCTCGAGCTGCTCTGACTGCCATCAGCGTTTATGACCTGGCTACTGCTGGCGCTGTTCTGGGCGGCACTGCTGCTAGAACTGCTGGATTCGTTTTCGCTACCGTCAGCGTTGATGGTCTCACTGCTACTTGCACTGTTTTGGGATGCGGCAGAGTTGGATGCGCTTGAGCTGGAGCTGCTGCCGTCGGCGCTGACCCTCCTGCTGCTGCTGCTGCCGGCTGCTTGGCTACTGCTGCTTGACGAGGAGTTACGGGAAAGACTGTTGACAATATTAATAACACGATCAAAATCTGATATTTTAATTGCTGTATAGGAATTAAGATCGATTTAATAGAAAATGCACAGGTTTTTTGTCACTTTGAGCGGACATTTGTTTGGAATCGAAGAAAAGATGTTCGTAATGTTAAACCCACTAATAAGTTGAATATGTTGCGGGTGATAATAGGCGGCGATAGTCCTTTATTTTCAGGCGAGCCGCAAGCTCGTTTGCTCCCAGTGTTATAAAAAAAAAATATTTAAATTACCTGCTGATGCCGCTGGAACCACTGGAGTTGCTGCTGCTACTGCCAGAACTATTGCCAGCAGTGCTACCGCTGCTAGAGTTGTTTGAGCTGCTGCTTCCACTAGAGTTGTTAGAGCTGCTGCCACTAGAGTTGTTTGAGCTGCTGCTTCCACTAGAGTTGTTTAAGCTGCTGCTTCCGCTAGAGTTGTTTGAGCTGCTGCTTCCACTAGAGTTGTTTGAGCTGCTGCTTCCACTAGAGTTGTTTGAGCTGCCGCTTCCGCTAGAGTTGTTTGAGCTGCTGCTTCCACTAGAGTTGTTTGAGCTGCTGCTTCCGCTAGAGTTGTTTGAGCTGCTGCTTCCACTAGAGTTGTTTGAGCTGCTGCTTCCACTGGAGTTGTTTGAGCTGCTGCTTCCACTAGAGTTGTTTGAGCTACTGCTACCGCTGCTGGAGTTATTAGCGCTGCTGCTGCCACTGGAGTTGTTTGAGCTGCTTCCACTAGAGTTGTTTGAGCTGCTGCTTCCACTGCTGGAGTTGTTTGAGCTGCTGTTACCACTAGAGTTGTTTGAGCTACTGCTACCGCTGCTGGAGTTATTAGCGCTGCTGCTGCCACTGGAGTTGTTTGAGCTGCTTCCACTAGAGTTGTTTGAGCCGCTGCTTCCACTGCTGGAGTTGTTTGAGCTGCTGCTACCACTAGAGTTGTTGGAACTACTGCTGGAGTTGTTTGAGCTGCTGCTACCACTAGAGTTGCTGGAACTATTGCTTGAGTTGTTTGAGCTGCTACTTCCACTACTGGCATTATTTGAGCTACTGCTGCCACTAGAGTTGTTTGAGCTGCTACCACTGCTGGAGTTGTTAGAGCTGCTACCGCTGCTAGAATTGTTTGAGCTGCTACTTCCACTAGAGTTATTTGAGCTGCTGCTACCACTAGAGTTGTTTGAGCTGCTGCCACTAGAGTTGTTTGAACTGCTGCTACTAGAGTTATTTGAGCTGCTGTTGCCACTGGAGTTGTTTGAGCTGCTACTGCCACTAGAGTTGTTAGAGCTGCTGCTGCCACTGGAGTTGTTTGAGCTGCTGCCGTTGCTAGAGTTGTTTAAGCTGCTACCGCTGCTAGAGTTGTTTGAGCTGCTGCCGCTGCTAGAGTTGTTTGAGCTGCTACCGCTACTAGAGTTGTTTGAGCTGCTGCTTCCATTGTTGGAGTTATTTGAGCTACTGCTTGAGTTATTTGAGTTGCTGCTTCCACTGCTAGAATTATTTGAGCTACTGCTTGAGTTGTTTGAGTTGCTGCTTCCACTGCTAGAGTTGTTTGAGCTACTGCTACCACTAGAGTTGTTTGAGCTGCTGCTTGAGTTGTTTGAGCTACTGCTACCACTAGAGTTGTTGGAACTACTGCTTGAGTTGTTTGAGCTGCTACTTCCACTAGAGTTGTTGGAACTACCGTTTAAGTTGTTTGAGATGCTGCTTCCACTGGAGTTGTTTGAGCTGCTGCTTCCACTAGAGTTGTTTGAGCTGCTGCTGCCACTGGAGTTGTTTGAGCTGCTTCCACTAGAGTTGTTTGAGCTGCTGCTTCCACTGCTGGAGTTGTTGGAGCTGCTGCTTCCACTGGAGTTGTTTGAACTACTGCTGCCGCTGGAGTTGTTTGAGCTGCTGCTACCACTAGAGTTGTTTAAACTGCTGCTACCACTAGAGTTGTTTGAGCTACTACTTCCACTACTGGCATTGTTTGAACTACTACTTCCACTACTGGAGTTTTGAGATGAGCTAGCACTGTTTGCACTTTGAGAAGCTTGGCTACTTTGTGAAGCTAAACTAGATCCAGCGCTGTTGGAGCTCTGAGATGCTTGGTTAATAATGGATGATCCACCATTGATCAAACTCTGAGACGATTGTTGGGAAGATGAGCTAGATGCAGCATAGTTTGAACTCTGAGCGGATTGGCTACTTTGAGAAATCAAACCGCCGTCAATCAGGCTCTCGGATGAGCTACTTTGGGAGGAGCTGGATCCGGAACTGCTCTGAGATGATTGGCTACTGGAGGAGATGCTGGACAGGCCATTATTTTCGATTTCGGAGCTGCTACTACTGCTGCTACTGCTGCTGCTCGAGTTTTCAGAACTACTGCTAGATGACTGAGAGATGATGACGTTGGGGTCTAAAAATAAAATATACCGTATAAGTTATTGTATTAATAAATTGATGCCACTGCTCATTTTTTTTGCGCACTCATAAAATTATTAGATATTGGCTATTTCAAAATTAACTCTGAATTTACAGCTTATCAAACATAATTTATAATAAATTACCCAAATAAAATATATTCTAGATGAACAAGACAACCGTAGATTGTTAAACGATCTGACGAAAATTTGATGAGCAAAGGTTACTACAGTAAGTGTACAGATGTTTTTTGAAATTATAAAGAAGGGACAAAATAAAGAAATGAAAATAAACCAGTATTTTTTTATTGCACATTCTGACTTTTTATACAACTTAGAATGGCAAACAAGCTGATGGCCCACCTGATGGAAAGTAGTAACCGTCGCCTATAGACATGAGCAGTACCGTGGACATAACAGAGTATACTGTTTCGCCCATGATACTCCCGTGCATTGCCGTTTCTGAAGACTCAGATGTTATTCCTCTGTACTTTTTAAAATATACTGCCATATCCCACCTTTCAAAACGAAACACAGCTATGCAAACACAACTGCTTCACGGTAGAAACACGAATAGGACAGAGGTGCCCAAGCAAACGAATTTTGTACAAAGTCTCCCTCTGGTATATATATGTAGAATACACTAAGTACATATTACGAGTGTAAATGGTACTCACTTGCTCTTGGAGCCGCCTGGACAGCCACGAAGGCCTGTAAGAGAAAGAAAATCTAAGCATTATTCATGAAAGAAAGACAGAGCATTTTTTTATTAAATTTATATATTTATGTATGTATATATGTATATATATGCATATATAAGGATACAACAAAAAGCGGTCCACCTGATGGAAAGCTGGAAAGTAGTAACTGTCGCCTGTAGGCAAGAACAATACCATGGACATAACAGAGTATACTGTAATATTCAAGGGGAACACATGCGTTGCCATTTCTGAGAACTATGTTGTTATACCTCCGTACCCTGTAGTTTCACATGCTTTTACATATCGCATCCATGGTTTTGTGGTCCCAGCATAGAATAGGCCACCCCTTCCTTTCCCGTGGGTGGATGGGCAGCAGCGTCCCTCTTAAAACATCTCCAAAAACTAACTGCGGTTGCTAATCCGCCTGCCAAAACTGGCACTGGCAAAACTTCCCAAAAGGGGAGGCCTATGTTCAGCAGTGGACAATGATGCCTGATATCATTGTTATCATCGAACCCTTTGAATTGAAACACAGCCATGCAGGAATAGCTGCTTCACGGGAGAAACACGAGAGGGACAAGAGTATAGACAGAAACAAAAATAGTTAACTAGATATTAAATTGAAATGTAATGCTGAAGAAAGGTGGAGAAAATTAGCTGAAGGAATCGAATTAGTAATGAGAAGGTCCTGCTTAGGGTCAAGGAAAAGAGACAAATTATAAGAACTATTGAGCACAGAAGGGGAAAAATGTTCAGACACTTGATACGACACGACGAACTTATGAACATTATAATAGAAGGTAAGATAGAAGGAAGGAGGGGAAGAGGGTGACCAAGGTATAGTTACATCAAGTGGAACAAGGATAAAGTTGGTGTCGTGTCGTATCAAGAGGTGAAGAGACTCGCAGAAAATCATAGTGAGTGGCAAGAGCTCCACCAACAAGAGAGCAGCTCTTAAATAGGATAGATAGATGAATATTAAATTATACTAGACTAAAATATAATTATAAATGAAATTCTTACCGCTATAACCAGAAGAGCTACAGTGAACTTCATTTTCCTTTCGGCCTCTAGTAGTAACCTGACCGCTATCTCCCATCGTCGACATTTTATACTAAATTAAAACAATGCCCCTAAAATTTTGCACACTTGGCAAACACGAAGAATAAATATGTCTTGGAGGTTGCATTTAACAAAAATTATGTTAAACATTCGACTTTGCACAGATGTTTCTCTGAATGTAAAGTGTTATATGTCGAAAATTAAGAAATTTGTGCAATATGGATTTTATTGTTAAAATAGGTATATTAAGGGTTCTTCAGGGTCAGCAACGCGCATGTGACACCCCTAATGTTGCAGGCGTCTATAGGCTACAGTTACCATCAGACGGGCTGTATGCTTGTTTGACATCTTTGTAGAATAAAAAAAATTTAAGGCAAGCCGTTCATCTCATATATCTTTGATAGTGCCGTGAAAGAGTACAGTTCGCGCTTAACGGGCAGAGGCGCGTAGTCAATTTTGTGCTCACATCACAGCCGTTAAAGATTAAGGGCCCCGAAAGGTCCCGAAACTAGTCGAGCTTTCTTGACCAAATTACAAATGAAACCAGTAGTTATTATAATATATTAAAATAATTTACCATTTCTTTTACAACTTCCTTTTGTCCCATAATGTTGGAGTTTTAGTGGGTATTTAATATCATCTCTTTAGAAGAGGGGGGGGGGGGCGGGAGTGGAATGTTAGTAAGTGAATAATTTTTAATTGGATAAAACTATAATGGTAACCCCGCCCGTGATATCGGTATACACTGGCAAGGCACAAGTGAAGAACGATAGGTAAGGATGAAGTGAGGTTACTTGGTCCGTCGTGATAAATTTACCAAGAATTTTTCTATCATTCTCAGTGATTTCCATGGAAGACTAGCTAGATAACTTGTTTACTAGTTGGAGAAACAACGGTTGATTTACCATTCCGATTTTATACGACTTAGAATGGCAAACAAGCTGACGGCCCACCTGATGAAAAGTGGTAACCGTCGCCTATAGATATGAGCAGTACCATGGACATAACAGAGTATACTGTTTCGCCCATGATACCCCCATACGTTGCCATTCCTGAGGACTCAGGTGTTATTCCTCTGTACCCAGTAAATTTACTGTCATATCCCACCCTTCAAATCGAAACACAGCCATGCAAACACAACTGCTTCACGATAGAAACACGAATGAGACAGAGGTACACAAGCAAATGACTTTTGTACAAAGTCTCCCTCTGGTAACATAGTAACATATGACTCCCAAGTAACATATGGAAATTAGATAAGCCTTCTGATAGCTCCAACGGAATTGGAAACCACTTCTTTCGGCTATCTGGACCGAGTATGTTCTCAGTTACACTACGAAGTACTATCAGTTGGTAAATTTTAAAACAACTTGTTTAATCATCATAATCATCACCGATAGACGACGTATGCGCCATCTATCGGTGTAGTCTACAAGACTACAGTGCAGTAAGAATTCTCAAGTTCCACGAACCCACAACCACCTTATTTATGGAATAAAATTATTACGCTTTACGCTGGTGAAGCATTAATCCAAAGAGCCAGGGATAGTGCCCCGGATTTAAAGAAGCAAAGGGGTTCGCCCCGAGGCAATCATCTAACCTTCTCCACCAGGGGGGGGTTGTTAATAATGGAAACTAAGGGCCCCATTGCTGGCAATATACCCAACCAGGTCGACCTTCACATGATCCCCCTGAAAATCATCGTGCTGAATTGCAAGTGCACGATGGGCTAACTGACCTATCTTTTCATCCTCACCTATCATCATTCACTGGTGCCTCCCCAGTGTATACCGATAGCGTAGGCGGGGTTCCATTCCATCATTACCCATTAAAAAAATCCTTCCCCACCAGGAGGCCCAGAATGTCCGCATACGTAAGAATTTTTGTTGAAATCAGATTAAAAATATTTGAAAATATTATTTTTAATATTTATTATTAAATGAAATTAAAGGAAATAAATTTATAAATGTTTTTAATCTATTAATTGATCGATTAATCGAATCTTCATTATATCATTATATTAGCCAATAACTGTCCACTGCTGAACATAAACTTCCCTTTTGGGGTGTTTTGCCAGTAGTTGCCATGCTTGGCAGGCGGGTTGGCAACCGCAGTTAGGCTTTTGGTGACTGCCTATCTCTCGACCTTTAAGTTCCCTTAGCCGCCTCTTAAGACACCCAATGGAAAGGAAGGGGTAGCCAATCTATGGCCGGGACCTACACGGTGATATATAGGGGGGAAAGGGATTGTCAGTAAGGCTGTTTAATAGCCCCGTTACTAGCAATAGTCGACCTGAAAAGGTTTTCAGGTCGACCTCCACGCGGTTCCCCCTGGAAACCATCATGTTTAATTCTTGTCGAATTCATCATGGTGGGCCAACTAACCTGCATTCTGTCTCACCTATCATCTTCCACTGGTGCCTCGTCGGTGTATACCGATAGCGCGGGCGGGGTTACCAATCCATTTTCACCCATTAAAAAAAACACGGTGATATATTCTCGTATATACAGGAAAATGTAAAATATGGAGTTATGCCATTTTATAGCATTACACAATTATAATAAAAATTGGTTATCTATATGCATATATAACGGGAAATAAGTACTTTTGTAGTTTCCGACAATTGTTTCGAGTTAATCCGGAAGTCTTCAGAGAGCGTACAGTGTTTTTTCAGTGGATGATAATGGAATGGTAACCCCATCCCGCGCTATCGGTTACACCGGCGGGGCGGGGGGAAAGGGATTGTTAGTAATGGGGAGATTAGTCCCCATTGCTATCAATGTATCCTATCAAGTCGACCTCCACGCGGTTCCACCTGGAAACTATCGTGACTAATTTATCGTTGAATTCGTCACGATGGGCTAACTGACCTGCCTTTTCATCTTCACCTATCACCTCTTACTGGTACCCCGCCAGTATATACCGATAGCGGAGGCGGGTTCACCATGCCATTTTCATTCATAAAAAAAAATATACCGGCGGGGCACCAGTGAAGGTTGATAGGTGAGGATGAAGCAGATCAGTTAGCCCATCGTGACGAATTCAACAAGAATTGTTCACGATGGTTTCCAGGGGGAACCACGTGGAGGTCGACGTAATAGAGCATATTGCCCACGCGAATTTTACTGTTTCTTCTTTCAAAGATTCCTGTAGTGATCTTTTCAAGGTCTCTGTTCTTCCCTGCTGCTCTCTTTTGAGCTGTCCAACAGTCTGCTACGCGAAGCCTACTGTTTCTTCTTTTAACGATTCCTGTAGTGATCTTTTCAAGGTCTCTGTTCTTCCCTGCTGCTCTCTTTTGAGCTGTCCAACAGTCTGCTACGCGAAGCCTACTGTTTCTTCTTTTAACGATTCCTGTAGTGATCTTTTGAAGGACTCATTTCTTCGCTGCTACTCTCTTCTGAGCTGTCCAACAGTCTGCCACGCGAAGCCTACTGTTTCTTCTTTCAACGATTCATGTAGTGATCTCTTGAAGGACTCATTTCTTCGCTGCTACTCTCTTCTGAGCTGTCCAACAGAGTCTGCCACGCGAAGCTTACTGTATCTTCTTTCAACGATTCGTGGAGTGATCTCCGGCATCCTTAGAGACATGTTCCTACCATTATACATACATACAACGAATAAAAAATTAATATAAGTTTAAAAAATTGGTTATCATTTAGAATTTTATTAAGTACGACTTTATTTGTCCTCACTATGTATGTATTTATATCTATAATAAGTTTACTATTGTAATCTTTTGGAGGAAACAATAAAGAGTATCTATCTATCTATCTTTTTTTTTTATACAACTTAGAATTGCAAACAAGCTGACAGTCCACCTGATGGGAAGTGGTAACCGTCGCCTATAAACATGAGCAGTACCCCATGAACATAACAGAGTATACTGTTTCGCCCATGATACCCTCCATGCGTTGCCATTCCTGAGGACTCAGGTGTTATTCCTCTGTGCCCTGTAAATTCACGTCATATCCTAACGTTCAAACCGAAACACAGCCATGAAAACACAACTGCTTCACGGTTGAAACACAAATGGGACAGAGATACCCAAGCAATCGACTTTTGTACAAAGTCTCCCTCCCTACCTATCTCACTCACGACATACGCACGGGCTTTTTAACGACCATGTACATTTTGACGTAGTACATTTAAATAAATATACATAATGTTAACAGTTGTGTCGTTCCGGCATAGAATGGGCTACCCCTTACTTTTTCATGGGTGTTATAAGAAGCGATTATGGGAGCTTATAGTGGAAGTACAGGTAGCAGCTTCTCTCTTTATTTATTTACTAGCGGCCCGTCCCGGTTTCGCACGGGTAGACATTTTTACATTTAAAAAAATGGCCATTAAGGCTGCACACGCGACGGAAGCTTAAAAATGGAGTAACTTCTCCCGTTTTCCCAACATTTCCCTTCACTGCTCTGCTCCTATTGATCGTAGCGTGATGAAAATATACTATAACCTGCTCAGGAGTATGAAGAATAATTGTATCAAGTTTCGTTAAAATCCATCGAGTAGTTTTTTGTTTCTATGACGAACATACATTTTTGGCATCAGTATCGATCACTAATCACCGCCTGATAGTTATTTTGGAAATATATTTCATGTACAGAATTGACCTCTCTACAGATTTATTATAAGTATAGATTTTCTCTTAAAACATTATTTAAATCCGCCTCCTAAGCGTGGCAACTACTGGCTAAGTCCCTTTTATAGGGAAGGCCTATATTCAGAAGAGTATAGTTCACGACTGATATAATGATGATGATTATAATGATGATGATGATGATGGTGAGTATTAAAGGAGTTTTAAAAGAGTAACTGTTAAATTTCTTGCTGGTTCTTCTACAACATTCCGAAACCAGCAGTAGAAGTAGAACCAGAGGGAGACTGTACAAAAGTCGTTTGCTTGGCCAACTCTGTCCCATTCGTGTTTCTACCGTGAAGCAGTTGTGTTTGCATGGCTGTGTTTCAGTTTGAAGGGTGGGATATGACAGTAAGTTTACAAGGTACAGAGACATAACACCTTGGTCTTCAGGAATGGCGACACACCGTACAAACCGTCCCCGCGGGGGGAAGGGATTGTTAGTAATGGAGACTGAGAATCCCATTGCTAGCAATATACCCAATCAGGTCGACTTCCTCGCGGTTCCCCCTGGAAACTAACATGGTTAATTCCTGATGAATTCATCATGATGGGCTAACTGGCCTGTTTTCATTCTCATCTATTACCTTTCACTGGTGGGTATCTCGTTAGCGCAGGCTTACCATACCATTTTAGGTTACCATACCATTCTCACCCATCAAAAAAATAAAAGGCCTCCGACACACAATTCGCGCCCGATTAGGTTTATGCCTGAACGCATCTCTTCTACTCTTTCCCCTTTTTCGTTACGCCCAACCGACCCTTCGTCCTTCGATGGGAGTCGAAGTGCGATGGCATAAGTCGTGGACCGAGCGCCTCTGACATCTTTGGGCGTACGACGCAGTCCATGGATAAAAGTCGACATTCTGTCACTGGCTTGGAGTGTCATCCGCACTCGCCCTGCATGCGAGCCCGGTGAAGCTGTTAACTGCCTGCTTGTTGCTTATTGCTGCTCCCAACAGCACATTCAATTCGAAAAATAAAATAAATATGAATAAAGAATCTCATTGAGTTTTTTTTACAACATAGGGGGCAAACGAGTATGCGGCTCACCTGATGGTAAGTGACTACCGCCGCCCATGATGACCCACAACACCAGCGGCATTGCAGGTTTGCTGCCGGCCTTTTAAAGTACAAGTAAAGATCTCGGTACACAGTTCAAGGGCGTATTTATTTATTGACTAAATTTGTGGATGTTAAGAGTTTGTTCAATCATTAATAAGTATAATTGAATATTTTTACTAATATTATTAATATGAAAGTGGGTTTGTTTGTTTGTTGTTTGTTTTAACTAATCACTAGAAAATTTGGTATACATATACTATCTAGGTTACTTTTTATCCCGGTACGTAAACATATACCGGTCACGCGGACGGAGTCGCGGGTAAAAGCTAGTACCTAGTTATATAAATACCATACAAACAAATTTTAGTGGATGCTAGTACCTTGTTAAATAAATACCATTAAAACAAACTTCAGAGAATTCTAGGTGAGCAGAGAGCTTGAAGTAAGATACAGTTGTTTATATGATCAAAAGCTTTGCAGAAATCTGTAAAGATTATTTTTCCTTAGTTTAAATTGAAGGTGGATTAAATTTAATGAGTTCCTTCAGATAGATAGATAGATAATTCATTTGCATTATTTACAGCACACAAAATTATAACAGATACAGATATACATAAAAAGCGAGAAAAGAGAAATTAAATAAAACAAAATACATAAAAGCCAAGTACAATTTTTCCTTTTCTGCGTGTGCCATAACAATGCAAAATGGTCACAACTCAGTTTATTGCTTCGCCCTCAAAAGAGCAAAGCACTGATATTCTGTTGTGACCAAAGGGAATAGGGTAACAATATAATAATACTACCAGATTATTCCATAATACCATAAAGAAACCGTCCATTCTTTGAAGAGTTTTTATTCATTCATTCATTCATTATGACACTCCTTTTCACGCACACATGGTTAAGAAAGTTGACTTGTGTATTTTTTTTATATTATTTTAAAGACCTTTTTCAGGTATATCAGTCCTATCGTACCCTGAACTGATTTCTCAAACAAAACTTTATCTACTTTCCCTAGACGCGGAAAGAGAAGAATTAATGGGCATCAATAATTTACAGAGATGTTCAAAAATTTTTGGTTTAAGTTCAGCTAATAAAGTATGTATGTATTTGAATGGAGACACTCTAAGAAGTTAATCCCAAATAATAATTTTGTTCTAGAAGAAATAACTTCTGATTCTGTGATGGAAGAGTAGCTCTCTTATAATAACAAAAACAATATGAACAATGCTCACAAAATCTTTATTTTAAACTGCGATTTTTTTTACATTTTCAACTAAATGCTTGCTGACTCGAAGGGTGCGTAGCAGGGTGGAATACATTTTGATTGTATAACGACATATTTTACCAATACCCTTCGGTCAAATAATTAAAGTAAATATTCTAAAACATAGCCTTTTAAGAATGCCAAGTTAATTACTAATCGACTTTATCAATCAATGTAACAAAGTCAATTAGTGTAAGGTACGACACAAGCGAGTGATCTATGCACTGGACCAGCTTGAGGATGATGACGATTCGCTAGAAGAGCTTGAGGAGCTTGAAGAGCTGCTGCTGCTCTCGGATTCAGATCCGTCAGCGCTGACTGACGATGAGGAAGTTGCGCTGGCTTGGTTCGATGCATTGCTGCTGGAGCTCGAGCTGCTCTGACTGCCATCAGCGTTTATGACCTGGCTACTGCTGGCGCTGTTCTGGGCGGCACTGCTGCTAGAACTGCTGGATTCGTTCTCGCTACCGTCAGCGTTGATGGTCTCACTGCTACTTGCACTGTTTTGGGCTGCAGCTGAGTTGGATGCGCTTGAGCTTGAGCTGCTGCCGTCGGCGCTGACCCTCCTGCTGCTGCTGCTGCCGGCTGCTTGGCTACTGCTGCTTGACGAGGAGTTACGGGAAAGACTGTTGACAATATTAATAACACGATCAAAATCTTATATTCAAATCTAGCTGTAACTATTGCTATATAGGTATTAAGATCAATTTAATAGGAAATGCATTTATTTTTGCCACTTTGAGCATACGTCTAATTGAAGGAAAAATGTTCCTAGTGGATTCAATTAATATGATTAATCAAATTACCTGCCGATACCGCTGGAACCACTGGAGTTGCTGCTGCTGCTGCCAGAACTATTGCCAGCACTGCTACCACTGCTAGAGTTGTTTGAGCTGCTGCTTCCGCTAGAGTTGTTTGAGCTGCTGCTTCCACTAGAGTTGTTTGAGCTGCTGCTTCCGCTAGAGTTGTTTGAGCTGCTGCTTCCACTAGAGTTGTTTGAGCTGCTGCTTCCACTAGCGTTGTTTGAGCTGCTGCTTCCACTAGAGTTGTTTGAGCTGCTGCTTCCACTAGAGTTGTTTGAGCTGCTGCTTCCACTAGAGTTGTTTGAGCTGCTGCTTCCACTAGAGTTGTTTGAGCTACTGCTACCGCTGCTGGAGTTGTTAGCGCTGCTGCTGCCACTGGAGTTGTTTGAGCTACTGCTACCGCTGCTGGAGTTGTTAGCGCTGCTGCTGCCACTGGAGTTGTTTGAGCTGCTGCCACTAGAGTTGTTTGAGCTGCTTCCACTAGAGTTGTTTGAGCTGCTGCTTCCACTGCTGGAGTTGTTTGAGCTACTGCTACCACTAGAGTTGTTGGAGCTACTTCCACTAGAGTTGTTTGAGCTGCTGCTTCCACTGCTAGAGTTGTTTGAGCTACTGCTACCACTAGAGTTGTTGGAGCTACTTCCACTAGCGTTGTTTGAGCTGCTGCTACCACTAGAGTTGTTGGAACTACTGCTGGAGTTGTTTGAGCTGCTGCTACCACTAGAGTTGTTGGAACTATTGCTTGCGTTATTTGAGCTGCTACTTCCACTACTGGCATTATTTGAGCTACTGCTGCCACTAGAGTTGTTTGAGCTGCTACCACTGCTGGAATTGTTAGAGCTGCTACCGCTGCTAGAATTGTTTGAGCTGCTGCTTCCACTAGAGTTATTTGAGCTGCTGCTACCACTAGAGTTGTTTGAGCTGCTGCCACTAGAGTTGTTTGAACTGCTGCCACTGGAGTTGTTTGAGCTGCTGCTACCACTAGAGTTGTTTGAACTGCTGCCACTGGAGTTGTTTGAGCTGCTGCTGCCACTAGAGTTGTTAGAGCTGCTGCCGCTGCTAGAGTTGTTTGAGCTGCTGCCGCTGCTAGAGTTGTTTGAGCTGCTACCGCTGCTAGAGTTGTTAGAGCTACTGCCGCTGCTAGAGTTGTTTGAACTGCTGCTACCACTTGAATTGTTAGAGCTGCTGCCGCTGCTAGAGTTGTTTGAGCTGCTGCTACCACTAGAGTTATTAGAGCTGCTGCCGCTGCTAGAGTTGTTTGAGCTGCTGCTTCCACTGCTAGAGTTGTTTGAGCTGCTGCTACCATTGCTGAAGTTGTTTGAGCTGCTGCTACCACTAGAGTTATTAGAGCTGCTGCTGCCACTGGAGTTGTTAGCGCTGCTACCGCTGCTAGAGTTGTTAGAGCTGCTGTTTCCACTGCTAGAGTTGTTTGAGCTGCTGCTACCACTAGAGTTGTTGGAGCTGCTTCCACTAGAGTTGTTTGAACTGCTGCTACCACTAGAGTTGTTTGAGCTGCTGCTTCCACTGCTGGAGTTGTTTGAGTTGCTGCTACCACTAGAGTTGTTGGAACTACTGCTTGAGTTGTTTGAGCTGCTGCTACCACTGGAATTGTTTGAGCTGCTTCCACTAGAGTTGTTTGAGCTGCTACTTCCACTGCTGGAGTTGTTGGAGCTGCTGCTGCCACTAGAATTATTTGAACCACTGCTTGAGTTGTTTGAGCTGCTGCTTCCACTGGAGTTGTTTGAACTACTGCTGCCGCTGGAGTTGTTTGAGCTGCTGCTTCCACTACTGGCGTTGTTTGAACTACTACTTCCACTACTGGAGTTTTGAGATGAGCTAGCACTGTTTGCACTTTGAGAAGCTTGGCTACTTTGTGAAGCTAAACTAGATCCAGCGCTGTTGGAGCTCTGAGACGCTTGACTAATAATGGATGAGCCACCATTGATCAAACTCTGTGATGATTGTTGGGAAGATGAGCTAGATCCAGCACTGTTTGAACTCTGAGCGGATTGGCTACTTTGAGAAATCAAACCGCCATCGATCAGGCTCTCGGATGAGCTACTTTGGGAGGAGCTAGATCCGGAACTGCTCTGTGATGATTGGCTACTGGAGGAGATGCTGGACAGGCCATTGTTTTCGATTTCGGAGCTGCTACTACTGCTGCTGCTGCTGCTGCTCGAACTTTCAGAACTACTGCTAGATGACTGAGAGATGATGGCGTTGGGGTCTGAAACGAAATATACCTCATAAGTTATTGCACTGATAAATTAATGCCACCACTCATTTTCATTCGCAGAACATCGTGAGAGCTGACAAAAATTATTTCATGATAAATTAGTACATGCGATGGAATATTCGAAATTATGGTTTTAAATCCCAGTTTAAATACCATGATTATGATGGTAGTATTTGGATATGATATCCATATATCATATCCAAATTGGAATTTGCTTGCAGCACTTGAATATTTACGAAAACAAATATGAACATATGATTTTTAACGTAATCTGATAAAAGCTCCACGACATCTGAATCTTCAAAACGTATTCAACTCGGAACACTATAAATGGTACTCACTCGCTCTTGGAGCCGCCTGGACGGCCACGAAAGCCTGAAATAGAAAGTTAGTTTAAGTATTTTCAAATCACAAAAATATGAGACCACATTGTTTTCCATAATGAGGTCTGGAGCTCGATTATTGATTGGATCCATTTAGGGAACTTTACAAAATTGGTTTGAATCTGTGTTATGGGTTTAGGGCCAGCGGCGCCGGATATGGCCGACACACCTTTAACAGGAAAAGGTCGAGAGTTCAGATGACGTGCTCTTATTCCAGCATTCTCTCATCCACAGTGTGAAGGTGACTTGACATCCAAAATAAAAGTTGTCGTGCATTGTGATCCCACATGTTCGTCCTCTGATTTCTAATAACACTGAGTTTAAGGACAAAACAAATGGTGTAATTGTAATGTATTGTAATACAGCATGAAATGGCAAACAAGCTGACGGCCTGCCTGATTGAAAGTGGTAATGGCCTTTACATATGAATAGCTTCGTGGACGTCACAGAATACACGTTGCCAATCCTGAGAACTATGCTGTTATGTTTCCATACCCTGTAATTTCACTGTCATATCGCACCCTACACACCGAAACACATTCATGTAAACATAGCTGCTTAGCAAAGATTTGAATGGGACAGGAATATGTATAGAAACACAATTAAAGATCGTGTCCCACAAAAAACTGGCTTAAGTTCTGATAAAACCAGTTATTTTGATTTAAAAGTTAAACTGCAATACCGACTTTGATAAAATTTGATAAAATTTTCGGTGAGAATTCGTCTTTCTACCGTGAAGCAATTGTGTTTTAGTTTGAAAGATGGGATATGACAGTGATTTTGCAGGTTACAGTGGTATAACACCTGAGTCCTCAGGAATGGCAACGCATAGGGGGTTTCATGGGCGAAACAGCATACCCTGTTATGTCCATGGTACTGCTCATGTCTATGGGCGACGGTTGCCACTTTCCATCAGGTGGACCGTCGGTTTGTTTGCCATTCTACGAGTAAGTTGCATAAAAAAATTCTATGGAACCAATCTGTAAGTAAAAAAAAAAGATAAAAAAGAATTCTCCAAATCGGTTCAGAATGACAGAGTTATGAGGTAATAAACAAAAAAAATTGAATTTAAAATCTCTTTTTTGAAGTCGATTGAAAAGTAGTAACAATCGACTTAAAAAAATAGGAGGTTCTGTGTTATATTATATTTTATAAATTAAACATAGAATATTTAAAAGGTTGCAGCGAAATATATTAAGGATAATTATACTAGACTAAAATATAATTATAAATGAAATTCTTACCGCTATAACCAGAAGAGCTACAGTGAACTTCATTTTCCTTTCGGCCTCTAGTAGTAACCTGACCGCTATCTCCCATCGCCGACATTTTATACTAAATTAAAACAATGCCCCTAAAATTTTGCACACTTGGCAAACATGAAGAATAAATATGTCTCGAAGAGTTTGCATTTCACAAAAATCGTATTAAACATTCGACTTTATACAGTTGTTTCTCTGAATGTAAAGTGTTATATGTCGAAAATTGAGAATTTTGTGCAATACGGTTTTTATTGTTTAGGATGTATTTTTTATTAAATTATTTTTTATGCTTAATATATTAAACAAGCAACCAAGTATTCAGTAGTTTAACATATGTATACATATATATAATTATATGTGTTTAGGAATATGTCATATTGTGTGTAAGTACATTTTTTTAATGAATATCAATGGAATGATAACCCCACCTGCGTTATCGGTGTACGCCGGCTGGACACCAGTGAGGGATAATAGGTGACGATGAAAACAGGACAGTTAGCCCATCCTGATGGATTCAACTAGAATTAACCACGATGGTTTCCAGGGGGGACAACGGAGAGGTCGACCTTTTTGAGTATATTGCTAGTAATGGAGCTATTTGACCCCATTACTAACAATCCTTTTCTCCCTATATGTAGATATTAATCTCCCCTTATAGAGGAGGCCTATGTTCAGCAGTGGGCAGTTCATTAACTGTCCACTTCTATAATAAAAAAGGCCGTGTGATTTCGGCATAAAATATCTCTTCTCTTCTCTCTTTCCCGTGGCTGCCGTAAGAAGCGGCTAAGGGATAGCTAGGTATGGGCAGCAACGTACTTCTTAAAAATCTCTAAAAGCCTAACTGCGCTTGCCAAACCGCCTGTAAGGCATGGCAACTATTGATAAAACTCCACTTATGGGGAAGGCTTATGTCCAGCAATGGACAGTTAATGGCTGAAATGAGATCATGATTAGTGTTATAGAATCACATATTTAGCGACATTGTTTTAATGGCGTTAAAAATGTAAAATCTTATTTACGTGGATATATTTTAGATAAATTCAGACCTTTCAGTGACAAAATTTATTCTTATACTAACGCCGTATGAGATAAATTTATTTAAATAATTAAAATCTTTGATTACTTAGGTTTTAATAAAATAAATAAATATGCTCCCGGGTTGCCTGCTGCTACTTAGTGGCAATTTAGGGTTGCCAAATATTAAAATAAAAAACGAGATATCAAAAAAGTATTGAAAATTTTTGATCCGTTTAAGTAAATAAAATACTAATAAATATATACATATTTGGCTGTATATACTTAGACATGCAGGTAAATTATGTGTTTGTGCCTTGTGTTATCGAGTCTTCAATCAAACTGTTTATAATTACTCCTCTCCATCCCAAGGTTGCCTGCAAGAGATCGCTTTTAGCGATAAGGCCGCCCATTGTTTTCTAATTGTGATTATTTCTTGTAATTGTTTATATTTATAATAAGTTAATGTAATCTTTTGGGGGAAACAATAAAGAGTATCTATCTATCTAAATTAATGTAGTACAGTGATTGTCAACAAGTAAACCTTCTGTTTAGTTTCGGTGGACTTTGAGTCCGGAGAAATGTTAATATTCTCATAAAGCATTTTATAAAATGCTCCCTTCTATGTTTCGGGGACAACGGCTTTTCCGGAAACTCGAAATTTAAACTACAGTTGAAAGGTCCACCGAAATCGGACAGAGGTCGCTACTGCTGTAAAATGCTCCGGAAAAATGGAAAAAACCGAGTTACACCATTCATTTCCCAACATTACCAAAATATAAATTGGCAATTACTTCATAGTGATATATTTATACAACTGAATTTATCCCATGAATGCTGTATGCGTCAATACGAACTGAATCCGTGACGAATTTTTTCATTTATATATTAAATTACTAAGTCGGTATATACGCGACTTGCAAATGGAGGGGTTTCTCGATTCGTCCGCAGCTTGTTCTGTACAATTGCATCGCCACTGCTGAATTGATTTGGCGATTTATATTTATTTATTTATTTCAGACATCTTTGAGTCCATTTTTTGTTAATTATTCGTGATCGTCATATCAGCCTTTAACTGTCCACTGCTGAACATAAACCTCCCCCTTGGGAGGGCTTTGCCAGTAGTTGCCACGCTTGGCAGGCGGATTGGCAACCGCAGTTAGGCTTTGGAGATGTTTTAAGAGGGACGCTGCTGCCCATCCCTCGCCCTCCCTTAGTCGCCTCTTACGACACCCACGGGAAAGGAAGGGGTGGCCTATTCTATGCTGGAACCATACGGTCAAAGTTAGTACTTAATAATGTTAGCAGTTCTCCATTGTTTGTGTTATATAATTTGTGAGTTAATATAGATACGTCTGCAACTGTTTACCTACAACAATTTTAAATTTTTTTCACCGCATAAATTACATTTCTGTTTTGCCAAAGGTTGACTGGGAGAGAATGCTATATATTTATTTATTTATTCATTAGTACATATATGTGTACATGGCGGACTTAATGCTAAAGGTATTCTCTCCCAGTCAACCATAGGGAAGTGTCAGAATACTCGAATGCGGTACTAGTAATTATTGATATACATACATACTAAAATTACATATATAAACGAATAAATATATATGAATAATAAATATACTTACACATATATGACATATACTATATTATACACGAAATTGAGAATAATATAAAGCACTTACTGCTCGGATAAAGTAAAAAAGTGAGCGTGAACGCTTTTTTTGATATGTAGTATTAAGTCTGCCTTTTGTGCCAGACATTGCTGTAATGTGGTTTATAAAGAATAAATAAATAATCTAATTCTCTGGGCAGGCATTTGCATTAGAGGATTCATTTATTTACTTATTTATTTATTTTATTGGATCAAATTTATTTATAAACATGTTTAGGTTGATATTACTCTCGTGTTTTATTATGTAAAAACGAAGCTGTCTTTTCACGCCAGACAGCGTCAAAACCAAACCTGTACGGGTTTCGGCAAACATCACTGAGGCATTATAGAAACCCGGAAGCTACCTGGGGGTCTACCGTGAAATGAAATTCCGAATTTTCGAATCCAATTTCGTGTTTTTGTTCATACCGAAACCGTCCCAGTAAATAGAGCTTATTTATTTGTTATAAATCTTACTATATATACTTTGTCATGACAGTCCCGGCATAGTATGATACCACCCCTTCCTTTCCCGTGGGTGTCGTAAAAGGCGACTAAGGGAGGGCGAGGAATGGGCATCAGCATCCCTCTTAAAACATCACCAAAGCCTAACTGCGGTTGTCAATCCGCCTGCCAACCGTGACAACTATTGGCAAAACCTCCAAGGGGAAGGCCTATGTTCAGCAGTGGATAGTTAAATGCTGATATGATGTTGTATTATGTAATTTTAACATCAAATTTATGTTTCGTTCGGCCCCGAAATTTCGAAGAATATTTCATGGTAAGCCCTCTAAACTATGGGTTAGTCTTGAAATAAATCCCAATGTCTATGAACGATATTTGAATTGAAATATTTCGCACTTTCGGATTGCAACACTAGCGACAAAATGGCTTCATATTGTTCTGATAAATATTGTTGAATACACTATTAAATGAGATAATGCACTACATACTTTGAACCTTGTTTAATAAAATAAAGAAAACAAATCACAATTTTTTTATGCAATTTAGAATGGCAAACAAGCTGATGGCCCACCTGATGGAAAATGGTAACCGTCGCCTATAGACATGAGCAGTACCATGCACATAACAGAGTATACTGTTTCGCCCATGATACCCCCCATGCGTTGCCATATATATATATATATATATATACCCTGTATATATATATATATATATATATATATATATATATATATTATCTTTATAGCTCGTAATTTTTTTTTATATCGTATTATCTAAATGACGTATGTAAAACCTTTTAGATAATAAAAAGTATTGAAAATCAATTATGTATTGTTTGATTTGGCTTTAAAATCGATGATCCGGATTTTGGATTATACGGAATACCCTTGGTTTTATTTGATTCAGATAATTAAGATTCTAATGCAATAGCATATTATGTAACGATGTAGGTGAGTGCGTATTCTCAAGTACTTCGGCTGGATGATATCATCCGGAATGAAAACTATATGGAACGTCTAATTGTCCAAGGTCGGTATAAGGCAAACGTTCTCGGGGTAGATCACCAACGCGATGGACTAACCTCATCACAACGACCACACAGCAGACTATTGTGGAATGCTCTCGCTCGGCTGCGAGCAGAAGTAGATGGAGACACATTGCGAGGACCTCAATCGCGAAGGAGGGCCTCATCGACGATCCACTATCATCATAGAAACCACGACCACTCTTTCAAGAGTGTACGACTGAAGACAGAGTGCGTATATTGAAAAACAGAAAAAATAATGATGCTCAAATTACTTTTAATTTATTCAACACGTATTTTTTTTTTTACATTTTTTAAATGCTCATTACTATATGTAGAGAATATTAAGATCATGAATAAAAGAATGATTATCGAACATAATTTTTTACTACGTTATATAACGTGCAGTTCTTAATCGTCGATTAAACATGAGAGAAAGAAAATCGGAGTCAATTTACAATGCCGATTGTCGCATACCGATTTCAAGTACCTTAATAAAATCACAATAAAAATAAGTACGTTTAAAAATATTGTAAAAACAAGCTTTGCAATGTAAATCATACATATTGTGGTTGTGCCATTTTAATATGATGTAATTAGTTTCATCTTTTATTTGATACTCATATTAACAAGTTTGACAATACACCATCTGCCATCTTGTTGCGGCGGCCATTTTGGAAATTTTACAATATTGAGTATAGCATAATTGCTCTTTTTTACCAGAATTAAAGATGTAGGAAAAATTTCAGCATAATTGGTTATAAGAAAATGTTTCTGAATTCAGTTTGAAAGATGTAATCTAAACAATGCAAGTTGGAAGTTTTTTTTTTTTAAGGATTTTTGCCTTCTTTAAGTATCTTTTCTATCATGATTTGATTCCTGAATCCTAAACTGATTTCTCAAATAATATTATATCAACTATGCCTCTGCTTTGCCTACTCATGGAAAGAGAGGAATTAATGGGCATTAAACATTTACAGAGATGTTCAAAATTTTTTGATTAAATTTCTGCCAATATAGGTTGAATAAGACTAATATTTGATATATTTAGTTGAAAATGGTGCATGAAATCTACTCCTCCCATCTAGTCTATACGACATTCTAATAGTATATTGGTTGATGTTGCACATCATCGATGGTATTACAAACTTGACGATGGAGTGACCAAGACTTTCCCATCTGATGTGGCAATTTTTTTGATTAATAAGGGCAATTTTGGTTTTAAAAACCAAAGAACGTGTGGAGGTTTAATCTGGATAGATGAAAACTTGTAATAACAAAACATACTTAAAATAATAAAGATTTCACACTAAAGTCATGTGTATGAGTTTTACAGAAAATTCGAAACGAAGAGTACTTTATGAAATCGGTAAATTTGTCATTTTAACATGAGACTTAGTAGTTGTACGACTGGAATGAATTCGACGAATTCGAGGACTGGTATGAGTCACTGCTCTCAGTCTCGTTTGCACTGCTAACTTGTCTGGAACTGCTACTTTGTTGAAAAGAGCTACTGTTCTCATTTTCGCTTGAACTGGATTGTTGCAGACTGCTGCTAGAGCTTGAACTGCTATCACTACCAACGCTTCCCTGGCTGCTATTGCTTTGATATCCAATACTGTGTGAAAAAGAATAGTTTATTGTCATTAGACATTAAAAGTTTATTAAGCATGTAAATTATTGGAAGATAATAAATAATATTACCTTTGATTAGATCCATTACTGTTACTTAAGACGCTGATGCCGTTACTCGATCCATTGCTGCTGCTTAAGCCACTGCTATCGCCTGATCCATTGCTGATGCTGTTTAAGTCTCTGCTGATACTCGATACATTGCCGTTCCTTGAGCCACTATTGCCACTTGCTCCATTGTTGCTGCTTGATCCACTGCTGCTGTTTGAGCCACTGCTGCTGGTTGACTCACTTCTGCTACTTGTGACACTGCTGCTACTTAATCCGTTGTTGTTGATGTTTAAGCCGTTGCTGCGATTTGATCCGTTGTTGCTGCTTGACCCATTGCTGCTGCTTGACCCATTGCTGCTGCTTGAGCTACTGCTGCCACTTGAACCATTGCTGCTGTTTGAATCACTGCTGCCATTTGAGCCACTGCGGCCATTTGATACATTGCTGCTACTTGAGCCACTGCTGCTATTTGAGCCACTGCTGCCACTTGATCCATTGTTACTGCTTGATCCATTGCTGCTGCTTGAGTCATTGCTGCTGCTTGAACCATTGCTACCACTTGAACCATTACTACTTCTTGAGCCACTGCTGCTGCTTGATCCATTGATGCTGCTTGAGCCACTGCTGCCACTTGAACCATTGCTACTGCTTGAGTCACTGCTGCCGCTTGATCCATTGTTGCTACTGCTTGAACCACTGTTGCCACTTGATTCATTGCTATTGCTTGAACCACTGTTAACGCTTGATCCATTGCTGCTGCTTGAACCACCGCTGCCACTTGAAACATTGCTGCTGCTTGAACCACTGCTGCTACTTGAACCATTGCTACTGCTTGAGCCACTGCTGCCGCTTAATCCATTGCTACTGCTTAAGCCACTGCTGTCGCTTGATCCATTGCTGCTGCTTGAACCACTGTTAACGCTTGATCCATTGCTGCTGCTTGAGTCACTGCTGCCACTTGACCCATTGTTACTGCTTGATCCATTGTTGCTGCTTGAGCCACTGCTGCCTCTTGAACCATTGCTACTGCTTGAGCCACTGCTGCCGCTTGATCCATTGTTGCTGCTTGAACCACTGCTGCCACTTGACCCATTGCTGCTGCTTGATCCACTGCTGCTGCTTGAACCATTGCTACTGCTTGAGCCATTGCTGCCGCTTGATCCATTGTTGCTACTGCTTGAGCCATTGCTGCTGCTTAAACCACTGCTGCCACTTGACCCATTGCTGCTGCTTGATCCACTGCTGCTGCTTGAACCATTGCTACTGCTTGAGCCATTGCTGCCGCTTGATCCATTGTTGCTACTGCTTGAGCCAGTACTGTCACTTGACTCATTGCTGCTGCTTGAGACACCGCTGCCAGTAGATCCATTGATGCTGCTGCTTGAGCCATTGTTGCTGATTAATCCATTGCTGCTGCTTAATCCACTGCTAACGCTTGATCCATTACTGCTGCTTGAGCCATTGCTGCTGCTTGAACCACTGCTGCCACTTGAACCATTGCTACTGTTTGAGCCACTGCTACCACTTGATCTATTGTTGCTGCTGCCGTTTGATCCACTGCTACTGTTTGAGCCACTGCTGCCACTTGATCCATTGTTACTGCTTGAGCCATTGCTGCTGCTTGAACCACTGCTGCCACTTGATCCATTGTTGCTACTGCTTGAGCCATTACTGCTACTTAAACCACTGCTGCCACTTGATAATTTGTTGCTACTGCTTGAGCCATTGCTGCTGATTGAACCACTGCTGCCACTTGAACCATTGCTGCTGCTTAACCCACTGCTGCCACTTGATCCATTGTTGATACTGCTGGAGCTACTGCTGCCGCTTGATTCATTGCTGCCGCTAGAGCCATTGCTGCCGCTTGACCTATTGCTGCCACTTGAACCATTGCTGCTGCTTGATCCACTACTGTAACTCGATCCATTATTGCTACTGCTTGAGCCATTGCTGCTGCTTAAACCACTGCTGCCACTTAACCCATTGCTGCTGCTTGACCCACTGCTAACGCTTGATCCATTGCTGCTGCTTGAGTCATTGCTGCTGCTTGAACCACTGCTGCTACTTGAACCATTGCTACTGCTTGAGCCACTGCTGCCGTTTGATCCATTGTTGCTACTGCTTGAGCCACTGCTGCCGCTTGATTCACTGTTGCTGCTTAACCCACTGCTAATGCTTGAACCGTTGCTGCTGCTTGAGCCACTAGTGATACTTGACTCATTGCTGCTGCTTGAGGCACCGCTGCCAGTAGATCCATTGTTGCTGCTGCTTGAGCCATTGCTGCTGCTTGTACCACTGCTGCCAGTTGATCCATTTTCATTTCTGCTTGAGCCACTGCTGCTGTTTGAGCCACTGCTGCCACCTGACCCATTGCTGCTGCTTGATCCACGGCTACTGCTTGAACCATTGCTACTGCTTGAGCCATTGCTGCCGCTTGAACCATTGCTACTGCTTGAGCCGCGGCTGCCGCTTGATCCATTGTTGCTACTGCTTGAGCCACTGCTGCCACTTGACTCATTGCTGCTGCTTGAGGCACCGCTGCCAGTAGATCCATTGTTGCTGCTGCTTGAGCCATTGCTGCTGCTTGAGCCACTGCTGCTATTTGATCTATTGTTGCTGCTGCTTGAGCCATTGCTGCTGTTTGAACCACTGCTGCTACTTGAACTATTGCTACTGCTTGAGCCACTGCTGCCACTTGAACCATGGCTACTGCTTAAGCCACTGCTTCCGTTTGTTCCACTGCTGCTGTTTGAGTCACTGCTGCCACTTGATCCATTGTTACTGCTTGAGCCATTGCTGCTGCTTGAACCACTGCTGCCACTTGAACCATTGCTACTGCTTGAGCCACTGCTGTCGCTCGATCCATTGTTGCTACTGCTTGAGCCACTGCTGCCGCTTGATTCACTGTTGCTGCTTAACCCACTGCTAATGCTTGATCCGCTGCTGCTGCTTGAGCCACTAGTGCTACTTGACTCATTGCTACTGCTTGAGGCACCGCTGCCAGTAGATCCATTGTTGCTGCTGCTTGAGCCATTGCTACTGCTTGAGCCACTGCTGCCACTTGAACCATTGCTGCTGCTTAACCCACTGCTGCTGCTTGATCCATTGTTGATACTGCTGGAGCTACTGCTGCCGCTTGATCCATTGCTGCCGCTAGAGCCATTGCTGCCGCTTGACCCATTGCTGCCACTTGAACCATTGCTGCTGCTTGATCCACTACTGTCACTTAACCCATTGCTGCTGCTTGACCCACTGCTAACGCTTGATCCATTGCTGCTGCTTGATCCACTGCTGCCACTTGTACCATTGCTACTGCTTAAACCACTGCTGCCACTTGAACCATTGCTACTGCTTGAGCCACTGTTGCCGCTTGATCTATTGTTGCTACCTAACCCACTGCTAATGCTTGATCCGTTGCTACTGCTTGAGCCACTGCTGCCACTTGAACCATTGCTACTGCTTGATCCATTGCTAACGCTTGGTCCACTGCTGCTGTTTGAGTCACTGCTGCCGTTTGACTCATTGCTGTTGCTTGAACTATTGCTGTCACTTGATCCATTATTGATACTGCTTGAGCCACTGCTGCTATATGATCTGCTACTGCTATTTGATTCTCTGCTACCACTAGGTCTGTTACTGCTGCTTAATCTATTACCGCCAGTTAATGCACTATTATTTAATCCGCTACTTAAATCTGATCGACTGTTGTAACCTAATTCACTGCTGTTAGCTATTGGGCTGGTACCACTTGAACCATTGCTATTATTTGATGTACTGCTACTTCTTAAGTTACTGTTATGTGAATTTCTATCATTTGCATTATTGATGAAACTAGATACGCTACGCTGTGAGGCTGCTTCTAAGTTTTGTATAAAGTTGCTTCCTAAGTTTTGAAAATCATTCGAATTACTGCTGGTCTGGCTTGTAAAGAATGCACCTCCTGGTATGCTTCTAGAAGGATCCGGTTCTGTGAACAAATATATACACGGTTTTCATAGGGGTTTTCAGCTAGCTTAGATTATTGGTATGAAGAAGTACATTTATCATTAAGTTTAACGAATAGCTTTAGATTTGCAATTAATAATTTTATAAGGCATTTAACATCAATAGAGTTTACTAAATAATTTAGGAAAGCCGTTAACGGTCCACTGTTGGCTTTCAACGACCATGTAATTTTAGACAGAGTACATTTAAATAAATACACATAATGTTAATAAAGATTTAAAAGAGCAACTGTTGAGTTTTTTGCGGGCTCTCCTCAATAGATAACAACTTTCAGAACCCTTAAAAAATGACGATTGCAAGAAAAGTGCTTGTAAACAAATCTATTTAAATAAAGATGATTTGAATCAAATAAATGTTTTGCCAGTAGTATGTTCGTCTTCAGGCGGGTTGGCAACTTATTGTTTTAGAAGAGACATTGCGACCCATTCTTCTAATTCCCAAACGACACGTTTTAAGCAAGGGATGTATCTATCGCTATACAGGGACCACACAACAAATTTAAATTTAATTATTACGAGTACGTGTATATGGCTGTCGGAATGAATGGAACCTTTATTATTAACTTAAACCACCCAACGGTTGGCCATGAAATTTCATACATACGTATTTTATAGGATGGGATGGATAGGAGGATTACAAAGACGTGGACAAAAGCTAGTTTAATATCGTATTGTATATCCCAAAACAAATCCGCACCTGAAAAATAAGTCAATTGCAAATAAGGTTCATTAAAGGTGGGATCGGCCAATTTGAAAAATGTTTTCCGGAATACGTAACGATTTATAATCCATTGGTTTTGACGGTATGGTCGACGTAATGCACGGTCAAAACCATACATTGAACTCGCATTTTATAAAAACGTTTACCTTCGAGTCCGGGAATATTAATCTCTCCCATATTTTTTTCGACTGAGTGGCCCAGTGATTGTCCCACACCTGTAATTCGAGGTATAGTGGACTGTATAGATGATATGTTTAATTGTTGAAATCTCTTGATTTGAAATGAAAGAATGTTGACTTCCATTATCTAGAAGTGCACGTATTGTAAAAATAACATCTGAGTTTCTTGCCCGTCTTCTCAGCTGAAATTACATTCCGAATGGACGGTAGATTAATAAAATATGACTTTTTTTATTGATTATATTGGAATGGTTACCCCGCCTGCGCTAACGATATTCACTGGCGGGGAATATCAGGGGTGATAGGTGAGAATGAAAAGGCAGGTCAGTTAGCCCGTCGTAATGAATACACCAGGAATTCAGCGCGTTATCAGCTGGGTAGTCGACCTTATGCGCATATTGCTGATGGGCTGTTAGTCGACCACCTCGCCGTCCCCCCTAAATATGACTTCAAAATTATGTTTGTTAATAAAAAGTTTTATTTTTAATAATTTATTTATTTTAATTAAATTCAACTGGTATTTATAATTCATGGGTTTCCACCATCAGTAAGGAATAGAAGGGGAAACAAAAAGCGAATTTTGACATAATTTTTTATGTTATCAATTTAATTCTATCCTTTACAGATAAATTTAAAAAGGATATACAAGTATAGAAGGATGGAGGTTTTCACTACACATAATACAGTTCCGTATGGTTTATTATTCAAATTACTATTATTTGTTCGCGTCGTAAAAATGTAACTATGTGTAAACTGTGAATTATAATAGAATATCTTTTAGAATCGTGTACTGGTTTACGTTCGAGAATAGGTTTATTCGCTTGTACCTTATGATTTACGAGAGTGGCAACCTCTAACATGTCGGCCTTGTTTCTCAAAATATAAGTTTAACAAATCGTCTAATTTTAATTTATTATTAGGGTCACTGAAATCGAACCTTTATGATCTTTCCCATTCTCGTTCCGTATTTGTTTGCGATTGTGTTTCTAATTTAGTTAAATTACTAAATAAATAACTAAGGTATCCCACGAATCAGTCGGTTCACCTAAAGTTTGAAGGCACGTAAATTATAGGCGACGGTAAAATCGTATCAATTAGTTTTCTTATTTGCAACGGTGAATCAATACCGATTATATAATAGATGAATGTATATATACAGTGATCTCACATGATTATAAACGTTCTCTACCAGTCAAGCGGTTATTATGATAATCTGTTTTCAATGAAAATAAAAAAGTTAACCATATATATGTAGTTAGAATGCTGAGATACTCTAACGCAAACAAAAGACGCGTAATTAATTCATGTAATGCACAACCGCTAAGAGAGGAATTTTAAATAATGTAAAAATTTTGAATGGCATCAAGGTCTGTACGTTCATGAATCATAGTTATATAAGAATTTTTTAGATATATTTTTTTTTACACCACAAATCGTACGATCCGATGGAAATGACACGTTAACTTGATTTCACGAATATGCTTTTTCTTGAAGCTACAGGTTTTGAAATTATGGACTGTGATTCAATTGGAATTAGTATTTTTGAAAAACCACGGTGGAGGACTGCCACTCGTCCATCAAAACATTTTGCAGCGGCGATATTACTCATACCGTTAAATTTTCTTAGTTCTTCTATTAGAATAGACGATATAATATATTCTAACTGGTTTTCTAATTCCTTTTCTGTCAGTGTCGAGTACGTCTATTTGATTTTGAATATCACAATAGTTATTAAAACATTGTGTAATTGTATCGATTCGTAAACTAAAACCACCCTTCTGTGATTTGCATTTTCGTTAACGTTAATGATTTATATTTACTAATATATTTTTCGAACAATATTAATCTACCCTTCAAACACAAGACCTAATGAGAACTTTTTTGAGATCATTAAGTTTATGCAAATCAACGAGATATACTGTCTGAAAATTCATCGTCACAAACATTTCTTACTATTTTCGTCATAGAAATTCTAATTAAAAAAAAGATAGAACGCGTGGCCTACTTATAATTTAGTATACGTGACGTGGTTAACAAATTTTTTTTTTTTTTTTTTTTTCACATCTGGAAATAGGAATCGCTTGATGAAATGCACTGTTGTAAATGTTAATGAAGTTTAAACACTGTTAACACATTTAATTTCGATTATATAAAAGTTTATACAAAAGGAATGGTGGCTCTGAATTTGGTTTAAACAGCCGATTCTTCAGATATTCGGCTACGAAGACCACTTTGTTTGCGCCTTTCCCTTTTTGTGTGTATAAATTTATGGGTGCAGGATTTACTTTTCAATAACTCGTTTATTGTTATTTTTGTGAAATATGAGTTTATTATACGAAATATTGATTAGGATCAATCATTGCCTTTACAGAGTCTTAGCGGCTTAGCTGGTCAAGTTCATGTCTATCACCGCAGTAGCAGACCGTTGAAGTCTCAAAGGAATTCAATAGTCGAGAGTTGACGTTTTAAAACATATTTTACTCAATAGATGGCACCACAATATATATATATATATATATATATATATATATATATATATATATATATATATATATATATATATATATATATATATATATATATTAAGTCCGCCATGAAGATTTATATCAAACATTAAGTTGTAATGTGATCAATAAAGAATACATAAATAAATAATTGCGTACCTAATATATAGTTAACTGTCCACTTAAAAACCCCACTATTGGCACATATACTACATCCAATAGTTTCCGTTCAAAAGGATTGCTGCGCACTATGCGCATTCGTGTTTCTACTGTGAAGCAGTTGTTTGCCACCAAAGAGTCTATACGGAGTACAGAGGAATAACATCTGAGTCCTCGGGAATGGCAACGTTTGAGAGGACAAGTCAAACAGTATATTTTCTTTCATAGTACTGATCATGTATAGGCGACTTTTTCATTCCGTCAGCTTGTAATTTTTTGTATAAAAAAAGACTAAATGGAGTTGTCATATTTTTATAAAGTCGACTAAATTTGTCATATATATATATATATATATACATAATCTTTAAATTACTGTTTTAATTCAATAAAAACTTACCTCAATTTTACTTTTTAACCTATATATGGATTCACTGATCGTATGTGTGTATCAGTATGTGTATGAACGTATATATATGTGCTGTTGTATATATGGACGGCGTGTGTGTATATATATAATTCATTTATGCTGATGACATATTTATTGCTGGCTTGCCCTCGGTCACTACTTCCTATGCCACTGCATTAAGAAAACTGCTTTTGTGATAAGTTCGAGTAACATTGTTATTATTTCACACGGTTTGATATATATATATATAAGAAAACTGAGTACATGGTCTTTGATAGGCTTTGGTGGTGTTTTAAGAGGGACCAGGTTATCCAACATATATACCTCCTATTATGTTGAGAGAAACTATAGTGTTCCAATTGAAGAGTGCATCAATTTAAAACGCGAATGCAGGGGCGAGTGCAGATGACCACCGGCCTGCAAGAGGGGAGCGACAGAGACGACGTAGATATGGAGAGGGAGCGTAGGGCTTTGTCGGTCGGCTTAGGCCACCGCATGTTGTCCCGTCAAGGGACAGCGAAGGGTTATGTCATGATGTATTTATTTATTTAATTTATTGCACCAAGTAAAAAGAGAAATAACACTATTTAAAGCGTATTATAAAAGGCGGTGTTGTATTCGGCGAGTCAGTGGTTCCAGACAACCTTTGGGGGGACATTGAGGAAAAGACAAAGGGTAGGTGGCGCACTATTATATAAATATTATCATATACAAACATATATAATAATAGTACATACACATCATATATAATATATACACAATTAAATATATACGGCTTCCGCGCTTCTTAGCAGCACACATCAGCGAAAAAAGAAAATGCCGACGGAAAACGCACAGAAAAATAGTTTTGACGAGTCTGGCGAAACAGAGGTTTTGAAGCTAGTAAGAGTTTTTACGTCGAATACGCGTAGGAGTAGCAACAGTATCCTGAACATGTTTAGAATAAAATAAAAAGTGGGAAATTTAAGTCGGAGGTCTTGACACTGCGAAAGTATGATCATTAGCCTCACTGAGAAACAAAAATCGATCATTAGATAATCAGTAATTAAAAAGTATTAACATAGTTTTACGACGAAAACGGATTGCGGGACGTAGCACTTACTAACAAATTGAGAAATGGATCATATTTACGAAGTTATCTAAAAATTTTGGAAATAAATAAATAAAAATATAAAATAAAAAGCGAGCGATTTTTTAAATCAAATTAAAAAACATATATAAGATTTGTGGGTGAACAATTTGACTGTATCAAGTTTTTACTAATGGGGCACCACCAAAAACCAGATCATTCCATTATCATTCCACTCATCGTTGAGAATTGTTACTAATGCTGAATACTAGTGCCATTGCTAGCAATATGCCCAGTCAGTTCGATCTCCACGTGGTCCTCCCTGGAAACCATCGTTCTGAATCCCAGGTGTAATCATCACGGTGGGCAAACTGACTTTTCATCCTCACCTATCATCCGTCACTGGTGGCCCGTCAGCGTTTACCGTTAACGCAGGCGGGGTTACCATTCTATTATCATTCATTAAAATAGTCTTCGTTGATGTTCACACACTTGGTGTTTCACCCATCGTCAGCGTCTGCGTCGTCCACCGAAGAGCGCTGAAAATCAGTACATCTGATCAGAAAATCTGAAAATCACTGCCGTACATAAGGTAAGGGCTATAGAGAGGGCTATGCTCGGAGTCTCTTTACGTGATAGAATCCGAAACGAGGATATCCGCATAAGAACCAAAATAACCGACAAAGCCCGAAGAATAAGCAAGCTATATAAGCAAGGGGCTGGTCACAAAGCTCGAAGAACCGACAATTCATGGGGAAGAAAGGTTCTTGAGTGACGACCACATATGGGTAAACGCAATGTAGGACGACCCTCCAATAGATGAAGTGACGACCTGAAATGCGTTGCAGGGAGTCAGTTCTGGTGGCTTAGGACCGTTCTTTACGGCAGACTTTAGGGGAGACTTATGACCAGCAGTGGACGGATAATGGCTGAAATGATGAATGATTTACATAAGGTGTTCTTCTGGAGGGGATAAGTTTCCGTAGTAGACTACCAGCGTCTTGGTGCCGACAGACCCTTCCGACTCTCGGAGGTAGCGGTCCCTAATATTTATATACAAGCATTGTTTGAATAAATTACTTGATTGCCGTGTGGTCCTAACTAAGAATGGACCGCACCTTCTATGTCGGGACCACACGGCGACTAAGGAAGCTTAATGATCGGGGGTTGGGTCCCGCTTGAAACGTCATCAAAGCCTAACTGCAGTTGTGAACTTGCTTGCAAAGCTTGGCAACGCTTGCAAAGCTTGGCAACTATTAAATCCTTCTTTATGGGGAGGGGCTGTGTTCGGCAGTGGTCAATTAAAAAATTGAAAACTAGAGGGAGACTTTGTACAAAAGTTATTTGCTTGGGCACCTCTGTCCCATTCGTATTTCTACTGTGATGCAGTTGTTTGCATGGCTGTGTTTCAGTTTAAAGGGTGGGATATGGCAGTGAATTTACAGTATACAGAGGAATAACACCTAAGTCCTCAGGAAAAGCAACGCATGGGGGTATCATGAGCGAAACAGTATACTCTGTTATGTCCAAGGCACTGTTCGTGTCTATAGGCGACGGTTACCACTTTCCATCAGGTGAGCCGTCAGCTTGTTTGCCATTCTAAGTTGCATATAAAAATAGTTAACGGCTGATATAATGATGATGATTGTTTGATTGATGAAGGATGATTGGTGAAGATGAATTCAGGTTATTTGGCCCGTCGTAATGAATTCACCAGAAGTTTATCCCATTGGTTTCTAACCTAAATTCGCTAGAAAGATGTGTTATGTGTCAGATTAATAAGATTTTTCGGTATGTAGTTACGTATGCACCTACAGTCTTATTCATTAATAATTTTATTATACATTTAAAAAGCTCTTTAGCCAAAATATCAAGTAACTCTATTGAATCTTTATAATAGAGCGTCATTCATAAATACTTAATAAGGATATGACCGGCGGCTCCATACCCACTTTGTGCAAGGCATAATCACTGCAATCCTATTTTCTTTAACACCCAATTCTATATTGTACATTGATAATGAACACGAAAAAATATGTGTAATGGCGCGAAATCGAAAGACGTTTTTAAAATAAAGAAACTTGTTCCAAATTCAAAATAATTAAAAAGATGAAAAAAAAAGAAAAGTTTGCACGTAACAGTATTTATGGCCAGACTAGTTATTATATTTATAAACATATTAAACTATACTTTCTACAGTTTTCTTTCATCTTCTCAAAGGTTGACTGTAAGAGATCCTTTTATGGGATAAGTCCGCCATTGTGTATTAAATCATTTATCAGTGTTCAATGTGAATTATGTACAATAAAGAGTAAATGTATGAGTTACTTATATATGTCAACATATTTCATATTTTTTAATAGAAACATCTATAATGTTTCCTTCTATTATTGTACACATACTGCCCGCTAATAATTAATACTCCTTTCCACTCAGAGTTTGCTGGAAAAGAACTCTTACAGAGTTAAGCTCGCCTGTTGTACGTCTTTATTTTATATATATTATATGTTGTAATTTTTTGTGTACAATAAAGAATAAAGAAGAAGAATAAAGATTTTACAATACAATACTAATATACATATGTAACACACATAATTCTAGTAGTAATGAAGGAGGACTAAGTGGTCATAAAAGTGGGTAGTGAGATTTAACAAAATTTTTAATAATAGCCAGAGATTGAGAGCACCGTATAGAGGTAGGGAGCTTGCACAGAAGAAGTTTTAGAATCAGAAATAATTTTAATAAAATTTTTTTACAAATTCTATACGACGTACTCCAAAATGATACCACTTTAATAGTTCCACTAGTGTTTTTTTTATATTTATTTACATAACAAAATTATAGTTATAAGACATTACACACAGAGATACAAGAATGGTATGCAAAAATTCAAATCATTCTTATTCTTTTTTTAAATATACTATATGGCTTCTTTCCAGCCATGACCAATTCATCGAATTCGATTTTTTTTTTGTTCTTTTCAACCAACTTCAAAAAGAACTGAGGTACTCAATTCGGTTGTATTTTTTATTATGTTCACCTCATAACTCCGTCAGTTCCGTACTGATTTTGAAAATTCTTGTTTTATCTGAAAGGATATACCTACTTATAGATTGGTTCTATAGAAATTTTATCTCGGTTTAGCAATTTGGTTTTATGACAAAATAACAAATTTTGCCACAATCGAAGTTATTTATGGAACACAATTTTATATAAATTTGTTTTTTTCATAAAAGTTTCATTTTATACCAATGTCTTAGATCTTAAATAGGTTTCATCTTCGTCTTATCCGCCATTAACTGTTCATTTTTGTATCTCTCCAATAAAGGATGGTTTTGCAGTAACTGTCACGCTTGGCAGGCGGTTTGGCAACTGCAGTTAAGCTTTGGTGACGTTTTAAGTGGGACGCTGCTGGCCATTCCTTAACCATTATGTTCCCTTAGTCGTTTGTTTGAGCATCTCTGTCCTGTTCGTGTTTCTACCGTGAAGCAGTTGCTTGCATGGCTGTGTTTCGGTTTGAAGGATGGGATATGACAGTAAATTTACTGGGTACAGAGGTATAACAGCTGAGTCTTCTGGAGTGGCAACGTATGGTATATCATGGGCGAAACGGTATACTCTATTATGTCCATGGTACTGCTCATGTCTATTGATGACGGTTACCACTTTCCATCAGGTGGGCCGTCAGCTTGTTTGCCATTCTAAGTTGTATAAAAAATATATATAGCGTTTTCTTTGCTTATTAAAATTTAGTATTCTGTATCAATTTTATGATTTAAACAATATTTGGAACAAAGTTTTGAACAAATTTGGATTTTGTGACATTTTTTACGTCATGGAGCGACGTCATTTGAACGCAGATGAAATGCAAAGACTACAGGTCTCTACAGCTCTCTACTGGTCAGCTCTTGAGGTGTAAAGTAAAATATAAAAAAAAAAAAAACAAATGAATACTGATGCTCAAATTAATTTTATTTCAAATGGACGAGTTCAATTATCAAACACATTTCTTGCTATGTTACGTTAATTCCTAATCATAGAACTAATATTAAGAAAGTTCAAAATTAAATCCATTTATAATTCTAAGTGTTAAAGTAAATAACCTTCAATTATTTTAAAATGACCGTTACATTACAATGTTGTTATGTGTATATGTAGAGGTGACATGACGTACCATTAACTAAACTTTTAATATGTAACGACAATTTAAATAACATAATTGGATTCTAATTTTGTTCCCCCTTTTTTTTATAATATAAAACGTAAAATATCTGCGTACCTACATCTTAAGGTAATCGAACAGCTGCCAAAATAGTAGCACATGGCTTTTGTAATAATTTTAAACGGTTTAATGCAAATAAACTAATTTCATTTCATTTCATTGTACCCAAAAATATGTATGGAAATAATATTTACCAATTAAGTCGATCATTCATATATTAAAATTATAGGATATTTTAATAATTGATGTACGGTTTTAATTCGGAATTCACTGGTTGGACGGTTTGAGGGAATTAGACGAGTTGGTCTTCTAATTGGAAGAGGAGCTGCTGCTGCTGCTCGCCTGGCTTCTGGAACTGCGAACAAGGTAGTTTCATTTCAGTTGGCCGTTATTTACACATTTTAAATGAAATTTTTTAATGGCCAGATTTCAACATGTAAATTGGGCTACATTTTATGCAATAAAACTTTAATTTGGGCCTTATTTACAAGGCATGGGTACAAAGTTTCTGGCCTGATAAAGACAAAGTATTCAGAAGTTTAAAATCCTATTTTTAAATTTTAATATCATCATTCCTGCCTTTAATTGTCCACTGCTGAACAGAAGCCTCCTCTTTGGAAGGTTTAGCCAGTAATTGCCACGCTTGACAAGTAGATTGGCAACCGCAGTTAAACTTTAGGGTTGTTTTAAGAGCAACGCAGCCGTCTGTCTCTCAACCATTGGCATTTTGCAATATAGTCTTCCTTACTTTTAATACACGTTACAGATCTTTTAAATAAGGTTTCTCTGGCCTTAGAACAAAGTTAAAAACTTTAATCTTTAAAATTAGCAAAGTTTGTAATGGCCTCTTCAGATTTAATGAAAATATGACAATTTTGAAGACGTATAATGAGTTTTATTTTAACACTAGCTGACTCGGCAAACGTTGTTTTACCATATACATTATTTCGAGAACTATACATGAAAATTTATCCTACTAAAATTATTATATTCGATTACCATCTTGCGACCCTATTGCGGCATATAAAAATCGCGATTAAAAAACAGGGGTTGATCGTAAAAGCGTGATAATTGGGATGTGTATGTATTTTTCAATGCTAAATTATAATAAAATAAAAATAAAAAATTTTGTCAATAAAATAAAAAAAAAAATAATTGGGAATGGGTTACCCTTTTCATTGAGAGGTATGAAAAATAGATGTTGGCCAATACTCAGACCTACCCAATATGCACACAAAATTTCATAAAAATCCGTTATGCCGTTTCGGAGGAGTTTGGTGACAAACACCGCGACACGAGAATTTTATATATTAGATTTATTTTTATTAAATCATATTAAATTTACTGGCCACAAATTTTTGGATCCCACCTGACACGTGTCGAAACTAAAATTGTTTTTATGATATTTAAAATGAACAAAGATGCTGACGGGTCACCTGATTGAAAGCCGGTGCCTATTAACATGAATCGCACCATGGATATTACAGAATACATTGCTATTCCCATAGTAACCCACATGTGTTGTTATTCTTGAGGAATATGATCTTTTGCCTTGTACCATGGTATGGGATATATAGCTGCTGAAGTTCCTGCTATATTACAAATAATTTCTCTGCAATACCCGCTCTTCAAACCGTACACAAGAACAAATCCTTGTAAGCATAGTCGCTTCATGACAGAAACACGAGTGAAAGAGAAGACTTTTAAACAAAATCTCCCTCTGTAATGTAAAAACAAAAAACATTGCCAAGATCTGGTCAGAAGTGCGAAAACTTCCCGTTGTCTTTACAAGCTTCACTTTACTTAGAAACTTTGGAAGACTAAAGCTACACTAGCCAGGATTAAAAGAGTAACAGTTTCTTTTGCATTGAATTAGTCTAAAAAAAAGGTAAGAGACGAATTACTCAATTATGATTTCGATTCAGTGCAGACATCTTGTATAGAACCAAAAACATGTCGGTTGAACTGTTCACTGACCTCTGAATTTACAATAAACTCTAATAATATGTTACATACAGCATTAAATGAGTCGTAAATTTGACATAAAGATCCTATCGGATGTGGGTTTAAATTTTAATTTTTACAAATAGCTTAATTTATAATATTTTATTGATTGAACGTATTATTATTTTCAAGTAATTTAAAACAATATTACCTTGACCCACTGCTGCCGCTTGATCCACTGCTGCCGCTTGAGGCACTGCTGTCGCTTGAGGCACTGCTGCCACTTGATCCACTGCTGCCGCTAGATCCACTGCTACCGCTTGAGCCGCTGCTGCCGCTTGATCCACTGCTGCCGCTTGATCCACTGCTGCCGCTAGATCCACTGCTACCGCTTGAGCCGCTGCTGCCGCTTGATCCACTGCTGCCGCTTGATCCACTGCTGCCGCTAGATCCACTGCTACCGCTTGATCCGCTGCTGCCGCTTGATCCACTGCTGCCGCTAGATCCACTGCTACCGCTTGAGCCGCTGCTGCCGCTTGATCCACTGCTGCCGCTTGATCCACTGCTGCCGCTAGATCCACTGCTACCGCTTGATCCGCTGCTGCCGCTTGATCCACTGCTACCGCTTGATCCACTGCTGCCGCTTGAGCCACTGCTGCCGCTTGATCCACTGCTGCCGCTAGATCCACTGCTACCGCTTGATCCGCTGCTGCCGCTTGATCCACTGCTACCGCTTGATCCACTGCTGCCGCTTGAGCCACTGCTGCCGCTTGATCCGCTGCTGCCGCTTGAGCCACTACTGCCGCTTGAGCCACTGCTGCCGCTTGAGCCACTGCTGCCGCTTGATCCACTGCTGCCGCTTGATCCGCTACTGCCGCTTGAGCCACTGCTGCCGCTTGAGCCACTGCTGCCGCTTGATCCGCTGCTGCCGCTTGATCCGCTGCTGCCGCTTGATCCGCTGCTGCCGCTTGATCCACTGCTGCCGCTTGATCCGCTGCTGCCACTTGATCCGCTGCTGCCGCTTGAGCCACTGCTGCCGCTTGATCCGCTGCTGCCGCTTGATCCACTGCTGCCGTTTGATCCGCTGCTGCCGCTTGAGCCACTGCTGCCGCTTGATCCGCCGCTGCCACTTGATCCGCTGCTGCCGCTTGATCCGCTGCTGCCGCTTGAACCACTGCTGCCGCTTGAGCCACTGCTGCCGCTTGATCCACTGCTGCCGCTTGATCCACTGCTGCCGCTTGATCCGCTGCTGCCGCTAGATCCACTGCTACCGCTTGATCCGCTGCTGCCGCTTGATCCACTGCTACCGCTTGATCCACTGCTGCCGCTTGAGCCACTGCTGCCGCTTGATCCGCTGCTGCCGCTTGAGCCACTACTGCCGCTTGAGCCACTGCTGCCGCTTGAGCCACTGCTGCCGCTTGATCCACTGCTGCCGCTTGATCCGCTACTGCCGCTTGAGCCACTGCTGCCGCTTGAGCCACTGCTGCCGCTTGATCCGCTGCTGCCGCTTGATCCGCTGCCGCCGCTTGATCCGCTGCTGCCGCTTGATCCACTGCTGCCGCTTGATCCGCTGCTGCCACTTGATCCGCTGCTGCCGCTTGAGCCACTGCTGCCGCTTGATCCACTACTGCCGCTTGAGCCACTACTGCCGCTTGAGCCGCTGCTGCCGCTTGATCCACTGCTGCCGCTTGATCCGCTGCTGCCGCTTGATCCACTGCTGCCGCTTGATCCGCTGCTGCTGCTTGAGCCACTGCTGCCGCTTGATCCGCCGCTACCACTTGATCCGCTGCTGCCGCTTGATCCGCTGCTGCCGCTTGAACCACTGCTGCCGCTTGAGCCACTGCTGCCGCTTGAGCCACTGCTGCCGCTTGATCCACTGCTGCCGCTTGATCCGCTACTGCCGCTTGAGCCACTGCTGCCGCTTGAGCCACTGCTGCCGCTTGATCCGCTGCTGCCGCTTGATCCGCTGCCGCCGCTTGATCCGCTGCTGCCGCTTGATCCACTGCTGCCGCTTGATCCGCTGCTGCCACTTGATCCGCTGCTGCCGCTTGAGCCACTGCTGCCGCTTGATCCACTACTGCCGCTTGAGCCACTACTGCCGCTTGAGCCGCTGCTGCCGCTTGATCCACTGCTGCCGCTTGATCTGCTGCTGCCGCTTGATCCACTGCTGCCGCTTGATCCGCTGCTGCCGCTTGAGCCACTGCTGCCGCTTGATCCGCCGCTACCACTTGATCCGCTGCTGCCGCTTGATCCGCTGCTGCCGCTTGAACCACTGCTGCCGCTTGAGCCACTGCTGCCGCTTGATCCACTGCTGCCGCTTGATCCACTACTGCCGCTTGAGCCACTACTGCCGCTTGAGCCGCTGCTGCCGCTTGATCCAATGCTGCCGCTTGATCCACTGCTGCCGCTTGATCCACTGCTGCCGTTTGATCCGCTGCTGCCGCTTGAGCCACTGCTGCCGCTTGAGCCACTGCTGCCGCTTGATCCGCTGCTGCCGCTTGATCCACTGCTGCCGCTTGATCCGCTGCTGCCGCTTGATCCACTACTGCCGCTTGAACCGCTGCTGCCGCTTGATCCACTGCTGCCGCTTGATCCGCTGCTGCCGCTTGAGCCACTGCTGCCGCTTGAGCCACTGCTGCCGCTTGATCCACTGCTGCCGCTTGATCCACTACTGCCGCTTGAGCCACTACTGCCGCTTGAGCCGCTGCTGCCGCTTGATCCAATGCTGCCGCTTGATCCACTGCTGCCGCTTGATCCACTGCTGCCGTTTGATCCGCTGCTGCTGCTTGAGCCACTGCTGCCGCTTGAGCCACTGCTGCCGCTTGATCCGCTGCTGCCGCTTGATCCACTGCTGCCGCTTGATCCGCTGCTGCCGCTTGATCCACTACTGCCGCTTGAACCGCTGCTGCCGCTTGATCCACTGCTGCCGCTTGATCCGCTGCTGCCGCTTGAGCCACTGCTGCCGCTTGACCCGCTGCTGCCGCTTGATCCGCTGCTGCCGCTTGATCCGCTGCTGCCGCTTGAACCACTGCTGCCGCTTGAGCCACTGCTGCCGCTTGATCCACTGCTGCCGCTTGATCCACTGCTGCCGCTTGAGCCACTGCTGCCGCTTGAACCACTGCTGCCGCTTGAGCCACTGCTGCCGCTTGAGCCACTGCTGCCGCTTAATCCATTGTTGCCAGCAACTCCACTAATACCGGTAATTCCGTTGCTACTGCTCGATCCGCTAGCGTTAGATGATCCGCTAGCCGCGCTTAATCCACTTGCTATGCCGCTGCTGATTAATCCGCTACCAGCGCTCAGTCCACCGGCGGCGCTTGCAGCAATTCCGCTGGCACTAGAAGCGCTCTTAGAAGCTTGGCTGGCTGAGCTTTTGCCGCTACTCAAGCCATCGATGCTGCTAGAAGAACCAAGGCCTGAAAAATTAATATTTTTTATTTATTATTTAACTTCTCATTTATGACTTTGTTAGTTTATTTAGATCCAATGAAAGTGTCTGAAGTTGACTAGTGTCTTTTAAGCAAGTTTGTTGTAAGCTGTATGCATGGCCTTTAAGTTCTGCTGACAATGTGTCCCCATCTTTGTATTTTTTTTATTTTTTAAATACCTTTTTTAAACGAAAGAAAGTATGATATAAAAGGCGTTTTTTTTTTTTTTTTTTTTTATGCAACTTAGAATGACAAACAAGCTGACGGCCCACCTGATGGAAAGTGGTAACCGTCGCCTATAGACATGAGCAGTACCATGGACATAGCAGATTATACTGTTTCACCCATGATACCCCCCATGCGTTGCCATTCCTGAGGACTCAGGTGTTATTCCTCTGTACCCTGTAAATTCACGCCATATCCCACCCTTCAAACCGAAACACAGTCATGCAAACACAACTGCTTCACGGTTGAAACACGAATGGGACAGAGGTACCCAAGCAATCGACTTTTGTACAAAGTCTCCCTCTGGAAAGGCTCGATGCTAGTAGCGTTCTCTACCAGTCAACCTTTGTGGTGAACAGTGGATCACGGACGCGGTACTACATTACTGGGATAGGTGAAGAGAATAACAACTGATAATGTATACATAAATAATATATACATAAATAATTATTATGTACACACATACATTTCAGTGTCTAATAATTTATATATGTATGTTTATATAATTTAGTCGTATTTTTATATAAATGCTATTTGGAATAATATATGCGGTTTATTAGGTTTGTTGTTTCGTATTTACTGTGTCTGACTAGCGCCATCTGTCTTTCTCTTTGTAGTTGTCTACTATTTATGCCAGGTTGTCTGTAAGAGATTGCTTTTAGCGATAAGGCCGCCTTTTGTATATGCACATTCTGTATAAATACACCTTGTATACATCTCTATTGTGCGCAATAAAGAGTTTATTATTATTATTATTATTAGTAAATAAAATAGGATTAGGATGTTTTATCTCTGTCATGCAATATGAGAAATTAGCGTGTAAGAAAAAGATATAACATTTCAATAGCTAAAATAGACTAAGGGAAAAGGTACTATAAATTCTTAGAATCCATATTACGAAGATAAATAAGAGTTTCTTAAAGTGGTGTCCACGGACCCCTTAGGTCCCATAGCATGTGTATCAGGGGCCCGTTATAGATCAGTTAACTGTAAAAATATTTAGTTCTACAGTTAACTAAGTGCAATGGAATGGCAAACAAGCTGACGGCCCGCCTGATGGAAAGTGGTAACCGTCGCCTATAAACATGAGCTGTACCATGGACATAACAGAGTATAGTGTTTCGCCCATGATACCCCCCATGCGTTGCCATTCCTGAGGACTCAGGTGTTATTCCTCTGTACCCAGTAAATTCACGCCATATCCCACCCTTCAAACCGAAACACAGCCATGCAAACACAACTGCTTCATGGTCGAAACACGAATGGGACAGAGGTAGCCAAGCAATCGACTTTTGTACAAAGTCTCCCTCTGGCACATATTGTAATATGATTATAACCTAGCCGAATCACAAATGTAACTATTTTTTAAGTTTTTACTTTTTATAGTTGTGATCTGTTTTATGTGCCCAATAAAATATAATAAAAATAAATTGTCCAAATTGTGAAAGTCTTGGACCAAAACTGTGATAAGTTTAACACATCCTGTGATAATTTTTTTGATAAATAAATAACTAAAAAAATGATTTAAGTAACTTTTATACTTACTTGGGAAAGGAATTCCTTGTACAGCTACACAGGCCTGTTAAAAGATTTAAAAAAAAATTAATATTAACATGTCAAGGGTGACTTTTAGTACTAAAACAATGGTCGAAAATGTCTCTGACTCCTGTATTATACCTTCCTAATGCTCCTCAAATATTGCGTCTAAACTGCGTCCACCATGTACCCTCTTGTATAGGCATTCCGTCACCTGTATCCAATAGCGAGGACGGTATGCCTTAAATATTGTACCGCAAACCACAAAAAAAATACTTCTCTATTATAAACATTTTTCAATAGACGATAATGGAATGGTTGGCCGTGGGTCCCGGCATAGAATAGGCCACCCCTTCCTATCACATAAGTGTTGTAAGAAATGACTAACAGAGGGCGCGCTATGGGCAGCAGCGTCCCTCTTAAAACATTTTAAAAACTTGACTATAGTTGCTATTCCGTCTGCCAACGTGGCAGTTACTGGCAAAGCCCCCCAAGGGGGAGGCTTATGTTCAGCAGTGGACAGTTAAAGGCAGGTATGATAATGATAAATGGAACAGTAATGAAAGAGTATGTTTTAAGAAAGGTGTTATGTATGAATGTGGATAGTTATAAGGCCAGAGGAAAATCTAAAAAGACATGGATGGATTGTGTGAAAGATGATATGGCCAGAATGGGAGTGAAAGAGAAAACTACTGCGAATAGAGAAGAAAGGAAGAGAAAAATATTACGCGGATCCCAAATAATAATTGAGATAGTGAAAGGAATGCTTATCCCGCCTGCGCTATCGGTATACGCTGGCGGGGCACCAGTGAATGTTAATAAATGAGGATGGAGGCCTATTGTGACGAATTTGTAAGCGTTATTCGATAAGGGAATTACTTGCCGTATACTCTTGGCATAGAATAGGCCACCCCTTCCTTTCTCGTGGGTGTCGTAAGAAGAGACTAAGGAAATTAAATGGTTAAGTGATAGACAGCAGCGTTCCTTTTAAAAATCACCAAAGACTAACTGAACTTACCAACCCGTCTGCCAAAGCATAGTAATTACTTGCAAAACCCTCCATATATGGGAGGCCTATGTTCAGCAATAGACAGTTAACGGTTGTTTTATCATCATCACCAATCGGTGATCGTCGCCTACAGACAAGAACAGCATCATGAACGTCATAAAATATACTGTCATGTCATGCGATATAAAGCCTTATTTAAAAAAGGAGTATGGTAGCTTTTTGATTGAAGATGGAATGATGCACTCGCTTATTATTATTTTTTATACAACTTAGAATGGCAAACAAGCTGACGACCCATCTGATGGGAAGTGGTAACCGTCGCCTACAGACATGAGCAGTACCATGGACATAACAGAGTGTACTGTTTCGCCCATGATACCCCCCATGCGTTGCCATTCCTGAGGACTCAGGTGTTATTCCTCGGTACCGTGTAAATTCACGCCATATCCCACCCTTCAAACCGAAACACAGCCATGCAAACACAACTGTAATTACTAGCAAAACCCTCCTTATATGGGAGAGCTATGTTCAGCCATAGACAGTCGCCTACAGATAGGAACAGCACCGTGAACGTCACAAAATATACTGTCATGTCATGTGATGTGAAGCCTTATTTGAAAAGGAGATGAAGATGGAATGATGCACTCGCTTATGCTAACTAAAATAAATGGCAAGGCTCTAATGGAGGATAAAAAGATGAGGATGAAGTCAGGTCCATTGCCCATCATAGTTAAGTCAATAAGAATTAATCCAGGAGTTTGATCCTCAGTAAACTGCAGGTAAATGCAGAAGGTTTCCAGAGAGACCGCACGAAGATCGATTTTTGCTAGGACTGGTCTCTAATCTCCTCATCATTAACAACCAGAGGGAGACTTTGGATAAAAGTCGTTTGCTTGGGTACCTCTGTCCTATTCGTGTTTCTATCATGAAGCATTTGTGTTTCGGTTTGAAGGGTGGGATATGGCAGTGAATTTACTAGGTACAGAGGAATAACACCTAAGTCCTGGGGCGAAAGGGATTGTTACTAATGGGGTCTAATTGACCCATTGATAGCAATCAGGTCATATCAGGTCGACCTCCACGCGGTTCGCTCTGGAAATCGTCGTAGTAAATTTTAGTGGAATTCGTTACGATGGGCTAGCTGACCTGCCTTTTCATCCTCACCTGTCATCCCTCACTGGTGTCCCGCCAGCGTATCCCGATAGTGCTTCAGATGCAGTTAGTTGGTTGGGCACCATTCCATTATCACTCTATATATAAAACAATGGCCTGAGTCATGCTCAAACAAACAGGAATGGTAGGATATCATAGGTGAAATCAGTTTATTCTGTTATGTCAATGGTACTGCATATATGCATGTCTATAGGCGACGGTTACCACTATTATATATATAGTTTTATATATTTTTATATATATAGATAATAAAGGAATGGCAACCCCCACCTGCGCTATCGGTATACAACGTCGGGGCACATTCCTGAGTGAAAGATTCCTCTGTAGTAAATTCAAATATATATAGTTATATTGTAGTTAAAATATTGGCCCAATAAAGGACATATTTAATTTCACATTTGCCCATAGTGACGAATTTTGTTCTCACCACAAAGATTGTTCACGATGGTTTCCAAAAAACTCAACTACCAAACTTATTTTGATAAAATCTCTACAGGAACAATCTATAAATTTATCCTTTCAGATGAAAAAAGAAGTTTTTTGGGAGAATTATAAGAATGACATAATTTGCTGTATTTTTTGTTTCATGGGTGAAAATGGTATGATAACCCCGCCTGCGCTCAACTGGCCACCAGTAAAGCTGAAAACAATCCATGATGAATTCATCAGGAATCCCATCAGGTGGGCCGTCAGGGATTGTTCGCCAATCTAAGTTGCATAAAAAAGATGGTGAATGCAATGCAATGACTTACCGCAACAAACACGAGGGCTAAGGTGAACTTCATGATGCAGTTAGTTGGTTGGGCAGGCACGATCAGGTGTGACATGCTGGAGGCTGCCTCTGAAGACTATATATATGGATCTGTAACAATGGCCGCGTGACATGTGCATGCTCAAACAAACAGCTGTGCTTACTATTTACGGCGTAGAATTTTACTAATTTTAAAACGATAACAATACTAGTTACGCCCACGGTTTCTCTTACACCGAAATCATAGACATATTTAGCTTTAATTTCAAGAAGGGGCCTGACCCCTTATAAAAGCATATATGCATTATAGGGTATGTTTTCGGCCATAAATAGGAACACTTGATGTGTGGATTCGTAATACTGTACTGTTATTATTTTTATATATTTATATATATATATATATATATATATATATATATATATATATATATATATATATATATATATATATATATATATATTATTTTTTTTTTTTTTATACAACTTATAATAGCAAACAAGCTGACGGCCCACCTGATGGTAAGTGGTAAACGTCGCCTATAAACATGAGCAGTACCATGGACACAACAGAGTATACTGTTTCGCCCATGATACCCCCCATGCGTTGCCATTCCTGAGGACTCGGATGTTATTCCTCTGTACCCTGTAAATTCATATATATATAGTTATATTGTAGTTAAAATATTGGCCCAATAAAGGACATATTTAATTTCTCATTTCTGGCACTATAGAGATTCGTCACGTAGAGACAATTGGCAAGTTTTGTTCTCACCACTAAAGATTATGTCCCACAAAACCCCAACTTCAGTTGTGACAAAACTAGCTGTTTTAATCCAAAAAACTCAACTACCAAACTTATTTTGATAAAATTTCTACAGGAACAATCTATAAATTTATCCTTTCAGATGAAATAAGAAGTTTTTAGGGAGAATTATTTACAGAATGACATAATTTGTACTGTATTTTTTGTTTCTTTTTGATGGGTGAAAATGGTATGATAACCCCGCCTGCGCTAACGGGATACGCTGGCGGAGCACCAGTAAAGGGTGATAGATGAGAATGAAAACAAGCCAGTTAGCCCATCATGATGAATTCATCAGGAATTAACCATGATAGTTTCCAGGGAGAACCGCGAGGAGATCGACCTGGTTAGGTATATTGCTAGCAATGGGATTCTCAGTCTCCATTACTAACAATCCCTTTCCCCCCATTTGTACTGTATTATTAATTAGCACTAATATGTATGAATTAAATGTGATGCATCTTGTACCCAATAATAATTTTGCATGCTTTAGAATATAAAGCGAACATTTGTATGTACTTCACCTAATAGATCAATATCTGTAAAAAAAAACAATGTTTTCGCAAATAAAGAAATCTAATCTAATCTTTCCATTTCGGTGTACAACTGACGGAGTTACGGTTTGAAGTCGGTCGGAAACATTCCTCACTGGTGCCCCGCCAGCGTATACCGAAAGCTCAGGCGCGAATGTCACTACACTTTTAGTATACCTACAAAAAGACATGCAATTTCAGAGACTAGCACTTACAAACAAACCAACAAACATTCAGTATGGATACATCGATTCTTAGACGACATTGCATGTTATCCACACAAACATTTGAAGGAATTTTCCAACGAAATAAATTATTCTGGTTAATTTTATCATAATTTATTATAATTTATTTGCCCAGATGTTATGTGTGTTATAAATCTAAATAAATATTGTTTAAATGTTCAATAATATATATTACATATTGGGACATATTGGGATTAAAGGTAATGAAATGGCCGATGAGTTGGCGAGAAAGGGATCAGAATCAAAAATGATAGGTCCCGAACCATGTGTTGCACTTGCATCAAGTGTTGTTAACTCTGCCCTTGAGGAGTATGTGAAAAAAAAACAGCAAAAGGAATGGAAGACTTTGAAGGGTCTTCAACATTCTAAAAAGTTCTTAAATGACAATGTTGAAAGATGGGATAAACTTATCTACAGCGGTGGCAGACAACAGGCAAGACTCGTTATGGGTGCCCTAACTGGACATATGCCAGTAAAGCATATACTACACAAGATGGGTCTATCTTCGGACACACAGTGCAGACTGTGCAGGGAGAAATTGGAATCTATGGAACACTTGATGTGCAACTGCGATTCGTTGGCAAGTATGCGTATGAGTCTACTGGGAACGGCTTATCCAGAACCAGGGGACTACAGATATCTTCATGTTAAACCGCGGGATATCGTCAAGGTAACACAAAGGATCTATGAAATCATGGTATAAGGCAGGGGGAAGCACAAAAGATCTCAATGGGTCGACGTGCAACAGCTTAGTTGACCCCATATGTGAATATAAGATAGATAACATATATATATATATATATATATATATATATATATATATATATATATATATATATGATTATTAGACGATAATATCTCTTATATGATGCTTTTCATACCATACGTTTAAACTGATCCAAATGTACAAATCAATTCGTAACTACTTTTACTGTAATTTCCAGTGCTGAGTTTGTTACAATCATGGTTATGCAATAAAGTTATTATTATTATTTTTTAAATTTTACTTAAATTCTCATCTTCCCTCTTAAGGAGAGGAGATGGCAACTAACCCCCGGCAGAGTCGGCCGCGGTACACATATATATTACTACATATATATTATTATATATATGTAGTAATATATATGTGTATGCACCATGCGCCACAGTACCAACTCCTTCCGTTAGACCGCATTTAAAGTCGGGCGGCTCGAATCATTGATCATCAGCGCCTTACTGTCCGACTCGACCCACTGAAACTGCGTAGAGATGTTGCATCTCTGTGCATCTTTTAGCAAATTTATCATGGGGAGCGCTCTGAGGAATTGTTCGGATTGATACCTGCTGCTGATTTTCACCACCGTACAACACGCCATAAACTAAAGTGTCATACCAATCATCTGGACGAGTGGCGGTCTTCCACCATACGTTTTTTAAGGCACTTCCTTCCACACACAACCACCCTTTGGAAGCAACTTCCAGCAGCAGTATTTCCGAACCGATACGACAACATAACCTTCAAGAAAAGAGCATATTCCTTTTTAAAAGGCCGGCAGCACACCTACAATGCCGCTGGTGTTGTGGATGATCATAGGCGGCGGTAGTCACTTACCATCAGGTGAGCCGCATGCTTTTCGTTTGCCCCCTGTGTTGTAAAAAAAAACAAATGATTATTCGAAAGTGTTTAAATGTAAGTTTAGTTGAACAAATATTTCTTTCTATCTTTCACTGTGTTGTTTAAAGGCGTAACCAAATTGTAGGTCACGCCGTATGCCACGGCGTAATTATCAACTGTTTTTTTAAAACAACGATCTCGATAATATTAACACTAGATACAAATATAAACCTGCTGATAACTTGATGATAGGATTACATTTTTTTTTATACAACTTAGAACGGTTACCACTTTCCATCAAGTGGGCCGTCAGCTTGTTTGCCATTCTAAGTTGTATAAAAAAATAATGTGAAAACACAGGCTAAGCGTGGTTAAAATCACAGAATGAATAATTTCCGATGGTTTTTCTTATATAACTACTAATATTATTAAATATATCTATTTTATTATCTGTACTACGTACATCGTTGAAAATACTGGAATCTCGCATTATGGAGAAATTGCTTCTGTCAGTGGAGTATTAAAAAGTCTATGGTATATCAGGGGATCAAAATTTTTTTGTTTACTAGCTGACCCCGCGAACTTCGTACCGCGTAACCACAGACAATTGGTGGGAAAGGGATTGTTAGTAATGGAGACTGAGAATCCCATTGCTAGCAATATATCCAACCAGGTCGACCTCCTCGCGGTTCCCCCTGGAAACTATCATGGTTAATTCCTGATGAATTCATCATGACGGGCTAACTGGCCTGTTTTCATTCTCATCTATCACCCTTCACTGGTGCTCCGCCAGCGTATCCCGTTAGCGCAGGCGGGGTTACCATACCATTTTCACACATTAAAAAAAAAACACAGACAATTTGTGTTTGACTAATGTTACCATCGTATAAATATTGACAAATATTGACATCAATATTTATACGATACCAACATCACTCAATTGTTTTGCCTTCCCGGAACATCTCCACTAATATTTGAACTTTATGGTACGGTATTAAAGTTCAAATTGACTTTTTAAGTATTATTACGAATCGTTTGTATGGCAGTACAGAAAAGTGATGTTTTTAGACTTCTTCGAGCAATTTTTAAAGTTTTTCCCTCCTCCAGAACCAACCTGGTACTTCGAGGAATATTCTAAGAAATTTGTAATAATATTGTATCGTATCACAATCCCAATTATCCGCATGTGCAGAAAATATAACGATGTACGCAAGGAGCTTGATATCTTCCAACAATCCTTGCAATGTTACATTAAGGCTGCCAATTTGTTGCTTTAAATTTATAGCCGTCATTCTTTTAATGTATATAATATCGAATGTTATGCAGAGCAGTTGTTGGAGTGCAAATTTAATGCTGTTTTATGTAATATTTATTTTATTAATGTATTTATTTGTAATTTGTTGGGTTGCTATAAATAAAAGAATTAGCGAAATCGGTTCGGTTGTTCTCGAGATTTGCGCTTAGCAACACATTCAGCAATTCATTTTTATATTACAGATTTAGAATTTCTGATACAGGAAATTTCTGCCTTATTTATATTTAGATACCCGCTTGCTAAGCGTGGCAACTATTGACAAAACCCCCCCTTTGGGATAAGCCTATGTCCAGCAGTGGATTATAAACGGAAGTTATAAAAATAGAAAAAAATCATTATTTAGTTTCATGCACAGTATAGATGTATTTAAGAAAAAAAAAAAACAAAAAATGGATGCTGAAATTACGTTTATTTCGTCTTTACTTATTTTGGATATATTTTTTAACATAAGCTGCTGTTATACGACGAATAACATATCTTAATAGTTTATGTACGGATTCAATTTGGAATTCACTGGTTGGACGGTTCGGAAGAGTTCGGCGAGTTGGTCTTCTAATTGGAAGACGAGCTGCTGCTGCTGCCTCCCTGGCTTCCGGAACTGCGAACAAGGTAGTTTCATTTCAATTGGTCGTTATTATTTGAATTTTAACATCATTCTTTTAGGGCAAAATTTGTATTTGTAAATTCAGTTCCTTATTGCGTCTTTAGGATCTCAAGATTTGAACCATTCGTGGCATTTGCAATATGTGTCGTTAAGTTGTTAATAACCATTGAGTTATATGCGAAAATGAAGCAACACAAGAAATGGAAAGAATTAAAGGATCTTAAACATTAGTATGTTTAGTAACAGGTCTTGAAGAATAGATCTAAAGGCTGAATGGTGTAATAGACATGAATAATATACAGAGATGTTCAAAAGCTTCGAATTTAGACTCAACTAATAAAGTTTGATTTTTTCTTATGCAATTTAGAATGACACAACAAGCTGACGGCCCACCTGATGGAAAGTGGTAACCGTCGCCTATACACATGAGCAGTACCATGGACGTAACAGAGTATATTGTTTCGCCCATTATACTTCCCATGCGTTGCCATTCCTGAGGACTCAGGTGTTATTCCTCTGTACCCAGTAAATTCATTGCCGTATCCCACCCTTCAAACCGAAACACAGCCATGCAAACAACTGCTTTACAGTAGAAACACGAATGAGACAGAGGTGATCAAGCAAACGACTTTTGTACAAAGTCTCCCTCTGATAGATTGATTAGCACCAACAAAATGGCTGGTAAGTACTTCACTTTACTCTAAATTTACAATACGCTTTAACAATATAGGATGCACATTATGTAATGTCGTGCAAGATTGACAATTGGGCGTATAAAAATTTTGTTCTATAGTTAATTAAATACTGCTAATCATTTCGGTAGCACATTATAAACAAGGTAATAAAGTTACCTTTGGCTAGATCCGCTGCTACTGCCTGATCCATTACTGCTGCTAGAGCTACTGCTGCCGCTTGATCCGCTGCTGCCGCTTGAGCCACTGCTGCCGCTTGATCCGCTGCTGCCGCTTGAGCCACTGCTGCCGCTTGATCCGCTGCTGCCGCTTGAGCCACTGCTGCCGCTTGATCCGCTGCTGCCGCTTGAGCCACTGCTGCCGCTTGATCCGCTGCTGCCGCTTGATCCACTGCTGCCGCTTGATCCACTGCTGCCGCTTGATCCGCTGCTGCCGCTTGATCCGCTGCTGCCGCTTGAGCCACTGCTGCCGCTTGTTCCGCTGCTGCCGCTTGAGCCACTGCTGCCGCTTGATCCGCTGCTGCCGCTTGAGCCACTGCTGCCGCTTGATCCGCTGCTGCCGCTTGATCCACTGCTGCCGCTTGAGCCACTGCTGCCGCTTGATCCACTGCTGCCGCTTGAGCCACTGCTGCCGCTTGATCCACTGCTGCCGCTTGAGCCACTGCTGCCACTTGATCCATTGCTACTGCTGGAGCCACTGCTGCCGCTTGATCCATTGTTGCTGCTGCTTGAGCCACTGCTGCCACTTGATCCATTGTTGCTACTTGAGCCACTGCTGCCGCTTGATCCATTGTTGCTGCTGCTTGAGCCACTGCTGCCGCTTGATCCATTGTTGCTACTTGAGCCACTGCTGCCGCTTGATCCATTGTTGCTGCTGCTTGAGCTACTGCTGCCACTTGATCCATTGTTGCTGCTGCTTGAGTCACTGCTGCCACTTGATCCATTGTTGCTGCTGCTTGAGCCACTGCTGCCACTTGATCCATTGTTGCTGCTGCTTGAGCCACTGCTGCCACTTGATCCATTGTTGCTGCTGCTTGAGCCACTGCTGCCGCTCGATCCATTGTTGCTGCTGCTTGAGCCACTGCTGCCGCTTGATCCATTGTTGCTACTTGAGCCACTGCTGCCGCTTGATCCATTGTTGCTGCTGCTTGAGCCACTGCTGCCGCTTGATCCATTGTTGCTGCTGCTTGAGCCACTGCTGCCGCTTGATCCATTGTTGCTACTTGAGCCACTGCTGCCGCTTGATCCATTGTTGCTGCTGCTTGAGCCACTGCTGCCACTTGATCCATTGTTGCTGCTGCTTGAGCCACTGCTGCCGCTTAATCCATTGTTGCTACTTGAGCCACTGCTGCCGCTTGATCCATTGTTGCTACTTGAGCCACTGCTGCCGCTTGATCCATTGTTGCTGCTTGAACCACTGCTGCCGCTTGATCCACTGCTGCCGCTTGACCCATTGTTGCTGCTTGAGCCACTGCTGCTACTTAATCCATTGTTGCCAGGAACTCCACTGATACCGGTAATTCCGCTGCTACTGCTCGATCCGCTAGCGTTAGGTAATCCGCCAGCCGCGCTTAATCCACTTGATATGCCGCTATTGCCTAATCCGCTACCAGCGTTCAATTCATCGGCGGAGCTTGCAGCACCTCCACTGGCACTAGAAGCGCTCTGAGAAGCTGAGCTGGCTAAGTCTTGGCTGCTACTCAAGCCATCGATGCTGCTAGAAGAGCCAAGGTCTGAAAAATAGAAAAGCAAATGTTTATTTTTTCAGCGACATGGAATGAAAATAATGACTGCCCACCTGGTGGAAAGTGGTAACAGTTCTCTATAGACACGAACAGCACTACACACATTACAGAATTTACAGTGACGTCTCGCAGTAGTAAGGGGAAATTTTATTTTTAATTTATAATTAGTGTGTCATGAAATGATTTAAATAACTGTTATACTTACTTGGGAAGGGAACTCCTTGTACGGCTACGAAGGCCTAAAACATAAAAAAAAATTTAAGATTGTTTATTGCACACTGCCCGCTGGTAATTATTAAAAAGAAGCATTATGCTCCTCTCCACTCAGGGTTTGCTAGAAGACAATTCCTACAGAGTTAAGTTCGCCTGTTGTACATCTTAATTTAATATAATTTATGTAACAACATAATTTTTATGCACGATAAAGTTTAAATAAATAAATATAGTACATTACTACAGCGGCCAGCAACTGAGGCATTGATGGACGAACGTACAAATGTGGGCCGAGACGTAGCCGAGGCACACATACGTGAGGCTTGTATAGTAGTTTTCTCAAACAATGCGCGGAAATCAAAAACACAATTTTACTTTTTAAGTTCAATGACGAATAACAATAATTTTCACAAAACAATGTTCCTTTGTTTTTTTTTTTTCAATAAACAGCTTTCTATTTGCAAGCCAGTTCGAAATTTAAATAAAACCTTGTATTAGTTACCTCAAAAAAGCTGCAAAACACGACAGGTATGGATTTTCATACAACTTTTGCCAACCGCTGCCCGCATGTATCTGGCCAGTACGGCAATTTTGATTTAAATCGAAGAAGATTGTCAAAATAATGTTCACATCTCCAAGCATGTTTGAGAAAAAAATATTTTCTATAACTATGTTTTGACAGTGAATAAGGTCTTAACAAGGTCTATATTCCTGAAAAACTCCCTAGATAACAATATATCTGTATAAATTTGACACAGAATTCAATATAATATTTATAATAATGGTTTTTTTTTTTATACAACTTAGAATGGCAAACAAGCTAACGGCCCACCTGATGGAAAGTGGTAACCGTCGCCTATAGACATGAGCAGTACCATGGACATAACAGAGTATACTGTTTCGCCCATGATACCCCCACGCGTTGCCATTCCTGAGGACTTAGGTGTTATTCCTCTGTACCCAGTAAATTCACGCCATATCCCACCCTTCAAGCCGAAACGCAGCCGTGCAAACACAACTACTTTACGGTTGAAACACGAATGGGACAGAGGTACTAAAGCAAACGACAAAATTTGTACAAAAGTCGTTTGCGTCGGTGTTTTGGCATGAAATACCGTCTCACTCCATTGATCACTCCTAACTTTTTGGAAGCTATCTTAGCTTTTTCCTCCAGATGACCGCAAAACTGGACATCGCTAGATTTTTCAAGTCCAGAACACTTAGACCCGAATTTTTATCAAGGGAAGTGCCCTGAAAGTGAGGAGATTCGACAAACGGCGTCTTTTTTGCGGAAAACGCGCAGAGTTGTGTCATCTTAGGGTTAAATTGGACAAGATTTTGTTCACCCCAGATCGAAACTTAATGGAGTGAAGTTTCGATTTCAGACACAAGTCTATTCCAGTCTATTGTATGGAGTTAGTGGATGCAGGTGGCTCGGGACCTTTCCTTATGACAGACTATGGGGGAGAACGTGTATTCAGCAGTGGACAGAACGGCTAATATGATGATGAAGATGATGATGATAAAGTTACTTACCGCGACGAACACGAGGGCTAGGGTGAACTTCATGTTGCAGTTAGTTAGTTGGGCAGGCACGATCAGGTGTGACATGCTGGAGGCTGGCACCGGATACTATATATATGGATCTGTAACAATGGCCGCGTGATATCTGCATGCTCAACAAACAGCTGTGCTTATTATTTTCGGCGTAGAATTTTACTAATTTTAAACTGATAACAATACTAGTACAGCCCGCGGTTTCGCTCATGCTAAGTTTAAATAAATGAAAAAAAAAAACTAAACTCTCCGTGTAAGTTACGGGAGGCATTTAATTATTCTAAGATATTAATTCTTTTGAAGTATAAATAATATGTCTATATTAACACTCACTGGACACTGCAAACTAAATAAGCATATGGCCCTACTAGACTTATGGCCAAATATGTGTATATTAACAAGAGCCCTCACAGGACACTGCAAACTAAACAAGCATATGGCCCAACTGGGCTTATACCCAAAAAGTGTTTGCAGATTTTGTCACAGTGAGGAAGAAACGCCGCAGCACTGAATGTGTCGCTGTAGCCCACTCATACATAAACGATATATCTCCTTTGGAAAACACACTCTATGTCCTGAGATGATAAAAACATCGCTATAAAAAGATCTTAAAACTCCTATCATTGCCAGGAATTAGCAGCGAACTTTAGGAAAAGGGGCGAGCACAAAAATTTATGGAAAGGTCGCATTGTCCCAGGTTATTCTACCTGAAAAATCCCAATTTCCAATAATAAAAAAATATAGAATAATACAGAAGACAGAACAATTTTTTATGCAACTTAGAATGGCAAACAAGCTGACGGCCCACCTGATGGAACGTGGTAACCGTCGCCTGTAGACATGAGCAGTAGCATGGACATAACAGAGTATACTGTTTCGCCCATGATACCCCCCATGTGTTGTCATTCCTGAGGACTCAGATGTTATTCCTCTGTACCCAGTAAATTCAGGCCATATCCCATCCTTCAAACCAAAACACAGCCATGCAAACACAACTGCTTTACGGTCGAAACACGAATAGGACAGAGGTACCCAAGCAATCGACTTTTGTACAAAGTCTCCCTCTGGTAAGAGGCAATTAAGGGAATTCAATGGTCGAGGGATTGTCATCAACGTCCTTTTAAAATCATTACCAAAGTCCAACTGAGGTTACCTACCCGCCTGCTAAACGTGGCAAGTGCTGGCAAAACCTTCACTTTCCATAATTTTTTGCCAGCTAACAGTCAAATAAGCTGTCCCGTTTTTTCTATCCGTATTCTATATACGATATTTACGCATATAATGTATTTTGACATATTATTTAATAAATAAAATGAGTGTTTACGCATTAAAAAGATGCAGAAATTATAAGACAAAATAAATATAGAAGTTATAAAGGAATCACTCGTAACTATTTATCACGCAAAATTTTATGAAAAAGTTGATCCGTTTTTCTCGAAGCGTTTGTATGGAGACACTCTATCTATATAATCTAAGTCAATAAATTACAGAATTTCGAGGTCAAACAAACAAACAAGGTGGAATGGGATTGTTAGCAATGGTGTTTGACAGCCCCATTGCTAGCAATATGCCCTATTAGGTTGACCTCCACATGGTTCCCCCTGGAAACCATCGTGAACAATTCTTGTTGAATTCGTCACGATGGGCTAACTGGCCTACTTCATCCTCACCTATCATACTTCACTGGTGCCCCGCCGGTGTATACCGATAGCGCGGGTGGGGTTACCATTCCATTATCGTTCATTAAAAAAAAAAACAAACAAACAAACTTTTTTCACTTTATTTTTAATATAGTCACATCGTTTCTTAGAAGTCGTTGTATACCATACACATGATCATTTGAGGGAATTTTCCATCGAAATTAATTATTTAAATAAATTTTTATATAACTGTCAATATACTGTTTGCCCAGATGTGATATATGTATCTATATATACATGTACAAAAGGATGCTGATGACCCGACTGACTCACCCATATATATCCAATACATAACTGAAATGGCTGGGGGAAAAGGGATTGTTAGTAATGGAGACTAAGAATCCCATTGCTAGCAATATACCCAACCAGGTCGACCTCCTCGCGGTTCTCCCTGGAAACTATCATGGTTAATTCCTGATGAATTCATCATGATGGGCTAACCTGGCCTGTTTTCATTCTCATCTATCACCCTTCACTATATACACGATAGAAATGACTGTAATAATCAAAAACATCTTTTAATGGGGGGGGGGGGGACAGGAATTGTTAATAATGAGATCCAACAGGCCTATTACTAGAAATATACCCTAACAAGTCGACCTCCACGCGGTTTCCTCTGGAAACCATCGTGATAAATTTTTGATGAATTCATCACGATGGTCCAACTGAACTGCTTCGTCTTCACCTATCATCCCTCACTGGTGCCCCGCTAGCGTATCCTGATAACGCAGGCGGGATTACCATACCATTTTCACCCATCAAAAAAAAACAAGAATTAAGCAAGATGGTTTTCCGAGGGAATCGAGTGGAGGTCGACCTGACAGGGTATATTGCTAGCAAAGGGGCTGTTATGGGGGGAAGGATTGTTAGTAATGGGGTTTAATGGTTTCATTACTAGTAATATACCCTATCAGGTCGACCTCCACGCGGTTCCCCCTGGTAACCACTGTGATTAAATTTTATTAAATTCATTACAATGGGCCAACTGACCTTTCATCCTCACCTATCATCCCTCATTGGTACCCCGCTAGTGTATACCGACAGCGCAGGTGGGGTTACAATGCTATTTTCATCCATAAAACAAAATAAAACAAGGGGCTGTTAGATCCACATTAGTAACAGTCCCTTCCCGCCTAGTTTTTTTTGATGGGTGAAAATGGTATGGTAACCCCGCCTGCGCTAACGGGATACGCTGGCGGAGCACCAGTGAAGGGTGATAGATGAAAATGAAAACAGGCCAGTTAGCCCATCATGATGAATTCATCAGGAATTAACCATGATAGTTTCAGGGAGAACTGCGAGGAATCGACCTGGTTGGGTATATTGCTAGTAATGGTATTCTCAGTCTCCATTACTAACAATCCCTTCCCCCCCTTCCCGCCTAGTAAATAAGTTATACTTTCTGTAATGAAAAGTGCTATTCCGTTTTCATCTATGTTTCTATAAAACAATTCATATACAAATAAAATACAAAGCACTTGACAAATATTGTAAATACTAGGCAATTAATAGAATGTTATTTATAATAAATAAACAGATACATTAGACGACTGCCAGACTAAATTAAACAAACATACACACGGTCACAAATATTTGCATTGTGATGGTATCAAACGCGCAACTATTGGCTGGAGAGACAATATGCCTCACCACTACACTGTCAAGACCATTGGAATTAGTCTAATAGGTATATTTTATTAAAACACCTGTATTAACAAACAACAATGTAGAATTTTTATTGTTAAAATATTCCTTAAAAATATTTATTTATTTAAATAATTTATTAGTTAGTTACCTAATATTACTAAAGGATTGTGTAATTGATTGACCGATAAAAAAAAGATGTAAAAAGATCTTTTTTTTTTCTTAATTGGTAAATTAGTCTATGGTATTAAAACAGTTTTCCCTCCAATTTAGCTGTCATCTGTCATTGAGGTCGATTCTGAGGCGCCATTTCTCTGAAGCTCTCTAAAATTTGAATTTCAATTTGATATTACAGCGGCATCTTTATTCTTCTTTTTATCATTTGGTTAAAAAGTATGCATACATATATGGGCCTCCCCCATAAGGGGGGTTTTGCTAATAATTTCAACGCTTGACAGGCGGGTTGACAACCGTAACAGGCTTTGGTGATGTTTTAAAAGAGACACTGCTGCCCATCCCTCGCCCTCCCTTAGTCGGCTCTTACGACACCCACGGGAAAGGAAGAGGTGGCCCATTCTATGCAGGGACTAAATGTTTTCTTAGTGTGATATTTTTTTTTGTATTTTTTTAAGCAACTTACAATGGCAAATAAGCTGACGGGCCACCAAATAGGGAGGGGGGGGGTTGTTAGTAATGCGGATTACTACTACCATTGCTAACAATTACAAATAACAATCCTGGAAACCATCGTGCTGAATTCCACGTATATTCTTCACGATAGGCTTAAATGACCTGCCTTTTCATCCTCACCTATCATCCGTCACTGGTGCCCCACCAGTGTATACCGTTAGCGCAGGCAGGGTTACCATTCCATTATCATCCATAAAAAAAAGGCCCACCTAATGGAAAACGATAACCGTCGCCTATAGACATAAGCTGTACTGTGAACATAACAGAGTATACTGTTTCGCTCATGATACCTCCCATGCCTGAGGACTCAGGTGTTATTCCTCTGTACCCTGTAAATTCACTGTCATATCCCAACCTTCAAACCGAAACACAGCCATGCAAACACAACTGCTTCACGGTTGAAACACGAATGGGACAGAAAGGACTTTTGTACAAAGTCTCTGTGGTATATATCTATAATAAGTTTACTATTGTAATCTTATGGAGGAAACAATAAAGAGTGTCTATCTATCTGTTAATTGACTGAACAAAACACAGCTGTTAATATTTCTTTTTAATTTTTTTTTAATGTAAATATGTAGTTATTATTATATTAAGAAATACAAATATCTTGCATATGCAAATTCTTTACTCGCATTACGAAATAAAATGCTGTTTTAAAAAAAGAAGGAGATTGCATTTTGTTTTTTTTTTTTTGTTTTGATGGGTGAAAATGATATGGTAACCCCGCCTGCGCCCACGGGATACGCTGACGGAGCAACAGTGAAGGGTGATAGATGAGAATGAAAACAGGCCAGTTAGCCCATCATGACGAATTCAATAAGAATTGTTCACGATGGTTTCCAGGGGGAACCACGTGGAGGTCGACTTAACAGGGCCACAGATAATATAATACTATACTAGTATGACAGGGCATATTTGCTAACAATGGGTATTGCATTTTGACTAGTTTGTTTTTGTTCGTTACTTCATAACTCCGTCAGTTGTAAACCGATTTGGTCAATTCTTTTTTTATCTTAAAGGAAATATGTACTAACTGATTGTTCTTAGATC